ACCCGATTTACTGATGTCTTTGAAGAGCTGCTCGTAAGGGCTCTTCCGAAAGGGAATGATGATGAAAAGAGGAAAGTTATGTAACGGAAAACTGAGCGGTCCCCGATATCTGATCGGATCTACCACTGGCTCAGGGTCAAGGGGTTCTGGTAAAATCCCACACTGACACTTCCCTAATACTGACTAGAAAAGATATGTAACTATACTCGATCGAGTGGGAAAAACTAGAGACAATGCAATCTCCGTTTTGAGGGTACAAGCCTAGGACAAGTTATCACTCTTCCAGCCGAAGCTTACAAGTGCGAGTCTCACTAGGGTATGTCTCTAAATCCTCGTAGGTCGAAAGCACGGTTTGTCGTCTAGACAGTTCTGCTATTGACTCGATACGAATGCCTACGTGCGTGATGAAAAAGGGATAGGTAAAAAGAAACTATAGTAACGTTGAGCAGGCAGGGTTTTGGGCCAGCACTCAAAGTTGTAGCGAGACGCCTAATGTCGTCAACACCTCCGTATACTGGCGGCTGTGGTAAGACAGGGCCTGGTATAGGACTACTAACTAATAAAGCGGATAGGTATGAAGTTTTGCGCTCAAGTGAGCAAAGGATGATAAAAAGGTCTCGGTTGTTTAGACCGGGCAAAGAGTAAACGGCTTTGTTTGAATGACAATATGAAAGGACTTTCAATATGGTCAAGCAAAGAAAGAGATGTGCGAGAGTGTAACGCGAGAGTCGGAGTCTCCTATAGTTCAAACCTAATGTCACAACCCAATAACGAATTAACGCTGGGCAGAGACTAGGACTCAAACAACAAGATAATCACAAGAGGATAAAGTAGCAGGTACGTCTCGGATTGCTCACTAGGAGATACAAGAGGTTTGAACTAAAGAACTACTGACTACAAGACACTACCTATATACATATATTTGTAACTGAGATCGAAGCTGAGTCTGAACTATCTACCAATCAAATAATAGGACGATATCGTACGATTCTATATATAACTATGATGTCATGACGTGTGCCGCAGCAACCGTAAGGTTCTGGAACATTCTGTCAGGGTCGTTTGGAATAAAGTTTAGTCCGGCATACTCCGATAAGTCACGTGACTCGTTCATAGGTTCTTTAGGTAACTCTACAATAGACGCCGTTGTTGGGACATCTTCGACTATAAATACTTTCTTAGTAACAGGCGCTGTGACTGGGCGCTTAAAGGACTTAGAATTTAGGAATGTATAATGGTTTGTATTTGGAACTCGTGACAGACAGCGGGGTGAGAGACAGCGGGCAAGAGACAGCGGGCAAGAGCAGCCAGCGAGGAGACAGCCAGATGGCTCGCTGGTGAGGTCGAGTGGGTGGATGGGTAGCTCGGGTTGGCCGTCGAGAGAATGGTCATGTTGAGTGGTGTCGTGCAAGGGACATAGTCTAACAGACAGTCAGCTTGGCAATTACGGACGGAGGTGAATAAAATACAAGAGTTAAGCGATGGTAAAACTAGCGCCATTACCGTTGTCAGCGAAGGAAGACATTCAGGACAACAAGAGAGGTACGTACGGTTTGAGTCGCGCCTCCATTCTCAGATGTTGCCGTCACCTTCTCGAGTGAGAGACAGCGGGGTGAGAGACAATGGGCGAGAGACAGAGGGTGAGAGACAGTGGGCGAGAGCAGTCAGCGGTCGTGCGAGACAGTGGGTGAGTGAGACACGGCGAGCGAGCCAGCAAAAGCCAGCCAGCAAGAACAGCAAGCGAGTGAGAGGGGATGCGGTGAGGTGGCGGGCATTAACATAGGCGCAGGTGGCGTGGCGTGTGATGGGTTGTGCGCTGGTAGCGATGGGTGCTGGCCTGCACAGTGTTGTAGCCGGTCCTCAATGAATAGAACCTCCTGTTATACTGGAAAATATATCAAAGTTATATATCGGTTAGTTTATTAGCTTGATTGATGGTTAATTGGTACCTTGAGCTTGATTGGACAACCGGGAGCATGAAATGCGAGTGTCCGGACAGAATTGGAAGTTAGTGCAGATGTCGATGATCCTATGTAGAAGTCGAAGTACCCATGAGTGCGGAAGGGAAGTCACCAGCCTCGTCGACGAAGTTTCGGTTCGCGGTTCGGAACGGTTCGGGAAGGTCCGAACCCATGACCGAACCTCCCCAGGACCAACGAACCGTGAACCTCATTTCGGTTCGGTCCGGCCAAAATGGAGAACCGTGGACCGAACCACGGTTCGGAACCGGACCACAGCAGCACTAATTCCACTATATTCCTATGATACTGAAATTTTCCGTTCCTATGCACGCTAGTATAAAGGTTCGAGTACGAACAACACGACATCTCAGTTCTATCAAAGATACTGAGATGTACGTATATCTGATTCTATCTACCTTACGACGAACTCACAAAAGACTTAGTATCATCATCGTTTAGGTACTTGTCACGTAGCACACAGAGTTCTATCAAAGATACTGAGATTATCATCATCGTTTAGCGTCCCGCGTGTCCCCCGCTCGTCTCAACTCTCTACAATTCAAATATTCACAGTTGACTATAATGCGGTGCTTTGCAGCTGATGCAGGAGAAAACATTCGAGGATGCGATGCATATGCGTTAAGGTGAGCAGTAAATTTGTGACTCAAGTGCCAGTGGGCGGGCCGCTTGCTGTAATCATCATGTTGAACCGAATTTATAATCACCATTAATGATTAGATAGCCGTGCACATAGATACCGGGACCAGTCGACAACTTGAACCAACACATCATCGAGTTTCCAATTTCCCGGTCACCGTGGAGAGATTCTGCTCGGAGATTCTACTTGATCTACGTAGTAAGCTCCTTGCAAAGTATCTTGTCACGTTGCGCCGATGACGTTATGACGTCATTACATTGCTCCCTCGCTCCGAGAAATGAGGTACCTAGGCGCCCACTATCTGAGCAAATGAACCGACTTCACGAACAGAAACCAACATACCATGCATGCAAGACTCCTGGTATCCAACCCAAAATCGTAAGACAGATATTAATCCAAAAGTCTGGCAAAATGGCATGAGATTTAATCGGCGTCGAGGACTATTGACACGGATATTTACCTGCAGCACATCCACGTTCTATTGGCATTGTCGTCATTAATATCATAGTGTAGGAGGTATGAAATGGTCGTATACTTACTGAAAAATACGGCTACTGGAGGAAGGACCCTGCATGCGATTTCAGTATGGTAACTTATCGATTTGGGACGTTTGGGAATAGCATACGTACAGTGCAACAAAATACAAGATGACATTCCGTGTAGATGAAACGGTGGTGGTCATTTTGAGAAGGGTCTATGTGAAAATACGGCTCTTTAGATGTCCAATAGATTTGGGCGTTGGACAACTTATATAACCAGGGGTATTTCAATGACGTACGTCATGTCTGTTGGAGTGGCCATAGTATATGACACTGGGCGGAGTGACCGACTCCAGTGATCCGTTGGAAAGATCAAACAGAACAACCGGTTCAATCTCAAGCTTCAAGCTTCAAGAAGCTGCTATACTAACGCCCTGAGTACAAATCCTGCAAGTCACCGGCACCAACCAGCTGGAGCTCGAGCGCTCAACGTTCAACCAAGAGCCAGTTTCAAATTGAAGGGTGGGATCGTGCTGGCTTGCGCTTCTGCAGATATAATTTCCAAATTGGCCGGACAATGTTTCACGGAGTGAGATCCCAATGACTTGTGCATATGTGAGCCTTAGTAGCGGCGTCTATACGACAGTGCAATCGGGATGCTCGCCGTACAACCGAAAAGAATGATTAAACCCTATCAGTCCTAGTAGGGTGGCATTATCATGATGGTGTTCGACCCGGGAACTGCACTGAGGAACCTGGAAGTACGAAGATATGAATAATTTTGATCGTCAGTCGAGGCGCCAGCCTCGAGGCCCTAATCGTAATCCATAAGGAAATGTGACAAAGTTACACAGATGATCCTTTTGTGATCCGCGGTAGCAGTGATATTTGATAGAAGCTTGATATCGGGTGCGGCCAGAGCCCACAAAATCCAGATTGATATTTGAATCACGTCAAATTGCTTCAAAACCACTTTCTGGGTGTGAAGCACTCGTAGAGAAGCGTTACATCCAATTCGTTAATATCTTGTACTCCGTTCAGCAGACTAGGACGACAGGGCTCGTACTTCATGTCCCACAAACGCCACAATTTCTCCAACCAATGGACGTCTCGCACGAGGCAGCCAACATCGCTGCACAAAGCTCCGGTGTCCGGGCGCTATTTGCAAGTCCCTGGGAGGCTCTGGTTTCTTGCCCCTGATAATTTCTCCAAAGACTGTCAAGTCATTCTTCAAATAGTAGTAGGGTACCTTGCAAGTCAATATCTAGAGCGAGTGCAAAGGGAATAAGATCCGGCGGTTGAAAATTCAAGTGACTAACCTGCAATAGGATACTGCCAAATGAGTAGATATCACACTCGGTGGTGAGCGATGCATTATCTGGTGCCTCATATAGCTCTGCAGCTGCCCATCGGATATTCCCTCGAATAGAGTTCGTAAAATAGGAGGTACCGATAAACTCCACGAGGATAGTAGAAAGACCAAAATCAGCAAGGCATGCGCGGCCGTTGCCATAGATCAAAACATTTGACTGGAGAATCTGGATGTGAGTAATAAAGAATACACCTTCTGTGAGTGGCTATACACACCCCTGTCAGGTCACCATGAACAACTGATTCGCTGTGAAGATATTGCAATCCAAGAGCAATGTCATTTAGCTAACGTGTGTCAACACATCAGCAAGTGTCTGGAAATACTGCTAAAAGGGGCTCACAAGGCAAAACTTATCTAGAGGCGACAACACGTGTTGTCGACACTCAAGAAAGCTCGTGAGAGCTCCATGATCAGCCCACGGGCAAACCATTGCAGGGTAGTAGGACCCAAAGTCATTCACTACCCCCCAGAGTGGAAGAATGTTGCCATGTTTGAGACGGCCCCAAACTTTCAGTTCACGACGTAGTCTCTAAGCCGAGTCATCATCCGAAAGATCGACATGAATGGAATAGAAACATTACATTCGCCTTCTTTCGTACCTCTTCCTCGTTGTCCGCCTGGAACGCGCGAATGGTCTTCACTGCCACCACCTACATCACAGTCAGATAATATGGTAGCAAGTGCCACAAGCTGTACATACCTCACTGGGCCTGCTGGGCTTGACCAAAAAACATTTCCAGATGTCTCCAAAACCTCCGAAAGCAGTGGGGTAGGGCAGTTTCCCCTGGACTTGTTTAGTAAGATCCTCCAGCAAATGAACTTCCTCTTTCCACGGTACGCGTTCTTCTTCCTTCCTCCGGTTCTCTTCCTCTGTAGCGCGCGCCGTCTCTCCTTTGAACCTACCTTCCTCCATGCGTCTTAAGTTACCTTCCCTTTGTGTCGTCACCTCCCGGTACAACGCGGGATCTTGTGCTGGACGTCTTTCTTCCGCACCATACCCCCTTGTTGAGTTCTCCGCATGCCTTGTAGGCCCTTCCCTTCTCTGGGCCTGCCCTTCCCCCATCTTGACTTCGTCTTCTTTCTTCTTCGCAAGCATAGCCTTCCGCTTGATTTCGTCTTCTTTGCGTTTGGTTTCCTCCTCTTGCATTCTTCTCATCTCGAGTTCGTTGCGCTGTATTTCATTCCATGATTGGTTGAGTGTTTGATGATACTCGCCCTCAGATACATCATTATGGGTATTGGTAGGCCGAACGGGATAGTAATGGCTCCCGCTCGTAATGTTTAGCGAGGGGTGTTGAGAATCGAGCCTGTTAGACGACTGCCGGTTCTGCGAGACCTCCTTTGGTGTCTCCTGGTAGTATGAAGACTCATGGCGGGTTTCGTACGGCAAGCGCGACGGACCAGTCCAGTCTTCGCGACTCGAGCTGGGCTGAAAGCCGCTACTATCGAACGAGGCCGATTTCTGGGCAATGATAGGTCTACTGCTAGACGGTGGGGGTCCGCCGTAGCGTGCATGTGAATCCTGAATGTGAGACGGACGATTAAGACTCATGCTAGGTTGAACGCCGCTGTCCAACGAGACCGATTTCTTGGCGATGGCAGGTCTAATAATAGGTGGTGGCACACCGGGGCGTGTGTACGGATCTTGCGGGCGTGATGGACCACTCCGGCCTTTGGGATTTGAGCTGGACTGCTCACCGCTATCGTCAAACGAAACTGATTTCATGGCAGCGGTGATTGCAGAAACTGGGTGCATATTGGCAGGGGCTGCATAACCTGGGCCATATGTCGTTGATGAAGATAAGGTTGGGTTATAGGATGGAGGATCAATGTTGGCATGTGACCTGTATCTGTCTCGCTCCTGATATAAAGCCGGAATACGATGGCGGTCCCTGCTGGAAGCGATGGGCTGTGGTATGTGATATGAAGGGTCTGCACCCGATGTGCCCCCGCGATAGGTATCGTTAAAGTAATGAGACGCCTGGCCACCCTCTTCAGGCATGAAAACGCCCGCATTTTGAGTGTGCTGTCTTTCTTGCCTGATGCCATTCATAGCGAATTGCTGTCTAGCCATGCGCTCCCGTTCAGCGACGGTGAGTAAAGGTTTTGGGCGCTCAAAATTTGGATTTGACGTTGACCCTACTCCCATAGTAGATCCGACAGGACCCCTGTCGCCGCCGTGATCCGGATGTACGGGGCGATTAGTGTACTGGTTTGAGTCCTCTGCAATACGTTGAGAAAGGACAAAGAAGAGGATGGACAGCGGCTTTGTCTTGACACTCACTTCCAGGCCTGCCATGTATCGCAGGCTGATGCTCCTTTGCCATACTTTCTGACCACTACGGTCATGAGCTGGAGGAAATATGACCGCACGAACCTCTCTGAATTTTGGACGAGCAAGTTAAGGAATGGGACAAAGTACAGATGCCGATACGAGAGATAACACGGAACTAAATAGTGTAGGCACGATTACGGTATCGTTGGTCTGCAAAGGAGGGCGCCTGTGGCTTTGGTTTGAAGTGACTGATCAATGATTCCAGGACCCCGAGTACTCGATCGAGATGACAGGCGGAAAGTTTGATGAAGCCGTCCAATGGACAAGGGCTGGACTGCGTTCGATTCATATATGACTAGTCTCGAATCGAAGGGTCTACCGTACAGCCTGAGTCGAGCAGCCATCATACTGCTAGCTTCGTTAGTGCGAGTCGATACTGATTTTTAGTCTCACTTACCCTGCGCTGATGATGATGATGATGGTGAGGTGAAGAACATATGTATGTTTCTCACTGCAAAAGTTCATACTCTTCGCGCCAAATGTGATTCGATCGCAGTCAGCCCTGAGTACTATGGCGATTCGTCGGCAAAGAAGGATTGCGGGAGTCTGGGCACTACTTCTAGCTTGTTGGACACTGAAAATATACCGTGTTGACACCGTGGACAATGATGAGTGCTTCCGAGGTCACCGGTCAGACCGGTCAGGGATGAATGAAGAAGAGAGAGAAGCTCATATTCGGTCAGCTCCTTCCAACTAAGTGTTAACTAACCACAACACCTTCCTAATGAGGAGTTTAAAATGATCTCCCTCGATTTTGAAAACACTCCAGGTGACCACTTTCTATATAAATACCTTAATTCAGTTCTTGTTACATCCTAGCACCGGTACTGTCAGTATATATGTTCAGATGGACTAGGATGACACAGATTGTTGTCCACATGCTATAAATGTTACGATTTCTGCAACTGACGGACGACTTGCACAAGGCAACCAGCATCGCTGCATGAACTCCCAGCGCCAGGCGCTATGTGCGATCCCTTAGGAGGTTCCGGTTTCACCCCTTTGATGACTTGTCCTAACACTGCAATATCCTTCGTAGCAATGCAGGTAGGGTCCAAAGTCAGTCGCCACTCCCCAGAGTGGAAGAATGCTATCATGTTTGAGACGGCCCCAAACTTTGAGCTCGCAACGCACTCTCTAAAATCGATTTAACATCAGATAAACTGACACGCGCGATGCCGTGGAAGACCACTATTCTTCCGCATCAAGACCTCGTCGTCGGATTCGAAAGCACGAATAGTCTTCAGACTCTTCACTACTACCTTGGTCATTATCAGGATGATAACCGTAAGAAGAGTGACAAGCTGGGCATACCTGGACACATTGGGCTTTACTAAATCACACTTCCGAAGTTCCAGATGTCTCCAAAGCCTCCAGAAGTGATCGGATAACGTGGTCTTCCCTGGAGCTCATCAGTAAGATCTCGGAGTGCATGTGACGGTGCTCGGGTCTGCTCTGCAGATGGTTTGTGATCCCTGGAAGTAGTATTAGACTCGACGGTAGCATCGGTTTCTGTCCCGTTCCTGTTATCCGTTCGGAACACATTCCGAACATCTCTTCGAGGGCGTGTGGGTGCTGTATCTTTAGCATTGAGAGATGATTGTGCACGACTCGGTGTGCGAGTCCCAACCCTGGTTCTCGGCTAAATGGAGAGGTCAAAGATTGAACGAGACATGAGAAAAGCTGAGGATGCTCACGATCGGTTGGCGCACAACTCTCGATTGGGATGAACGTCCCTAATACAAAGTTAGATCTAGTGTGAAAGAGAAGCAGAGAAAACACCTTGAGCTTTGCATTCCCATCATCCGCATGCTAGTAAATGAACAAAACTATTAGAGAAAGACATCAAAACACTAAAGCACACGTACTACAACTTTGAGCGCTACCCCCAGGCTCCATACATAGATTTTTTTGTCTAGTCCAGCACTAGCGATGTATTTTCCATCGGGGGATATGGCAACAGCCAAGAGGGCATCATCATGCAAGAGTGGACCTCCGACCGCCTGATTGGTCTTGAGATCCCATATACGAACGGAGCAGTCACTTGATGCGCTAACAATATAGCTTTCATTGGGAGTAAGACAGAGGGATTCGACGGTGTTGGTGTGACCCCGAAAAACAACGAGTTCCTGTCCATCAATCACCCGCCATTTTCGGATGGTGTTATCTCCCGACCCAGAGAAGATGTGTGCGCCGTCCTTGGACCAACACAACGATGTCACCACACCGTCATGTCCCTTGATCTCGATAAGCAGCTTGCCGTCCCTCGACCACACGCGAATCATCATGTCCTCACCGCCGCTCACGAATTTGTCGCCTTGTGGAGAGTATTTGACGGTCATAACCCATCCGCGACTGGTCTCTATGGGTGGTACTATTTGTCGACCAGTATCCGGGTTCCAGCGTCGTATGGTGCCGTCTTCTGATCCACTTACTATCTCCGGGGTATTGCGAGACCAATCAAGGCACCTCACTGTGGTATTATGCCCCTCCCACGAGTCGCCGATCATGCTGCCCTTTTTTATATTCCACAGCCGCAGTCTGCCGTCTGCACTTCCACAAACGACCATTGTTTCATATGGGGATGTTGTTATCGAGCATATCCCTCCCCCATTGTCATTCAAAGGTTTTCCTACTGGCCCTCCGTCTCTTTTCCATTGACGAATCGAACTATCGTCAGACACGCTCATTATATTGCCACTGATACCTAAGTAGGCAAGGCTCCATATGCATTCGGTGCGACCCTTGATGATGCACTCTGGCATCAAGCTTCCTGCCGGACGTTCTGGCTTTGGTTTCTTCCACGACGTGGTCCGAGTATTGTGGTTGACGAAGTAGGACCGACCGAGTGGTGAGATGTGCCATTCATATCCAGGAACAGCGAGATATCCAGGATAATCTATGTTCAACCGTGAGTTCGTCGCTCCTTGTCGCAATTTCATCCCTCACCTAGCCGCACTCCTGGTAAAGGTTGGTTCCACGAGACTATCGCGAGCGTGTCATCTTGATATCGTATTTCACCATCCGACATCTTATACTGCTGCCACATAGGAGGAAGCACTTCATTCCCGCCTGCTTCTAATTTAGTAAGTTGGTGGGCATCACAAGGTAGCTGCTCACCTTTCCAAAGTGCATCCTGGCGGTGCTGTGCACCATATTGTGGTGGATCCCTTACGCTCGTCTGAAGAGGTACAACATGTGTTGGTGGTTTGAATAGCGCTTCTTCTTGTGCTTCTCTCCGTTTGGCTGATGTGCTTGACTCGCCGAATTCGCTAAGCATGACTGTAATCGAGAAAGGACGTTGCGCTTCTAGACGGTTGGACAATGAGCTAGAAGCTAAACTTGACAATGGGCAAATCAATAATGAAGGGCAAGAAGATATGGTGGAAGCGATGGAGAGATCTGTTAGACGCTCAGGCTCACGTGCTTATTTACATGCGCCTTCCATTCCATGCCATCAGAGGCAGTGTCACATGCTGAAAGAACCGACCCGTCAATTTTTAGGAATACGCGATTTGTTATGATTTGCCAATGGAGCGACTGTGCATATATCGACATTTGGGTCCGTGCACCGTACAGGGCGCGTACCAACACTTCCTCCCAGTTGCATATCCGAGGTGGGTGCACCCTCACAATAACCCAAGTGCCAAGGTTGCCAACTCCCACTAGGGTCGCAAAAGACCATTGCACTGCCAAGAGACTAAACGCCGTGCAGACTAGGGATGAGCTGGCCGTTGTTGAGATTGCTGGGAGGCGTGGGATGATTCTTGCTGTCGTTTGGGCGGCTGTCGCACCACCAAGGCAACTATAACCAATTGGTTATAACGTTCAGCATGGTCGTACGAGCTCGAGATTCGTCGGGGATCATGTATTCATGCGCAAAGAGTTCAGATATCAGGACGCTGCTAACGATGGCACTCGCGTGACCGACTAGCGGCGAGGGTATTTCTCCGGCTGTCTGTACAAGAATCGCGGAAAGATCGTGGAGAAAAGGTATAAATCATTGCGGGCTGTTTCGCGAACAATTCACCAAAAAGTCCCAAAGCAGTGACTGTCGCCGAAAGTGTATGGCCATGGCGAGGGAGTGGTGGAGGTGAGGGCGAGATTGTGGCAGCCACGTCAGGTTTTGGGATTACGAGTGGGGGCGGGAGGAGTAAGACTAGGGATAAGCTGGCTGTTGTCGAGATTGTTGGGATGATTCTTGCTGTGATTTGGGCGACTGTCGTATGATTAATAAAACATTGTGATCTTGTTGACGTTGTTGAGCGAGAAGGGCTACTGCGGATGAAGCAGTGAGCCTTGTGAAGGACATTATTCGTGTTTTGTTTACCAGGATGGACGTTTATTAGAAGACTCGTCTGCATATAAAGTTCCGCCTCACATATGGGAGCCCGCGAGAGTCTGGGAGATGATCGAATCGATTAACGTTTAACTTACATAGTAGAGACGTAAAATTTTGTGTATCATAGTATGTAGAAAAAATATACTTTTGCAATATGAACGACCGCTCGAGCCGACGTCGCTCGATTCTTTTTATGCACTCGCACTCATTAATCTCCCCGCTCTTACTTATCTCGGATCCTTCGGGGCTCGACGAATAGTACCCGGCCGTACGTAGTTAATGTTTATCCCTGAAGTTAGAATGGCAATATAGAACAGCGTAAGCTCCACTTTCTCTGCCAAAGAAAACTTCACATTGACACAATTATGCAGAGAAGTGTGGTGTATGCCCCATTATTCAAGCACATGCTGAGGCAAGTTCTATGGGCAACAAAGTTTCTGCGATGACGCGTGATTAGGGGTCCGTGAGCGCGTCATGACCGGGACCGCAGTGCCGTATTGAGCGTAGCGCTATGTATGCTCGAATTGGCAGGCTGCCAGCTGACTCCATGGTTTCGGACTCATCAACATCATGGCATCATGAAATGGTCCCTTCACAATGCAATTAACTCGCTTCTATGTTTTTCACCGGTACCAAGCCTCGCGCTCCAGCTGGCCGCCCGCACTAGCAGCGGCACCGCGTGACTTATGGACTTCCCCGTCGGGCTCGTGTTCGGCTCGAATCAAAGTATCGGTTCCGAGTTGTCCATAAAATTAAGCTAGTGATTTTGACCTTCCATCTCTTTATCTTATTTTCCTCCAGAAATCAAGCGTGCAGCCGCCATGCTGTCTAAGCTGCTGTCGTTGTCTATAATTCCATTTGTTCTAGGTGCACCGGCCACCCTGGCTCCGTCTGCTGCAACACCATCTACTCCAGGTGGTAACGTTAGCGCTACTGTAGCTGGTCCATATTCGCTGGTGACAACCTCGTTCAATTCTTCATCAACTTCTGCTGCAAGCTCCGCAACATTTTCTGCTTCCGCCAACACCTCAGGCGCGTCCACCACAACTGGTGTTATCACCGTTCCGCTCTCTAGCTATTCATTCACTCCCTATCCCACACCTACTCTCAATCCTCGTCCTCCTGTTTACCCTGCAACTGATCCTTTGAACCCTCCTTCTGTCAGCAGTGATCCACAAGTCGTGCCAGATTTTGCGCCTGCATGGGCTGCTGCCTACCAAAAAGCCGAGAACCTTGTAAGTGCATCCGTTTTAATGGCCAATTTTTTTTGACTGTCTTGCCATCTTTATCATTCGAAACTCTTTCTATGTCTCCACGTGCTGACCATCTCTTATACTCAGATATCGGATTACACTATCGAGCAAAAGGTCAATATTACCACAGGAGTCGGTTGGGCAAACGGGTTGTGCGTTGGTAATATCCCACCCAACAAAAACTTCCCTGGTTTATGTCTCGAGGTACGTAGCTTGATTTTACGAGCGATTGGTCTCACGATTTGTTAGGATTCGCCTCTCGCCGTCCGGTTTGCAGACTATGCAACTGCGTTTCCTGCTGGCATTCAGGTAGCATCCACGTGAGTCATCTTCAAGGTCACCGTCGTAACCTGTCTCATATCTGTCACAGCTGGAATCGTGCTCTGATGCGTGCTCGTGGCCTGGCTTTGGGTCAGGAGTTCAAGGGCAAGGGCGTCAACATTGCCCTTGGTCCCATGATGAACATGGGTCGCGTTGCTCAAGGCGGCCGTAACTGGGAGGGTTTTGGTGCAGATCCTTTCCTGACCGGTGAATCGGCATACGAGACAATTTTAGGCCTACAAAATGGCGGAGTACAAGCCACTGCCAAGCACTTCATCAACAAGTTTGTCTTTTCTTACGCCTCTTTGCACTTGCACTCATCTGTCCTACTAGTGAGCAGGAGCACTTCCGCACATCAGAATCTTCGAATGTTGATGACCGGACCCAACATGAGATTTATGCGCACCCGTTCTTGCGCAGCGTCATGGCCGGCGTTTCGTCCGTTATGTGCAGTTACAGTAAGTCTCACTAATGTTCTATATACACCATTCACATCATCTGAGGTCTGAATCGCAGATCTCATCAACGAAACTTACGCTTGCAACAACGACAAGATGCTAAATGATATCTTGAAGCGGGAGTACGGTTTCCAAGGTTTCGTTCAATCTGACTGGTCGGCGACGATGTCGACCCTCTCTGCTGTCGCAGGCCTTGACATGACCATGCCTGGTGATATCACATTTGACTCCGGCGACTCCTACTTCGGAGGGAACCTAACGGACTATGTGAACGACGGCTACATCAGCATGGCTCGCCTGGATGACATGGCGACGCGCATCATTGCTGCTTGGTACTTCCTTCACCAGGACGAGGCCTACCCTGCGACGAACTTCAACGCGTTTAATCCTAACGACGAAGTGAACAACAAGCATGTGAACGTGCAGGCTGACCACTATAAGCTCGTGAGGGAGATTGACGCAGCCGGAACGGTCCTTTTGAAAAATGTAAATGGGGCGCTGCCATTGAACAAGCCGAGGAACCTGGTATTGATCGGAAGCGATGCCGGTCCAGGCAAATTCGGCCCGAACGAGTTTTCAGATCAAGGTGGAAGTGACGGGATTCTGGCCATGGGCTGGGGATCTGGGTATGTGCTCTCTCAGACGTACTTGTACTTTTCCTGAAAATTGATCGACGACATATAGGACTGGTTACTTCCCTTACCTTATTTCACCTCTCGAGGGTATTCAGGAGCGTGCTCGCCAGGACGGGAGCAGCGTGTTCTGGGACTTTGACGACTGGAACACCGTTCTGGCTGGTAATATGGCGTATGGCGAGGCTGTTGCTCTCGTTTTCACCAACTCAGACTCTGGGGAGGATTATATTACTGTGGATGGTAATCAGGGAGATCGGTACGTTCCTCGCATATCTTCGAGTGATGTCTTTGCTCAATTCAAGCCAGTAACAACCTCACTGCTTGGCACAATGGTGATGACCTGATCCTTGCTGTTGCTGCGCAGAACAACAATACGATAGTCGTCGTGAACAGTGTCGGCCCGCTCATTATAGAGCCTTGGATTGAGCACCCTAACATCACCGCTGTCGTCTGGGCCGGCATCCAGGGCCAGGAGGCAGGTAATGGTATTGCTGACATACTTTATGGCGCATACAACCCTTCTGGAAAACTTCCGTATACTATTGCTAAAGATGTCGCCGATTATCCCGCTCAACTCGTCACCAATGATCCAGGAAGCGAGATCGTGAATATTGATTACACGGAGGGGTATGTCAACCGAACTAATATCGACTTGCATTGATATTGATTTCACTTCGCAGGCTGTTCATCGATTATCGCCACTTTGATCAAGTGAGTTCCCTGATTTTACTAGGCGTTTTCAAGTCTTAAACAAGTGTGAATGCAGGCAAACATCACGCCGCGCTTCGAGTTTGGCTTCGGCTTGAGTTATACCATGTTCACGTACTCTAACCTTGGCGTAACTCCGATTCAGTCGTCAGATACTGATCAAGAGAGTTTGATCTCTGCTTGGGAGAATGGGGAGGCTTCGCCCATCGCTGAAGGGTCTTCCACTGCGCTTTGGTGAGCTTTATTCAGACCAATGAAGAATCTGCAGGCTGATACCACTACTTACTAGGCTCCACGAGCCTGCATTCCAGGTAACTTTCGAGGTCACGAACACTGGACCTGTATCTGGGACTGAGGTTCGTGACACCCATTATCCTCGTTATCTCGATATTTACACCTAATCTACTCGAATAGATTCCTCAACTCTACATTCACTTCCCGTCCTCCGCTAGTGAGCCTCCATCAGTCCTGAGGGGCTTCACAAACGTCGAAATCTCGCCGAACGACACGAAACAAGTCTCAATAACGCTCTCGCGCTATGACCTGTCTATCTGGGACGTCGTCGCCCAGGGGTGGCGCAAGCCCGCCGGCCAGATCTCGTTCTCGATTGGTGCGAGTAGCAGGGACTTTAAGCTGCAGGGTAACATTCCTGCTTGATCGTGCTTGTTTAAGACACTTTTTGATTTGATTCAGTACATGTACTTAGTGAAAATTAACGTAGTGCGATTAATGCATCATCGTGGGTCAAACGATGGTGGGATGTCGTTGATATGCAGCATACATTAAACATTCTATGGGTAGCCGTTGCATTCTCAAAGTGTGATATGGGGACATGGCGTTCGTGGGCTCGGGGACATATTTTATGAACATACCAGATGGCCTGAATGAATGAGTGGGTCGCCGCAGAGCATGACCTTCATCGCTCCCTGTCACATTCAAGTTCAACGATCGCGGATTTGGACCGGGCGCCAGAGGTACTAAGTTAGGCCCCGCTCGGATAACTTTAGGTTCGTGTCATTAGTTCGGCCTGCGGCCCGGCAGCCCAATGTAGTACGTGGATGTGTTCGTTGTACGAGAGAACAGTTACATTTCAAATTTTATAAGTGAAATTTCTTACTTGGATGGTTTTCATCAGTGCTAACTTTGTCGCTTCAGCTAGTCACGACGCGTAGCACACGTGCACGTATACGTGGATGTAGGCATGGTTATACATACTTCGGTTTGAATCAAGTACAAAGTGTCAGTTCAAATCTACAGCGCTACATAGTAATCTCTGATCCTTCTTAAGTCCACATACAGGAAACCGACGCATGCAGCCGCCATCATGCTATCTAAGCTGCTGTCGTCGTTGTGTTTTGTCCTAGGTGCACCGGCTGCCCTGACTCCGTCTGCTGCAATGCCATCTACTCCAGGTGGCAATGTTAGTGCTACTGTACTTGGCCCATATTCGCCGGTGACAACCTCGTTTAGTTCTTCATCAAGTTCTGCTGCAAGCTCCACGACATCTTTTGCTTCCACCAGCATCTCAAACGCGTCTACAACCGGTGTTATCACTGTTCCGCTCTCTAGCTATTTATTCACCCCCTATCCCACACCTACTCTCAATCCTCGTCCTCCTATTTACCCTGAAACTGATCCTTTGAATCCTCCTTCTGTCAGCAGTGATCCGCAAGTCGTGCCTGATTTTACACCTGCATGGTCTGCCGCTTACCAGAAGGCAAAAAACCTTGTGAGTTCATTCTTGTCAATGTTTGATTGTCTGACCGAATCTTCTATATCGACACGTGCTTGGTACTCAGATATCGGATTACACCGTCGAAGAAAAGGTCAATATCACAACTGGGGTTGGTTGGGCGAACGGGTTGTGTATTGGCAATATCCCACCCAATAGAAATTTCCCCGGTTTATGTCTTGACGTGCGTAGCTTGTTTTTACATACATAAAAAGTGTTTCTCTCAGGATTCACTAGAATTCGCCTCTCGCCGTTTTTTTTGTCGACTACGTGACTGCGTTCCCCGCTGGCATTCAGGTAGCGTCCACGCAAGTTATCTTTGAGTTCACCAACTTTACATGTCTGATATCTATCACAGCTGGAATCGTGCTCTGATGCGTGCTCGTGGCCTGGCTTTGGGTCAGGAGTTCAAGGGCAAGGGCGTCAACCTTGCCCTTGGTCCCATGATGAACATGGGTCGCGTCCCTCAAGGTGGCCGTAACTGGGAGGGTTTCGGTTCAGATCCTTTCCTGACCGGCGAATCCGCATACGAGACAATCTTAGGCCTGCAAAATGGCGGAGTACAAGCCACTGCCAAGCACTTTATCAACTAGTTTGTCTTTTCTTACGCTTGTTTGCTCTTGTGCTTATCCCACCAGTGAGCAGGAACACTTCCCCACATTAGAATCTTCAAATGTTGATGATCGGACTCAGCATGAGATTTACGCTCACCCGTTCTTGCGCAGCGTTATGGCCGGCGTTTCGTCCGTCATGTGCAGTTACAGTAAGTTTCAATCATGTTCTACATATGCCATTTACATCATTCGAGGTCTGAATCGCAGATCTCATCAACGAAACTTACGCTTGCAACAACGACAAGATGCTAAATGATATCTTGAAGCGGGAGTACGGTTTCCAAGGCTTCGTTCAATCTGACTGGTCGGCGACGATGTCGACCCTCTCTGCTGTCGCAGGCCTTGACATGACCATGCCTGGTGATATCGCGTTTGACTCCGGCAACTCCTACTTCGGAGGCAACCTGACGGACTACGTGAACGACGGCTACATCAGCATGGCTCGCCTGGACGACATGGCAACGCGTATCATTGCTGCTTGGTACTTCCTTCACCAGGACGAGGCCTACCCTGCGACGAACTTCAACGCGTTCAATCCCAATGACGAAGTGCACAACAAGCATGTGAACGTGCAGGCTGACCATTATAAGCTTGTAAGGGAGATTGGCGCAGCCGGAACGGTCCTTTTGAAAAATGTAAATGGGGCGCTGCCATTGAACAAGCCGAGGAACATGGTATTGATCGGAAGCGATGCCGGTCCAGGCCAATTTGGCCCGAACGAGTTCCCATATCAAGGTGGAAGTGATGGGATTCTGGCTATGGGCTGGGGATCTGGGTATGTTCACTCGAAAATATTGTTCCTCAGCACTGATTGACGACACAGGACTGGTTACTTCCCTTACCTTATTTCGCCTCTCGAGGGTATCCAGGAGCGTGCTCGCCAGGACGGGAGCAGCGTGTTCTGGGACTTTGACGACTGGAACACCACTCTGGCTGGTAATATGGCGTATGGCGAGGCTGTTGCTCTCGTTTTCACTAACTCCGACTCTGGCGAGGATATCGTCACTGTTGATGGTAATCAGGGAGATCGGTACATTCCTCGCATATCTTCAAGTGATAGCTGTGCTCATTTCGAGCCAGTAACAACCTCACTGCTTGGCACAACGGTGATGACCTGATCCTTGCTGTTGCTGCGCAGAACAACAATACGATAGTCGTCGTGAACAGTGTCGGCCCGCTCATTATAGAGCCTTGGATTGAGCACCCTAACATCACCGCTGTCGTCTGGGCTGGGATTCAAGGCCAGGAGGCAGGTAATGCTATCGCTGACGTACTTTATGGCGCATACAACCCTTCTGGAAAACTTCCGTATACTATTGCTAAAGATGTCGCCGATTATCCCGCTCAACTCGTCACCAATGATCCAGGAAGCGAGATCGTGAATATTGATTACACGGAGGGGTACGTGCACACCCCAAGGCCGCAGTATATTGATCCCACGGTCCTTGTAGGTTATTCGTCGATTATCGCCACTTTGACCAAGTAAGTTTCCCAACCTTATGTGGTGCTTTCGTATCTCTAACAAGGATAAATGTAGGCAAATATCACGCCGCGCTTCGAGTTCGGCTTCGGCTTGAGTTACACCACGTTCACGTACTCTGACCTTTGCGTGACTCCGATTCAGTCATCGGACACTGATAAGGAGAATTTGATCACTGCTTGGGAGAGTGGAAAGGTTTCGCCCATCGCTGAAGGATCTTCCACTGCGCTTTGGTGAGTTTAATTCAAACCAATGAAGGATCTACAGACTGATACCATTATTTATTAGGCTCCACGAGCCTGCATTCCAGGTTACTTTCGAGGTCACGAACACTGGAACTGCAACTGGGACTGAGGTTTGTGACACCCATTAACCTCGCTATCTTATATTTACGCTCAAGTCACTCGCATAGATCCCTCAACTCTACATCCACCACCCGTCTTCCGCTAACGAGCCTCCATCAGTCCTAAAGGGTTTCACAAATGTCGAAATTTCGCCGTACGACACGAAGCAAGTCTCGATAACGCTCTCGCGCTATGACTTGTCTATCTGGGACGTCGTCGCTCAGGGGTGGCGCAAACCTGACGGCCAGATCTCGTTTTCCATCGGTGCGAGCAGTAGGGACTTTAGGCTACAGGGCGACATTCCTACTTGACGAAGTGCGTGTACTTGCTGTAGTTTTTGTGTACAATGAAATTATTACAATGAATCTTAAATACCGCCACGATAGTCCAGATCTATATGCTCCCTGTGCAGTACTCGATTAGAGTACTTCCATGCTACACACCACTGCTAAGTAACAGGTGTCCATGCTCCTGGAAGGCACTCGCAGTCATGCCACTTCCTTCGTCAAACTCGGCCGCGAGTTCAGCGTGATATTGTCGAACACTAAGGACCAGACGTGGTCCCAGCACAAACATTTGCACCGGCTGGGCAAAATTGAGAATGCCGAAATAAATACTACTTTCCAGGGAATCAGAGGACTGCAGGAATGATTAGGAATGGTTAGATGCAAATGACTATCACGGATTGGCGTACCAGCTCTGGAGACAGTGGGCCGAGGTAGAGGCAAGATACGGCAGCAAAGCTAGTACATGCAGAACTTCAGCGAACAAGATAATAATATAATTCACGAAACTCACGACACAAAGTATAGCATATGGGTTTTGATTAAAACCGTGAAACAGTGTCCGATGGTCAATCCTGTTGGTCCATGTTGCCGTAATTCGCGGAAGTGGTCCACGACAATCCAGACCACAAGACAGAAGGCAATGAGCTCCCACATAATGGCAGGAATCCACGCCGTTTCGTGGAGATGGACAGCATCTATGTCAGCGAAGACAATGGCACACTCATTGGTGCCAGAAAAGAAGCGTTCCTCTGATATTTGCCCGTCAGTCCCGTGTGCTCAAGGCTTGTATATCTACAGCTGAAAGCTTACCCCCTGAAACGCCAATGCCTGCAAATATCACCATAACTCCGGTCGTAATAGTTGAAGCCATCAAGACAACGATGAGAAAGATGAACATCTTTTTGGATCGCCCATACATGGCGTGTATGCGAGTCATCATGACGACTTGCATGATGGTCAATATTAGTAGGATACCGCAACTGAACAACTCACCGCCCAGCATCGCATTGACGACGATAGTCATCCATACCAGCGTAAACCAAAGGATGGCGCCTGAAAACACGGGTTACTTGGAGGACTCGATAATTCAAATGAACGTACAGCTGACGTGCTTATCATGTCAGATCAACAAGCCGCCAGAAAATGATACTCACCCCTGTATGGGGCTTGAATGAGCAAAAGGGGACGCCGGCCATCATACAGAATACCCACTGCATTTGTCATTGATACTGAATTGAGATGCCCTATATGCCACTGGTCAGAAGACTGGGACACGGACACAGTGTATTTTGAAATACATACACAGCATGTTGATGCTGATTGCGAGATGTGGTTTATTAGCACGGTGCAGTGCCACCTAATAAATAATCTTGCAAACTGTACGTACACACAATATAGTAGTCCAATGTAGCGCACCTAGCGTATTCAAGTTGAAGTCAGCACAACTTGTCGACTACGCTCATAGCATAACCTACACAAATATATAGAACAGTCATAAGGGACCAGTGTTGCGTCTTCTTCATTATCTTCCTGTGTTTCTGATATAGGACTTTTGCTCACCCAGACCAGTTCGATCTGTTACAACATGCTGAGCGACTTCGCTGATAAAATACGTTGATTTGCTACCTCTTGTCCGAATGCTAAGGCTTGAACATACATCCACATGGTTATCAATAAAAAGTTCTTTCGGAAAGAATGATCTCGCTCACCCCAATCGTATGCCACCACAGCGGAGGATGCAACTGCGAAACCACAGTCAAAGGGAGTGAGATATATGGCGCATCCGCCTTGTTCAAATTCTTCACGAACCTAAAAAGTAGCTGGAAATACGGTTCCAGTCGAGAAATGGCCACCAATAGAGATCATGTGAGATGTAAGACATGGTAGTCGGAATCAGTGGTCAGTGAACGTTTGAACTTCAAAGGCGGAGATGATATCCCATCACATCCTGTTGTTGCACTTATCAAGGTTATCATTGGGCGCAGACTGAGCACAGCAACTTGAGTATTGCCATACTATACCAACGATATCAAATTATAGTGGCCCTGGTACCTTGAAGTATGAGTTGGAACAGGTAGACATGTACACCGGAACAAGACCGACGTCGGAAAAACGCCTCGCTTTACGATATATATTATGTAATTCGGCCTTGGCGCATACTATGTAGTGGTCGCACGACTGTAGTCCCTGGCTAACCTCCAATCGTGCACACAAGTCCGAGCCCTCTACTTGATTGCAACTCTTCGCCATCATATTCCAACGGATCAGCGAGACTCAACAGCGCCGGTGCATAGCTATGGTATCAGAGTATCATTTTGCACACTCTGACCCTATTTATACTCGATCTCCTGTGCCTTTCGGATATTCTATGCGGGAGCTACACAGACACTGGCACAACCTCATGCTTGCTTCAATCATCCGCCACTCACAAATTTGTCGCCTTGTGGAGAGTATTTGACGGTCATAACCCATCCGTGACTGGTCTCTATGGGTGGTGCTATTTGTCGACCAGTATTCGGGTTCCAGCGTCGTATGGTGCTGTCCTGCGATCCACTTGCTATCTCCAGGGAATTGCGAGACCAATCGAGGCACATTACTGCAGCGTCGTGCCCCTACAGCGAGTCGCCGATCATGCTGCTCTCCTTTATATTCCACGCCCGCAGTCTACCATCTCCACTTCCACAAATGGCCATTGTTTCATCTGGGGATACCACCATCGAACCCGTCCCTCCTCCATCGCTATTCAAAGGTTTTCCTACTGGCTCTCCGTCTGTTTTTCATTGACGAATCGAACTATCCACAGATGTGCTCATTATATTGCCACTGGTACCCAAGTAGGCAAGGCTCCATATGCATTCGGAGTGACCCTCGATGACGCACTCTGGCGTCAAACTCCCTGTCGGACGTTCTGGTTTTGGTTTCTTCCATGATGTGGTCCGAGTATTGTGGTTGACGAAGTAGGACCACCCAGTTGTGCCATTCACATCCAGGAACAGCGAGATATCCGGGATAATTGTGAGTCCGTCACTCCTTGTTTTGCAATTTCGTTCCTCACCTAGCCACACTCCTGGTAAAGGCCGGTTCCCCGAGACCATCGTGAGCGTGTTATCTTGATATTTTGATATTGTGTGTTACCATCTGACGACGATTTATACTGCTGCCACACAGGAGGAAGCGTTTCATTCCCGCCTGCTTTTAATTGAGTAAGCTGGTAGGTATCATAAGGTAGCTGCTCGCCTTTCCAAAGTGCATCCTGGCGATGCTGTGCAACATATGGTGGTGGATATTTCGCGCTCATCCGATATGTAGTGAGTGCAATGGCACTTCTTGTTGTCTGTCTCTCCGTTGTGCTGATATGCTTGACTCGCCAACTTCGCCTAGCATGATTCTGATCAAGAAGGGACGCCGTGCTTCCAGATGGTTGGACGATGGGCTAGAGGCTAAGCTTGATAATGGGCAAAATCAATAGCGAAGATGGTGGAAGCGATGGAGAGACCTGTTAGACGCTCAGGCTCACATGCTGTATTTACAGGCGCCTTCCTTGCACTGCATGATTAGAGGCAGTGTCACATGCTGTTGAAAGAAGCGACCCGCCAAATTTTGGAGTACATAGTTTGTTATGTTTTGCCAATCGAGCAACTCGGACAGTGCATATATCGACATTTGAGTCCGTACACTGTGCATGGGCCACAGCACGTAGCAACACTTCTTCCCAGTTACATACCCGGGCTGGGTGCACCCTCCTCACAATAACGCAAGTGCCAGAGCCACCAGTGCACCAACTCCCACTAGGATCGCCTTCCCAGCTAACATCAAGCTCCCCGCGCAAAAGACCATTTGGTGCATTCCATAAAACGGAGCAGGTGTTGTCAGTACGTGGGGTGGATCTAGAGAAAGTAGCGCAAGGGAAAGGAAATGCACGAAGAGGGATGGATCCGAGTGTGCGAGTGACAGTCACTGTAGCAAATGGTTTTAGAGAAGTCAGACACAGGTGCGGGGGAAAGAGAACTGAACTGATTGTGTGGCTGCCACATGTCTTCCATCCTTCATGACTGATGCAAAGCAGGACGACGACGACCAAAGAAAAGTCCGCAGCAGCTCACTCCTTCATACGCAAAGTCTTCCGCTCTGCCAGTTGAGCGTTGTGCTTCGGTTTTAATTGCTTGTACTTGAGATGCCTGTGTCCCTGCTGGTTGACCTGATTGTATCCAATTGTCGGCCTCATTGCCATCTGTGCGTTGCATAGCTGCGGCTGCTTCCGCATCAGTTTCATGGACAATGCCATATCTCTGCGATGTAATTTAATGGGATGAAAGAAGAGCAAAGGTGAGTCACTTACATCTTCATCGCGGGCGGGAGCCACATCAACGGTGCGGCTTGAATTTCTTACAGGAAGTAAATTGAAATTCCAATGTTGGGATTTATGCTGAGATGGTCGGGGCGCATCTGTAGGTTGTTTGCCGAAATGTATGGAACTGAGCCAACGAATAAGGGACGATGAGCTTGCAGTTGGAGCTGCGCGGCGAGGTGTGCGATTTGGATCATTACCGAAGAAATCATTGCCCTGTATCAAAGTCAAATTAGCGAGAGCTGGAGAACGAAAAAAACTACTGACATATTTCGCTGAGCCTCTGGTATTGGCCTGTTGTACGAAATGCAGATGGACGTTAAGAATCTAGCGGAACATGAGAAAGATGAGATTCCTCACGATTGGCGGGCGCACGATTCTCGGTTGGGCTGGACGTCCCTAGTAAAAAGTGAGATTTATTGTGAAACAGAAGCAGAGAAGACTTACCTTGAGCTTTGCATTTCCATCATCCGCACCCTAATAGCCAAAACCATCAGGAAGGAAATCGGACAACAAAGCGCATACGTGCCACAACGTTTTTGAGCGCCGCCTCCAGGCTCCATACATAGATTTTTTTGTCTGATCCAGTGCTGGCAATGTATTTACCATCGGGGGACATGGCAACAGCCAAGACTTGGTCATCATGTAAGAGTGGATCTCCGGCTGCCTGATTGGTCTTGAGCTTGAGATCCCAAATGCGAATGGAGAAATCCTCTGATGCGCTAACAATATAGCTTTCATCGGGAGTAAGACAGATGGAGTTCACAGCGTTGGTGTGACCTCGAAAAATGACGAGTTCCTGTGCATCAATCGCCCGCCATTTACGAATGGTGGTATCAAGTGAAGCAGAAAAGATATGTGCGCCGTCCTTGGACCAACACAATGACGTCACCCAGTTTTCATGTCCCTTGATCTCGAAAAGCAGCTTGCCGTCCCTTGACCACACGCAGATCGCGCCGCGCCCGCCACTCACAAATTTGTCGCCTTGTGGAGAGTATTTGACGGTCATAACCCATCCGTGACTGGTCTCTATGGGTGGTGCTATTTGTCGACCAGTATTCGGGTTCCAGCGTCGTATGGTGCCGTCCTGCGATCCACTTGCTATCTCCAGGGAATTGCGAGACCAATCGAGGCACATTACTGCAGCGTCGTGCCCCTCCAGCGGGTCGCCGATCATGCTGCCCTCCTTTATATTCCAAACCCGCAGTCTGCCATCTCCACTTCCACAAATGGCCATTGTTTCATCTGGGGATACCACCATCGAACCTATCCCTCCTCCATCGCTATTCAAAGGTTTTCCTACTGGCTCTCCGTCTGTTTTCCACTGACGAATCGAACTATCCACAGACGTGCTCATTATATTGCCACTGGTACTCAAGTAGGCAAGGCTCCATATGCATTCGGAGTGACCCTCGATGACGCACTCTGGCGTCAAACTCCCTGTCGGACGTTCTGGTTTTGGTTTCTTCCATGATGTGGTCCGAGTATTGTGGTTGACGAAGTAGGACCGACCCAGTTGTGAGATGTGCCATTCACATCCAGGAACAATGAGATATCCGGGATAATCTAATTTCAACTGTGAGTTTACCGCTCCTTGTCACAATTTCATCCCTCACCTAGTCGCACTCCTGGTAAAGGCCGGTTCCCCGAGACCATCGTGAGCGTGTTATCTTGATATTGTGTGTTATCATCTGACGACGATTTATACTGCTGCCACATAGGAGGAAGCGCTTCATTCCCGCCTGCTTCTAATTGAGTAAGCTGGTAAGTATCATAAGGTAGCTGCTCGCCTTTCCAAAGTGCATCCTGGCGATGCTGTGCACCATATGGTGGTGGATATTTCGCGCTCGTCCGATATGTCGGTGAGTACAATAGCGTTTCTCCCTGTTTCCTTGACGTGCTTGACTCGGCCTCTCCATGTGCCATGACCTTGATCGATATGGGTTGTACAGATAGACTGGACAGAAAACACTGCACAAAGTCAATGATCGAGGGGAAGGAGAGATATGGGGTGAAAGCGATGAAGGGAAATGCTATTTGGGTCAGTTTTGCATGATGTGGTTATAAGCGCCTTGCTGACACCGTATGTCAATGGCTGTGTGACAATCGGATCAAGTACTTACCTCGGTCCGGTTCAAATTTTGAGGCGGTTCGATGTACATTGGTCTGATATGTACATCTCGTCAGCGACTGGAATTATATGATGTGTGTTTGAGCGGATGCATACCCATATCGAATCCGTACGCTGTGCGCAGCGCGTAGCAGCACTCCCGAGCAAAGCGCCACCAGGACTGACGGGAAATTACATGACTGACGGGAACAGGGACATATACAAGGATCGCTTGATGTTTTCTGCGATCAACATCCCCGCGTTGGACGTTGATACAGCTATTATCCGGAGTCTAGTTCTGAACCATCTTGTCATGACACCACAAGCCAGGCAGCCCATCCCCATCAGTGTCACGTTCCCCCCGAACCATTGAGTTACATGAAGCGAAGCCGATTTGCCCGAGGCCATGTTTTCGTGTAGAACCTGTAAAAGAGCATAGGAAGAGGAAGGGAGGCGTATGTGTAGAAAGGGCACACCGGTGCTGAGTGTGCAAGTGAAGGTGAATGGGGACCATGAGAGGAGAGCTTACTATACGGCACACAGTTCAGACACTGAGTACTGAGTACTGATGTCTGGGAGAGGGTCTGATTATGTGATTGGCATACACGTTCCGAATCTACATACATAGAGCGCGAACGTAGTTTCTTTGGAAAGCTTATTTCAGTATCAATGCAAACCAAAGTCTTAGTAAGCAGATCATGAATTCTTGTCAAAACCATGACCACCATTTGGACCGTTGAACGCCATTGTCGACCAAGGACATTTGCAATTTGGCTTTGAAACAAACAGCGATCCAACTTGTCTCAGATGAGTCGGCGCCAGAGCACAATGTGCCAAAGAAAGAGCATCCAACTATCGTGCGTGGAATGACAAGACAACCTTCTACTCGACCACCCCATTCAGAGCATCCTGTACGGTCCCTACAGTGAGTTGAGGTCGCACTCGATCTCATAACGCCGGTATCTGAAGAGAGTGGTGCTCTCGGAACTAGTGAGTTCGAGGGAGGTTGTACTAAACGAACGCTCTCGCAAGCGGAAATTGACCACCGGCTTCAGACGGTGACCAAAGCAGGAACAGGCTGTATTGCTCGCTGCGCCAAGAAACACTTGGTTGTGGAGAATGGCGATGCCCCCTCCTCCACCTAAACCCTTGTCCGCTCCACTCTCTCGAAGTCGGAATTAATTGCCTTGGTTCAAGGCAGCCGACAGGCGGTGTCGAAGATTGGAGTCATTTGAACAGACAAAGGCAGCACACGAGGAAGAAAAATGTGGGGTGTGATCTGACGTGGATGTGGATACTGCAGGCTGCGAAGAGGGAAGCTGTACGAGAAGCATTGCGTCTCAGTGCTCTAGCTTCATAGTCTATAATATGCTGCAAAACAATTCACTATTGTCTTCGCACTTTGTGTCGATGCCATTATGTTGTTTCTGTCTGATTTATTTTGGATCAGCGTAAGGGTTTGTCTCTTTTCAATTTGACCTCTCTAAACGGGTGAAGTGATGTATTCGTTGCCTCATACACTCACGAGCTGCCATAATTGCTCCAGAAAATCTGTCAAGGGTCCTCTTCGTCGAGCTCGTACGTCTTCTCAGTTGCGCTATCTCCTGAATATGCGTCGTTCTATCAGGTCCATACGTTTTTGATCGCCTCTTCAGCCAAGTCTGCACGGCCGGCCATAACAGAGAATCTGCGACCAATGAGACTCGATTATCCTGGATCTGACCGAGGAATTCATGTCCGACCAGTGCCCACTGCCCATCCGTTCATCAGTTGATTCTGTTCACAGGCTCACCACCCACATGTACACTCCATCTGTTACACGCGATCTCACTTCCGATGTCCTGGGCTGAAGGTGTTGTCTTGAGGAATTGACTTTGAAATTGTAAGCAGACTCGGAGTTGAACGTTCCGTTGAGAACGTTGAAATCTGATTCTTGCTGGTCCAATCACGCTGATCGTATGGTGCAAAGCAAAAAAAAATTCAATCTTCCCAGGCGCGTGGCACAGTGCGCTGAAGTCGACGTTCCTCTCGGCAGTCTGCTTCTTTATTGTCTGATGTCACAAAAGTTATCCTGGTCATCGAAAATCTCCTTAATGGACAATCCGTTCTCTGCCCTGTACAACTAAGGGTAATCTATTGTAGTGAAGCAAGTTGCTTCGTCAGAGCTCTCCGCGAGCTGAGCGTGATATTCTCGAATGCTAAGGATGAGACGTGGTCCCAACACAAACATCTGCATGGCCTGGGCAACTTCGCTAATACCGTAATAAAAATCGACTCCCACAGAAAAGGACTTTAGAAATGATGAGCAGGATACAGGTAACAGCGAACAGTCGGCTTACCGAGAGATTTGGAGACAGTATGCTGAGGTTGAAGCAAGACACAGCAGCAAAGCTAGCACATCCATAACTTCAGTGAGGCAATAATATCAAGATCGCTTGAACTCACGCTACAAAGTACAGCATATGACCCCTCATTAAAACCATGAAACATTCTCTAATGTTCGCCCCTGCCTGTGATTTTTTCAGTTCGCAGAACTTTTTGACAACAATCCAGACTGCAAGACACAAAGCAAGGATTTCCCATACAGTGGTGGGTATCAGAGTTTCGACATTTAGATGTGCGTCCTCTGTGTTCATATTTTCGGAACACTGACGGTTGCCAGAACGGATGTTCTCCACTGATATCTGTCCATGAGTCCTGAAGATTTCATTCATAATTTAAGCTTACCCCCTGAAACACCGATATTTCCTATCACTGTCATAACCACAGAGGCAATCGTACAAGCCAGTAAGACCACAATGAGAAAGGTGAGTATTCTTTTGGATCCCTGGTACATAGCATGTATCCGAGTTGCCATGATGACTTGCAAAAATTTCAGTCAAGTTAATATCACTAGGGGCCACACTCACCTCCCAGCATGGCATTAATTATCGGAGGCGTCCATGCAAGCATGAACCACAAAATGTTGCCTGAAAACCCAGTCATCGGTGCACATTATTTAAACAAATACTTCGAATCAACTCACAGCTGTTGAAGTTGTCAACTTGAAGAAAAAGCTGGCGAGAAATCACTCACCCCTAGGAGCGTAATTAGTAGTTGAATGGGAAAGTAGACATCGGCGAAGAATACCCACTGCATCTGTAATAGAGATTTGGAAATTCACTGCATGCCATAAGTCAGAAGAAACGAACGTATACTATGAGCACACGTACACAGTATGTAGATGCTGGTTGTGAAAGATGGCTTATTAGCGCAGTACACTGGCTAGCGTTGAAAACATACATTGAAACGAGCATTCCACTGTAGCGAACCTAGCATATGGCAAAGTCAGCACAACTTGACAACTGCATTCATGATATTAAAAACGCACGCAAACATAAAGAACATTCATAAGAGAGCAGCGTTGCTTCTGCCCCAAATCGACTGTATTACCCCAGTGTTTTGCTTCTGATATAGTATTTTGCTCACCAATATTAGTTCGAGCTGTTGTTCAATCTTAGTGAGATGGCTGCACCAGTGATGGTACCAACTTGCCTCTTGTGCAAACGTAAGTACTTGAAAGCATATTTAGACCAATGGTCTCCCTCTGAAGGCATTATCTTGCTCACCCCAATCATATATCACTATGGTCAAGGACGCAACTGCGAAACCACAGTCAATGACAATGAGATATCACTAACATCATGGGACGAACTTATAAAATAGTTGTACCTATGATTCCATTCGAGATAAGGCCAATAAGAGGGATCGTTCGATATGTAGGTCATGTTGAGATCAGGGGACTTTGTGTACGATGGTGTTTGTATACGTACAGGTGTATACTATCCTGCAGTGCTTTTATAGTGATATACAGCAAAGATACAGCAACGATTGTTGTATAAAAAGATCCAGCCTAGTCCGAGTCGGTCACCAATAAGATGCAGAGGAAACTGCAGAATTATATGCACGCGGACATGGCAATCAGTACTAGTAAGTAACGAGTCATGGGAAGATGCCGATCGATCAACGCACGTTCTTTGTAGATCATGTTACGGGATACTTAATTGATGTACGGATCCGTCATCTTCGCCAGTCCTATGATTGGGTTAACACTAACTGGCCCCCAGCATGCATGGTATCCGAGCACGCGGTTTGGCCATCACGAACACGTTTCAATTGACATTTAACGCCAAACCGTACTTTGATTCATATCGAGTCCACCAATTAACCCACGGCACATGTCCTGTTTGGCTCTGATGGGGGTACTGGTACGAGTTCAATCGCTTTTCGCGGGAGCGCGGACAGGTCCCAACGGGTGACAGCCTGAGTGTGAAATGATCGAAGCAATCTGCTGTAGAGGATAGCATTTGTTCTGGGCAACCCAATCCACTACAAAGGCTTGTCACCAATTTAGTACTCACAGCCTGTGGTAACCTACCATGTGGTGCTCGATTTCAGGGCGTTCATTGAAGCCATGTGGGCGAGTCTAATATAGTTGTCCACGTTTCCATCTAACCTAAGTCATCATCTCAGAATGAATCCCAGACACTAAATATTACTGGTTACTCCCTTTTACTCCCCCTTTCAGGTATTGCACACTGGGACGGTTGCGCACCTCCAGCAACCTTCCGAAGCCACGAACATGGCAGGACCTCACCGAAACGCACCAAACAAATCCTCTGGTATCTTCGAGCCCTTGAGCGCTGCTACACTGGGTCCACTAAGTTAAATACCAACCAGTAAACTCCACAACGATCAATATCTCCTTTTGATCATTATCGTCGAAAACGAGAATGAAAGGCATCTCTCGTATAACGCCATAGATCGCGTAATCTGAAGTCTGCAGCCACATTAGAGATGACCCAACACCGCCCATCAATCCTGACTTACTTGTTGGATCGAAACCTCGTGGGTCCACAAGATAATACGAAACTGTATCGCGTTGCGGACACATGAACAACTTTGACGAGAAAGAGGCAAGTCCTTCGATTTTGTGACTCGCTGCAAGATCGAAAACCTCACTATTGAGGACTGAATGGATGGGTGCTTGTTTTCATGTCCGCATGTGTGAAATTCTTGTCCTGTTACACAAAGTCAGTATATTTATAACAAGATGAATGAATACGCACCACCATAAAGCTCGATCATTTCAGCTACGAATATTTCCGCTATTTTGTTGAGCTGGATGAGTGTCGGTTCATTGGGTCCAGGGATAACCATAGTTTTTTCGGTAAGGTAGTGAAGACCACGAGATTGTTGCAACAGGTCATGTAGAGGGCCCCCGTAGAGTGGTTGCTACGCTTGACAGCTTGGAACCTGATGTACAAATACTGATGAGAGCATTTGATGTCTGGTGGATGGACCACGTACCAATCGAGATTAATCTACCATACGAGTCCACAAGGCAGTGAAATGAAGCGGTTATGAACATCGTCATCCAAGACACGAAATTGGTCATTTTCATAACATGTGCGTTGCAAACCAGCTCGAATTGCACGTCAGCCCCAGGCATCGCGCATGTCACGCATGGGACTAGAAGGGTCTATAAAGGCATTATCACAACATCATGTCGAGGTTCTTGCACATAGTCGTTGATAGGTGGGTCTGGGAGCAATGGCATCCAGCTGGTTTCAAGGGGTATTGAATTCCTGTTGGGGATGGGGGAGTACCGCCGTTGTTGGTCTGTCTTCCGCATTTCCAGATGCTCTCCATAGTGTTACGCCATCGCCATCGTCGGCTCAGATTTCTTATCCCACTCTGACTACAGCAGCTGAACAGGGCGACACACCATAGACTGAATGGCACGCCACCAACAGTGTTGTCTTCATAAGCAGTGTGCTTTTTTCGCTCAGCATCTGCACGTCGAGAAATTTGGAGAAGAGAAGCAAATGAACGAGACTAAAGTATGGACAAGAGGAATTTGCCAAGGAGTACTTGAGCATGGTTCGTGCATGAAGATGGAGAAGCCGAGAGTGTGTGTTGGACTTTGATCGCGCAAACGAAGTCTAAGTATCGAACTCGCATTGGATTCAGAATTTGTGTTTGGGGAGGGTGGTCCTGGGTAGATGAGGTGTCATACCCGTTTTCAAGTTGCCAACCAAGTCCTCGCTTGCATATCTCAGTAAGTGTATTCATTCATCTTGCATGTGGTAAGACAGCGAACAAGAGTTTCAAGGCGACGAATCCCCAAAAACAAAGGCAAACGCACCGTAAGCTATACAAGTCCCCCGCCACCCATCCTAACAGTATCCAAAACGGCCCTCACCGACTCATTCCATAACCGTCTCACGATCGAATCATCACGCGCTTCCAATAGCCTCCTCCGTACCAAGTCCGAAGGTGTCTCTAAGCGCCGCCGTCTCCGAAGGATCAAAGACAGCAGGGGAATTAGGAGGAACAACACCGATAGAGTGGCAATTTTGTTTGCGGTGAAATAGTAATTTAAATAGGATCGAATGAGTGCTAGGGAGGTTGGGGGCTGTGTGGTTGCAAGATTGTGGTCGACTGGAGGAAGGCGGGAGATGCGAACGGCACTGGCACTTGAACTTCCTCGGGGCACTGTGCTTTGGTTGTGGCGGTGACGAGGGGATATAGTCACCGTGACGTCTGAAACTGCAGATGTAGAGAATGTGGATTGTTGGCGGGTAATTTTTGGACGGGGAGATGCTGGGACTGCGGTGCGGGTAGATGTGGTTGATAGAGAGGAGGAGGAGGATGCCGGGGATAGAGAGCGGAGTGGATGTATTGGTATAGGGGAGGGAGGAGGCTCGGGTTTTGGCGTCTCCCGCTTTGTACTCTCTAGCGCCTGAGCATGTTGGGCCTCAAGAGCCGAATGAAGTTCCTGGCAATATCATATTCAGTAGAATACAAGAATCATGAAATTAAACTCACGCGTCTTTTGTCAGATGAGAGCTCATTCTCGTCTGACAGAAATTCTTTGCCGTACTCCCACTCACCCAAACGAGGCAAGACATGCAGGCAGTAGAGTTCCAGAACCTTGTGATATGGTTCACCTGTTGAAGGCACGAACTCGTATTGGCCGCGTGTCGATAGCCAGTCCTCTGTGATGTCGCGACCGATATTTAAACAATCTATCTTGATGCTGGATGCTATGAGTGTGATGACGACTTGGTGCGGGAGGAATGCGGAGCTCGGCTTTCGATACAGTGACGAAGGAGTAAACAAAGTGAGAGATCGAGCATACAAATTGGAAATGAATGATTGGGGAGACAAGAGTAGGGATTCTCGGAGCGGCTGTGGTAAGCCAACGAGGTCTGGAGTAGAAGAGAAGACGGTGGTCTCGAGGGTGATGCGAAGGATGTCCCACTTTCTCCGGTGGACATCTAGGGGATCAGGCGAGGGCGCGAGGGGAGGTGGGAGGAGTGCGAACGCAGCGCTTAATAGTGTGAACGTGACTGCGACGTCTCGGTGAAGGAATGTTCGCGCTGCACGGTTGTACAGCGATTTTAGCGTTGCCTCCGTCGTCGACGAACTTTTGCTGGACGGTCTAAGTAGCTTGTCGGACATCGAGACAGTTGCCGTTGCCATCGTTGTTGTAGCGGTCGGCATTGCGGTCTGCTTGAAACTGGTAACCTGGTAAGTTCGGTGACCCGCAACCGCAGGTAAGTGAATGTCGGAATTAAAATGCCGCCGGCTTAGAAGATTGGTCATGAGTTGTAAGGCACGTTAAAGGTGCCTTTCAAAATTTCAAGGGCGGCTGAGGTCACTTGCAAAGTTAAACATGGTGTAATAGTCATGATGGACATATTCTAGTTACGCTAAAGATATGAATCACTGCAGTATATATTGACCTATCGACCCGTCTCTTTCTGAATCTCTTCAGCCATCATGTTTGTCAGCATTCTAGCCAGCGCTCCCGCAATTTCGATCGCCCTTCCCCTATCGCACTCCTGCAATTTGTGCACGGTGTGTGAGTTAAATTTGTCGGGGTGGAATCGAAGTATCTCTGCCTTCAGTCGGTCCTTGCGCGACTTGGTCTCGATTCCTGGGCGGAGGGGGTGGAAGATGAATTCCTCCATGCTGCGGCGCGAGATGTCATGAGGGGATGTACAGCCTTGCTGAAAGGTGGGCCACGGCATCTCGCAGAGCATGACCGAAGCCAAATTCTTGCTTAGTTTGAGCTCTTGCCACTTTGCGTCGTAGAGCTGGAAAAAAGCAACAATATTTGCTTGAGCTTTATTGCGACGAAGTTCTTCTTGGCGCTGCCTCTCTTGTCGTCGAGCTTCTGCCTGAAGGCGCTGTTCGGCTTGCTCACGGGCCCGACGTTCAGCTTCCTCCTGAGCTTTACGGAAAGCCTCTCGTTTGGCCTGGAGTTCGCGTTCGCGTTGTTCACGAAGACGCGCCTGCTCCTCTGCGCGACGCCTAAGTTCTTCCTGTCTGCGCCTGGCCTCCTCTTTTCTACGCTTCTCCTCCTCCTGCCGCTGACGTTCCTCCTCCAAGCGGCGCAGCTCCTCCAAACGGCGAGATTCCTCCTCTTCCTTCTTCTTCCGTGCATTCTCCTCCAATCGGAGGGCAGCTTGACGGTCGCGCTCCGCGTGCTCCAACTCACGTTGCGGACCCAATGCTTCAGCGCGTGCGACGACCTCTCTAGCATCTCCAAGCGCGTGCCCACGCAATTGATCGAGGCGGAGCTCCTGAAGCTGCTTGAGGAAGATACGATCTTCGGCGGTCATACCGTCGGCTTGCATAGTCTTGAAGGCGGCATTTTCGAGGTTGTCTAGGGCCACCGCTGCTTTTTTGCGCTTTAGCTTCGCTGGGTTGTAGAACCGGGGGCCTTTGCGACGGAGTCCAGGACGAGTGACTGTGAGATGGTAAGTGAAGCGTTTGTGCCAGAGTTTGCGGCGCGGGTGGATGATTTGACTGGGGAAAGCCTTGGTGGGGGCGTTCTTCTTGAAGACTTTTGGAGCAACGTTCTTGGGTAGATGCCTGACACGGGCGGTGTTGGCTGAGGCGGGCTCAAAAATGTACGGAAGACCCTGTGTGGGAGGTGCGTTGTAGTCAAAGAACGCAGGGACATTTGGCTTGCGGGCGCTTGAAGAGGAGTCGACGCGCGGTGAAGGAATACGCGAAAAAATGGTGGGACGAAAGATAGGCTTCTTCGAGGGGTTCAACATCCTGAATCCAGCAGGTGTTTGCGGAAAGAAGGGGATATGACGGTATGGCGACTTGTAGAACATATTTCTTCAAGGTAGTTGGACGTTGACTGAGTGTCTTGAGGTGTTGTGTTATGGTCTTGGAACATCACGCTCGTATGGAAGTGCGACCTTTAACGGCTTCAGCTGTGGATGTTCTCATTCGAGTAAAATGGTCCACAATTCATGCTACTTGTGTCGATCAATATGATTTCTTGAGGAGTTTCAGACTCCGTGACGAAGTAGTGGACATTACAATATATTGTCCTTCTGCGGTTCAGTTTAAAAATGTGGATGACTGATTTTGAAGGGGGTGACATCAATCAGTGGTAGCCAGTGAAAAAATGACAAGTTCAAGTTGCTCCGAGTAAAAAGCTTGTGGCCACTAAGGTTCGCATCCTTGGAATCCAGCTCGTTGGATTTCCTTGCCTTGGTAACAGTGGGCATGCAACAGCTTCAGGCGTCAGCAGTGTGAGTCAGTCTCGCAGTTAGCGACGTACCAACATATGAAAGTTATTCACGACATGTTAATTCAATGGTTCAAAGGAACTTATCATCATAATGGGTTTGAAACCATTTGTGGATTCTGCTTGTGGAGTCTGGTTGAGTCTCCAAAATGACGGAACAAATATTAGTCCACATGTGCAGTTCCGGCGTCATGATAACGAAGTTGATCAACGGACAAGTTGTCCACCGTGGTAAACTACAAATGTACCGGGTTCCCACGCCAGTCTGCCACAAACCTACACCGAGTCACGTCGATGCCAAACGCGCCGGGTCATCATCAGCGCTCTCCAAGCGCCAAGGCCGCCACACTAGCACTTTTGCGCCCAACTTACCGAGTCAAAGAACCCGCCTTGGACAGCGTGGCCGTCCCTGGTCCGGACAACTGTCCTGAAATGGCAGCTCAAACACATAAAAGAGTGGACAAAGCCCAAAAGAATCCTTTCATCCACACCCCTGTCGAAGCACCTGCGGTGAAACGTATTTGAACGAGCTTTCCAGGTTTACCAACACACTACTTTTACTGAACACTTTACTCACTGTTATCACCCACACCCCTATCGCACATCACGATACTCCACAATGGTATCTTCCATTCCCAATGTCACACGCCCGACTAATGTTGGCAACGCCAAAGGCTACTATCTCAGATGTCGTGATGTAGATGGCACGTCTGTAATGATCACTCAAACTGCTACTGGTCTTGGCGCTCATACGCGCTGGATCTACCCCGAACACGACACGAACGATAATGAAGAAGAAAACAGCATGGATGTAGACGAGGAGGGGGGCGCCACACCACCGCCAAGCACCACGGCGTGCTTCCCTCAGACTCCTGTAACACAGCATGCGTTCGACGCGGGCTCTGTCCTTCACACACCCGTAAAGAGGCCTCAGCCACTTCAGCGCAGCCCCGAGCGCATCGGCTTCAAAGGGATCGACTTCTGGCACAACAATTCACTGGGAACTCGCACTGTCGAACAGACTAGCTCTGGCGTTCGCATGAGATATGTATTGCAGAGGCCCGTCGGCTCTGCCACGAACTTAACGAAAGAGCAAATTCTCGAGCATGAGTTCCAGAGAAACCACGAGACATTTTTGACTCAGGTGGGACAATTACTCGGCCACGAGGAAAAGGAACGGGTGGTGAGAGAGATGAACACAACTTTACCGGCAGCGGTTGGGTCTGCTGGTGCGGGCACTGAAAGACGTGTTCACTTTGTCTCGTCTGAGCCGTCTATCTTTATCGAGGAGCAAGAGGATATATCAGAGTTTGGAGTTGGATCTAGGGGTGAGAGATTGAATTCTCAAGGTCTTCCCATGCTTGGAGCACATGGGACTGTCATAATCGACCCTGCGTTCAAGCCTCAAGTTCGACCAACGCTGCCTTCCCCGAAAGCCCCGCAGATACAAACCAAACCTGCGGACCAGGAGAACACCAAGCACCTCGGTAGCATCACCGTCGAAGGGAAGGAATGGCAGGTCTACAAAACCTTGAGGCCTAGGAAGGATGGACAACCCCGAATCATCAGGTCGTCTCCTGTGCAACCCAGGACACGTAAGCCTCGGAAGAGCATGCGGTCATCACCTCTAAAGAGGCAGCCTACCATTTTGATCGGCGTTGTATAAGGGCATTGCCGTCTGTTCGAGACTGCTAGCTTGAGAGAGTGCATACCTCATCATGAATTAGCTTCGGCAGTACGGTCGTTACGGTTAATGTAATACTTATGCAGGTGCTTCTTGCGCGCTCATCACATATAGATTATGCTAGTACCGTAAGCGCTGGCTGGTCCTTTATCCCACATGTTTTTGAAAACACATTTTACATAATTTCGGGGGAGCGCAGAGCCTTGAAGCTTGAAGCTTGAGAGCGAATTACATTACATAATGATCTACCTGAAATTCACACGCATTCTATCTCTTCGTCGTTGGCAACGGTGAGTACGGCTATGGCATCACCACCAAAACCTTGGGAGCGGGGCACAGCAGCAGCAGCCCCAGCAACAACCATCGCTCCCGCATCATCGTCAACTACGACAAGTTTCTCTTCAGAACTACCTTCAGTGCCTGCACGTCCCTCAGCTCTCTCCAACTCATCTACATCTAACCTTGCACCTTACAACACCCCATATTCTCCGTACTCACGATTTGGGTCCTCGCCATACAGCTCAAGCATGTACGGCGGCTATAGCGGAGTGGGCAGTGGCTATGGTACTGGGTACGGCGGCGGCTATGGTACTGGGTACGGCAGCAGCTATGGTGGATATGGCATGAATGGCATGAACAGTATGTATGGCGCCATGCCCGGAATGCCCGGAATGGGTGGAATGGGTGGAATGGGCATGTATCCTGGTATGGATCCCAACAATATTTCCCTTTCACAGACCCTCGAGACCACGACCCAACACACCTTCTCCCTCCTCCACTCCATCGTCCAGACCTTCTCGGGCGTAGCACAAATGCTCGAGTCCACATTCATGGCGACGCACAGCTCGTTTTTCGCAATGGTCGGCGTCGTCGAGCAGTTCAGCCACCTCCGCAATGCCTTGGGCAGTGTATTGGGCCTCTTTGGTCTTATACGGTGGATGAAGGAGCTCATTACCGGCCGGCCGAGTTCTACTAGCCTACAAGGTGAATTCAGAGAGTTCATTAGCGGAAAGCCCGTCCAGGGCCCCATGGGTCCTCCTCCTATCAAGCCCAGCCGAAAACCCATCATCATATTTTTCCTCGCTATCTTTGGCGTTCCTTACGCCATGACGAAGCTCATAAAAATTCTCAATGAGCGTGCGATGCAACAGCAACAAGCACAGATCGGACCTGGTGGCCCGTTAGGTCCCCTCGATCCGTCGACACTTACTTTTGCACGCGCACTATATCCATTCACGCCTTCATCTCCATCAGAGCTTGCGCTGAAGGAGAATGACATCGTCGCTATCATGGGAAAGCTGGATCCCAGCACTGGTGTGGAGGTAGATCCACGGTTAGAGGTGGAGAGTGAGTGGTGGAAAGGTCGGACACGCGAGGGCCGTGAAGGCTGGTTCCCAAAGAAGTGGGTCGAGGTCCTCGAGCGGAGGAAACCTGCGGAAGAGGACAAGAAGGTAGTTTGAGTATCAGATTCTCAGTCCTGTCGCCGCTATTTTTTTGATTTCAATCATTGTTTTTTGATTATTGTATCACAGATATACGATGTACATCAGCTTTATCATACTACTCGAAAACTATGCGGTCTTGTAACTGATAGCTTCATGTAACGCCGTAGCTATGTAACGCATGGTCCGTTACTAAACCTGCCCTTACTCGCTCAGACACAGAAACCACAAGGACCAATGACGATGCAAATCGATTGACGACAGATACACATAAAACTCGACGATTATATCAAACAGAACTAGTAAGGTAAAAGCAAGGCCTAACCAGTAAGCCGCGAAAACAGTATAGCAAAAAAAACAATCAAACGATCAGTGACCACAGCATTAGAAAATAATCGCGAGTTGTCCGTCTTATCATGAAACCAACTAAAAAAGAACGAAAAAACATTACAAATGTCTAGCGGAGCCAGAGCTTTGGCCGAGGCGCGAAGCCCAGTTCTCCATCTCCATCTTGGCCTTTGGCCATTGAGCCGTCCGAGCACTGGATGACGTAGACACTTGCTGCGCAGCACGGGTCGTTTCTGTCCTGGTCTCGATCGCGGGCGCTGATTTCTTCTTCCCTTTCCCTTGCTCCCAGATACTCGTGGTTGGCTCATTGGTGATCTTTTTGTGGGAAATGGCAGCGGCTGAAGTGCTTTTCACAGGAGCGTGGACGTGGACGTTCTCCTGCGGGTCAGGCCCCTCGAAGCCAGGGATCTCGCCTCCGCTGATGGCGTATTGCATCCAGAGGGCATTCTCCATGCTTTCGCCCAAATCTTCATCGCCGCTCTCTTCTTCTGCTTCCTTTGATGGCGTCCATACCATGTGTTGGGCAGATTCGTCTGCGGTGGGGTGCGCTTTGGCGAAGCTGCTCCAGTGAGGAGCGGATTCGGTTGAGGCTTGTGAGAAGGGTTGCCCATTGGTGAGGTTGTCCCAGTAGGAAGATCCCCATGCGTCGCTTTCTGCTTCACCAGTATCCAGACCCCCTGGTATGGCAGATGCGGGCCGGATCTGGTCCCATTCTTCCTCGTCCTCCTCGTCCTCGTCCTCTTCCTCGTCCTCCTCTTCATCAACATCTTGGACCAGAGCAGATTTCGAAAAGGACTGAGCACCACGACGGGCCTCTGGCTGCGGTACCACCTTCTTCGCCGCCGCCGACGCACCCTTGAGCCCAACACCCCAAGCAGTAGCAGCCGGCTCAGCATCTTCATCAAGCTCTTCCGTGACGGTAACCTTTGTTTTCTTAGTCGATACCGAACTTTTCGGCGCGTTCCACGTCTGGAAAGGATCTTCCATGGGTTCTGCGGGTATAATTGGGCCTTTCCCTTTCCCTTTCTTCCCAGGCGCGGTCCATGTCTGGTAAGGTTCTGCCGTAGATTCTGCAGGTGCAACTGGGGCTTTGCCTTTCTTCCCCGCTGCCGCCGAACCCCAGACAGGAGCAGATGCCACAGGAGGAGCTGGCTCGACGACCGCCTCTTGAGCGACAACTGCAGCCTTGCCCTTCTTAGCAGGCGCAGGCATGGTAGCTCGTGCAGCTTTGGGGTTCCACGTGGAGAACAAGGGATCAGCGTCTTCATCTGGCTCCTCCTCAATCATCACAAACAATGGACTGCGAGCGCCTTTTGCACCCTTTGCACCCTTTGCTGGAGGAGGCTCCGCATCGGCATCGGGCACTTCGTTGAAAGTGACGGTTTTGGGCTGTTGGGTGTCAACTGACGTCTTCTTGCCTTTCTTGCCCGTTGTGGCGTGTGTAGTGGGAGGTGGGGATGGAACGACGGGTTCAACAGGCTCGTCGTGCGAGCTTGCGCTTTCTGTCTTTTTCAGCACACTAGGTCGGTTGAGGGTGGAGGCAGGCTGTTTGCCTTTTGCCAAGCTCGCAGCTTCCGCCTGAGCCTTCACGAATGCAGCTTCGTCGAAGCCGGGTATAATGTCATGGGAACGAGCGCTAGCAGACTTCTTGAGTATGCTGGGAGGATCAGGCTTTGTGGGCAGGCTGCCCGTGGAGAGGTTCTCTTTTTGACTGGCGAGTTTAGGAGCGGAATGAGTCGTCCATCCCGGCTGGGAAGCAGGGGGTATCTTGGAAGACGAAGCGCTCGCGTTCAAGCGAGTCTGATTAATCGCCTTCTGAGCAGCGACCTGCTGAAGGAACCTATGTTCCTGCAACCTCCGATCGCGTTCCTTATCACACAGCTTCTTCCTCTCTAGCTCCTTAGACTCGCGAAGCGACATCATGTTTTCCTCGTGTTCGTGCAATGTAAGCAGTCTGCTCTCTTTCGAGCTAGTGCTATTGCTGCTCTCGAGCTGTCTCGCGAGCTCGATCTCGATAGCAGATGCCTTTGCGTGGAATTGCTGAATCATCTGAATCCGGACTTCCATCTTGTACTCGAGGAAATCGGCAGCCATTTTGGCTTTGAGAAGTTCTTCATCGATCGGTTCGGCTTCCTCTTCGGCGATAACAGGCCCGATGTAACGTTTACCTGGGACAAGAGTGTGGTTGGCAGTTAGGGGTGATATTTTCGAAGAGGGCTGAGGGGGAGAGTTATTTGGAGCGGTTTGAGAGGAGAACAGGGGAGAAGATGCGGCGGATGGTTGCCGGGATATGTTATCTGTGGCGCGATTTCGGTTGGTTGACTGGGAGGCGCCTTGGGGTGCTAGTCCAGCTTCGGAGGCCCAGCCTTGGAAGCCGAGTGCTGTGCTAGTGTTTGAGCTAGTGTCAGCTGGGGTGCGACCCGTGCTTAGGTTGCTCAGGGTTGCCAGGTTATCCTGCGCACAGCACCATGTCAGGGTGACACGTCATGATAACAAATTGAAGACGTACCATGGCGAGCTCCGGCAGCTTTCTGGCTTGCTTGGCTGGGGAGATAGTGTCCATGAAGAAGGAAGATGGATTGACGAGCTGGAAATTGGCTGTAACGGGTGTTGGTGGTGATTGACGGATTGTGAAGAAGGGAGAAGAATCTCCAAGTTGAGGTTCTTCGACTGCCGAGGCCACTGGCTCCTCTAATTCGTTGGCATCAAAGGGGGTGGGATGATTTTCTTCTTCTTCATTGTCGTCATAGAACGCATTAAAGACGTCGATGACAGACTGCTGTTCTTGTTCTGTGATATCTGTCCAATCATCTACGCGGAGCTGCTGTGCAGCGAGACGACTATTCCACTCTTCATGAGCGGGTTCAGCCAGCTGAGTCATGATCTCGGAGAGTTTTTTCTCCATCTCTGCGTGACGAGCGTTCTGTTGCATTCTAGATGTTAATTTCTTGTATTTGGTGTCGAGCTCTTTGGTGAGTTGGTCTACGAGTTTCTTCTTCTGTGGCTCGTACCAAGTAGAGATGAAATCTAGCCATTCTTTGCGAACTTTGGTTGAAGGGGATTCGATGACGGGTGGAGACGGAGGTGGAGGTGGCGGGGATGGGGCTTGTTTGACAGGTGGTGGAGTTGGCGCTGGTTTAGGAGGGGGAGGAGCAGCAGGCTTTGCTGGAGCAGGAGTGCTCTTTGCAGCTGTTCGACGTTTTGGAGGCATTGATCAAGTGGGAGGGATTGAAAGATGTATGTTGATTTTTTTGTGTATAGTAAGTATGTGGTTCGATTAGTGACTCGTGCGGCATATGGAGCGCTGAGGGATGGCAATTCCCAAATTTCCAGAAAAAGGTGATATCGAGTTTAGGATCGATCCATGATAGGGAAGATGTGATCACGGCTGCCTGTAAATTTATGGGATCGAGTGAGATTAGTTGCGGTACATGGTGGGACACTTCTGTGATCTGAGAACAGCTAGTTTGTTTGTTTTACCACTGGCAGTGCTTACTATATTATTTTTTAGAAGGAACCGGTTCAACATACGCCTCGTGTTTACCTCGAGGACACCTTATTAGGTTTAGTATTCTGTGCCTTGCCAGCTCTATCACCGACTCGTCACGACGACAAGTCTCGATAAAACTTGGATTGAGCAACGCTAGACTATTCACTGCCCTAGTACTAACCCATACGGTATTCCCTAGGACATCATTCTCCCATCGTTGAGAGTAATCCCACCATGTCGGAATTCACTTACTACTAACCTGCTGCAGTGTGTTAACTTGCTGTTCGCTGTCATGGGAAACTTTAGTCATTATTCCCCCGCTAGACAAGGCGTCAATCACTTGGCAATTACTCGTCACTCGTTGGCACAGTTCCAGGGACTTAAAAGCCTTGCCCTCACAAATCACAATATTTCCGAGGTAAACACACGTTGTTTTATGTTGACCGTCATCACCCTCGACGTTCCCCGTACAAGTGAATGTTTGCAACGTATTGTCAACCGATGACTCAACTTTGGTCACAGTTTCGCCAACTGCACGTTTACATGATCATCTCGTTCGACCTTCAAGCCAATTATTTACAACAGTGCATGCAATCGCTATCAACATCCACCCTTGTTCTTTTTCGTGAGCCCTAAGCTTCGCGGGACTTAATCAGGCTTCAAAGTAAGAAGTACCGAGAGAAAAAAAGATGCAACGATAATAAACGTGTGGGGTATCTTGGATACTGCTAATTGTGGTCAGTTCATCGAGCTCCAGTCGGACGCCTTCTACTGCTCTAGCAGTACTACTGCAGTTTCGACATCATCGGCTTAACCGTTCCTAACGCACAGTTTCTACGTTCTAGTAACGGGGTAAGCAATCTCTTCTTTCCAGATCAATTGATCTAAACGTACATAGTCTTATAATCGCAATCAGTTCATCCTCATGTCTAGCCTGTGATCACTGATCATATCTACCCTCCTGATTCTTGCAATCTACATCTCTCAGCCCTCTACTACCCTGATTTTCTATCTATCTGCCAGCTTCATCGTGAATGCTGCTGGTCCTTTACCAGCTGCGTAAGTCCGTCCGCCTATATTATATTCAAACTTCCCCAACGCGTGCCCCAACACGAGGCATAATCACATCACAGGCTCCTCGCAATCAGACTTAGCCGCCGTCTTCTAAACAGAGTGTTCGAGGTCATCTCACATCATTTCCACTCCATTTCACTATTCTCTTCAATCCGCCAAAGCCAGCGACTCCTCGACTGTACGGTACTCAAACTATTCTACTCAATCTCATCATATTTTGCTGATCTACCTCTTACAGACACGTCATGACGACCCTGTTTCAAACTACCACTGAATCATCTACCAATCAATCCGCTGCTGATTTCGAGCCTGACGAACAATGGAAGAGTCGTCTCAAAGTCGATATCGAGAACAACTTGCGTTCCATGGTCGACGAAGCTAAACAGAACCTGCATGACACCCTCAAGAGAGCCCCAGTCAGCGCTCTCGACCGCGAACGCTTGACCGAGGAACACCTTGCTACCATGAAGAACATCCGTAATCTTGCCGAGGAGCAATTCCGTATTGCCCTAGAGCGCGAACGCCAAGAACGCCGTTGGGCTGCCGGTCAGGCCTTAGATCAAGAATGGTCAGACACAATGATAAAGGAGCAACAAGCTATCCTAGACAAGATTGAAAGAGAACGCAAAGATAAAGCTGCTCATCCTTCTTCTTCCTCGCAGCCTATCGCAGATCCTTCAATATCCCGTTCTAGCCGTTCTCCAGAACGTGTTTGGACCCCACACGAGCAAGCGGAATTAGAGCACGAGGCAGATTACTTCCCTCGTTTACCCAGTCGGGAGTTTGAGGAAGACCACGTACCACCACCTCGCGATACCGGCAAGGCTCGTGCCGGGTCTGTCAGTAGTTCTGGAGTGGGATCATACAAACCACCATCTACGTTGGATACGACAGACAGAGGTTTTGAGCGCCCAAAGCCTTCACCCACTATCGACGAACTAGACGACATGCCTAGATCTGCTCGTTCACCTACGGATGCTCAGGACAGCATCAGACGCGGAAGTCTTCGCCGCAAAACTAGCATTTCTACCAGACAACTCCCAGAATTCTGGCACCCTTCTATCACGCCTGAACAAGACGCTCAGATGTCTCGTACTTTCAGTATCGCGCGTCGTGGGAGCACAGCGAGCACTACCTCTTCCTATCGGGGTGCACCATCAGTGTTCAACATCCCGTTTTCTTCCGAGCCGCACGATATCATGCCCAGTGCGTCGGAGAGAGAAAGAGAGCGCATTTCGGCTGTGGAACAAGAGTGGAATTTCATAGATAGAGCAAGAGATAGAGAGAGAACGACGTCGTACACTTATGCTGAAGCTCGGGCTAGCATAGCGACTACGCCTCAGCGGCTGGACGACCGTTATCCACCGCCCACATCTGCGCCCATCCTAAGCTCCGCAATCGCATACTCACGCCCCTTAGAGAGCCCAAGCTCCGCAGTCCCCATCGCATACTCTCGCCCTGCAGACAGCCCAAGCTACACCCGTTCCTCAGACAGCACTCGCCCCCCACCCTCAGCCAGCAGACCCATCGCGACCAAGAAATCCTTCACGTTTGACGATGGCGGTTTCCAGTCCAGCCCGAGTCCCAAAGGCTGGAATGGCCCCTCACGCTCGCCGTATGACACCCGCTACGAGACCTCGCGCTCTCCCCAGACACCAGAAGAAGTCCCGCGGAGTTGGCAGTCTTCCAATTTGCGCGCGAGGCTGTCGTCGCAGGACATGCGTTATGGGTATAATGCGGGCGAGAACGGGTATTATCCTGCTCGACCTGTTCATACGCATCACGAGGTGTCGGAGGGGGAGTATGATGTAGATCTTGATGATGCTGAGTGGCGGGAGTATGATGAACGCCAGATGCGTCAGAGAGAGGATAGTGTGAATTTGAGGAGGAGGGAGGAGGAAGTTGCTCGGCGTGAGCAGGAATTAAGGAGACGGGAGGAGGATGCGAGACGGGAGGAGGAGGCTAAGCTAAAGGAGGAGGAGCTCAAGCGCAAGGAGGAGGAAACTAAACGCAAGGAGGAGGAAACTAGGCGGAAGGAGGATGAAATCACACGCAAGGAGGAGGAAGCTAGGCGGAGACAGGAAGAGGCCGATCGCAAAGAGCTCGAGGTCCGGAGAATGGAGGAGGAGGCGAGGAAGAAGGAAGAGGAAACTAAACGAAAGGAAGATGAAATCCAGCGGAAGGAGATGATTGCGAGGAGGAAAGAGGAGGAAGTTAGGAGGCAGGAGGCCCAGGCCAGGAGACGGGCGGAAGACCTTCGAAAACAGGAGGAGGAAGTGGCCAGGCGTTTAGAGGAGGAGGAGAAACGTGTTGCGCTAGAGATTTCGCGAAAGTCTATGGAAGCGAAACGCAAGGAAGATGAAGTTAAACGCAAGGAGGAGGACGCTAGGCTCAAGGAAGAGGCAGCACGCGCCAAAGAGGAAGAGATCCAGAGGAAGGAGGAGGAACTTATGCGACGGGAGGAAGAGTTGCTTCGCCGGGAGGCAGAGGCGATCCGCAGATCAGACGACAAGCAGAAGGTTCAGCAGGATGAATTTCGGAAGCGCGAAGAAGAGATACGCCGCCAGCGCGCAGAAGAGAAGAAGAGGCAGGAAAGGTTCGAATGGGAGACCTGGGGTTTTTATCCACCGGAGACTGGTCGACCCACGCCACCTCCCCAGATGGCTACTTCTCCATCTCAATCTTCTTCGTCTTCTACGGGACCTTGGCCAATTCCCAATCGTAGTGATCGTAGCATGCCTGGACCAAGTCCGCCCACAGATAGAAGCAGCTCCGGATCGACCAGTACTAGTCGTAGCAGTGCTGCCTGGACATCCTCGACTCGGCCGAGCTCGACAGCCAGCTCGCAGTCGCCGAGCACACCTAAGCCACCAACGCCGTCAGCCCAGCAGAACGCCAAAACAACGTCCGGTCCCCCACCCACCCCCTTTTCAGAAGCGGATTTCCACCGTCGTCAGGCTGAACAAGCTCAGCAGCGCGAGGAACAATTCCGTCGGGAGCAAGCCAAGTTAGAGCAGGAAAGACTCTTAAAGGCTGGAAAAGCCTTGGGAAAGCAGGACACTATCAGACTTTTCGAGCACCATCGCGGTCAGTGGGATAAATTGCAGATATCTGGCGTGTTGGGCGTTTTGGTATGGGACGATTTCCCGTGGCCTGTGTTCAAACGGCCAAGTGGCCCCGATGACGTGACAGCTCCTTACATCACAGCCTACATGTTATCCTCTCTGCATCCTGTCGACAAGCCTCCGAAGGACCGCATCAAGGAGAACATCAGACGATGGCATCCTGATCGTTTCGAGACCCAGCTACTACCGAAAGTCAAGGAGAGCGACAGAGACATCGTGCGAGATGCTGCTGGTACGGTGGTCAGGGTGCTGAACGATCTCCTACGTTCCAGCACACAAGAATTTGCTTGAGAACGCACACGGAGTAAGCACGCACCTCAGTGTTTGCATGACTTGCGGAGTGCTGACTTGATGTTTTTGTAGCTCTTTCACATGTATGATACCCGCTCAATCATTTGTATGCTGCACACGGATTACATGGCTTATGACATGGTGTATGAGAATTGAATATTCATGTTTTTTTATCGGATTTGGTTGTGGCGTGTACGGTAATATGTTGTTGAGGACGCGCAAAAATCGGGAATTTATTCTCTGGTCTTGATTATGTCGCAGGTCGAGTAGCGCGTGAGCCAGTGGATGGAGATCGTCCTAAGAAATTCGAGAGGAATAAAGTTGAGTTTGATGCAAACTTCACAAAGTTCGAAAAAAAAATGCAGGTCTGTCAGATCCAGACTTCGATGTCATAGTGAAACTCACCAGCTAGTGATTTCGGTGGCTTGTATTTATACGTACGATTCTGTTTCATGTAGGAGATCTCGGTACTGAATTGATTGCGGGTCTTCCGGAGCTGGCGGCAGGGCCGCTTGCCCTAAACTCTTTCTACGAGCGCCCATCACCAGTGCAAATCGATTCAGCGATTGTTTGACCAATTTTGCATATGCATGCGTTGTGCATGTGCATAATGTTTGTGTAAGTCCGTAATTTGTGCCCCACGCGTTTGCTTTATTCCAAGTCAGTGTAGTTGAATCACGCACCATTCGTCCCTGCCGCAACCCCGGTTTGATACGGCCATTCCCTTGTGTTTCAAGTTAGCCCTCAATTGTATCTCTCGCGGACTAAAACACGACAACTACAAACCCAGAGCGGTGAGCAGTTGATTCACTCGCTATGACTGCCTGCACCGGATGAACTTATTCACCACTTATGCCAGCCAGAGATTTTGTCTCTGAAGCCTGGCATCACTGCCGTGTGTATACAATCGGGCCATGGCTGTATTCTTAACACAGCGGTTAACCTCTCCGCTGAAAGTGTCACAAACATGAAACAAGGCCAATTGACTGGTAAATATCACTTTACCTCAAGACCTTCTGTTTCTTTTTCCAATCATGTATGATCGGTTCTCTTTGATTTCTGGCTTGATCTCTCTGGCCCTCTCGTGTTCTTACTCTGGCACCAATTTGCTGCATCCCAATCCCCACCATTTCTCTTCGGATACCTTCGCAGCGGTTCGGACCTTCGAAATGTTGATCTTGGTGAATTCGATGGCGTTACGAACATGGTAGTTGCCGAGATACCCGAAACTATTGTCATGAGGAAACTGACTTCTGATAGTTTCATATTTACATTTGAATACACGCGTAAAGTTATACTTTCGCAACAGGTATAGTCCCTTTTCTTGCCGTGAAGATTGCTCTAAACTTTTGGAACGAAGAAGCGACTTATTTGTAACGTCCGACTATTACCTTTGCGAATGCAAGTTCTTGTTGTGCGCTCCGCGAATCGTCCGCGGTTAGCACCACCGACCAATCCCTCGCCTGGCAGTCTACCTATCATTCCTGGTGTCATCTTCACTGTTGCATGGTCACCAGCGGGAACCAACAAGTGCATTTTCTCTCTGCTGCTGGAGCAACATATCAGCTAGCAGCTGACATCAAGGAGGTCAGTACTTTGCATTTACTCTGAGGATCCATAACTGATAAGAAAAAGGCTGCGGTGCGGCGGAGTATGATCATACTCGTTCTATGGCTTCTACGCACTAGGGTCTTTTTAGCTTGGTTCCTCTTCGATGATGCAAGGTGGCAATGGCGCCGATATTAACGACTAAGAGTGGGTCCCGACCACGGTCTTACTAGGGCCCCAGGGGTGGTCCGAGAAACGAGACCGAGGTGTGAGAGGTAGTATGGTGGGTAAGGATCCTACTATACCCTAATATGATAACTCATTCGATGTCGTTTTCTGGGCTCGATGCAATGTTTTTAGAGTGCATGTATTCGACTAAACAGAACGAAAATCTATTAATACCTCTCGACCTCTAAACACGACAATCAAATCTACAGGCTCGATCTATATCGACACGTATCGCTTGTTTCTAGTCCATTCCTTGTTCGAAAGGAGGAAGATACTGTTTCCAATGCAAAGGTTTGTAGCTAGCTACGGTAGAATTTATCCCGCACCTCGGCGCGATTTTTTTTTGGGCGCAAAAAACGTTTGCTGTGTCTCCATATGCCGATTCACGTCAATATTAATGCCGACAACTTGAAGGTGCTTCGAGTGCTTTAAAAAAACCCGATTCCTATCTTTCGGATGGAAACGGCATGCCCCATGAGGATCCAGAGAGTCAAGCAACTCATAGTGCATGCTGTTTCTGGCAGGAGAGCATGCCCTATGAAAAACTGTACATGATACCATTTTTATAAGTCGGTTTCACGATGACGGCACGCATTTCTCGCTTGCCCTACCCGATAATATATTGCTCAGCTATGTAAACTAGGTACTCCCACCTCATCGCCCTTCCAAAAGGGTTTTCGCTGCCCAGACCGCCATACGGTGGCCGACCACGACGAGCGTGCGCTGTCTGGGGTCTGTGCCAAGCCTGCGTGCCCGGGGTACGCGCTTAGTCATCCTCGTTGTTGATCTACGAAACAAACTAGCTAGATTTGTCGGACTACACGTCACAGTTAAGGTACTACATGGTTGACCGGGACCTATCTAGTACTAGTATCAGGCTATCACCATGTTTTTCAACTCCTGCCGAATTCCGGGGATATCAACGTGCAAACTACATGCTGATCAGTGGCGTAGCGGAAGCATTTGGTGAGGTCAACCGCCGGCGGGAGTTTTCAACATGGTCCGACTCAGTTCTGGACTAACCTTTAACTAGTCACTGGTGGTATATGGTACTGAGTTGACTGTAGTAAGTCCTGGTATCTCGAACCTGTTACATGAAATCCAATGCTCTGGCCGTCTTTATCACATAGATCCGAGAAAATGATATGTGTGACATGAATAGGTTGATGATCATCCCGCGTGCCCCACGGGGAACCCACGATGAACCATCGATGAACAACAACTGCGACGTGGCAGTTCACTTACTGGATCACATCCTATGATTCCTATCACATCTCTATTTGCATTACTGCCACGACTCACGAGCCGCCACAGCCTGAGTGGCCATGGAGTACATGCGCCTCATGTATTTCCCGAACTTCCTCCATTTTGAAACTCGGTCCACACTCCCGGAGGGCTTCGGTTCACATGCAGATGCTCTGATGGGTCTTGTATTCAAACTTATGATTTGTCTTGAACCTTCCTGATTATGATGAAGAGAATTTTTCTATCGTTGAGGATATCGCAGCAACCTGGTACGTGGCCGTTCTCTCGGGTGCGATTTGATTTGAGCTCCTTTTTGTTTTTGTTTTAGCCGGCCTTCCTACTAGTAGGCGCGGTTATTGTACACTGATCTTCAGAACCCAGACTCGTCGGTATTCTGCTTGCACCGTCGCTTCTTGGTCGGTCCCCTGTTCAGTGCCAATCAGTGTTCTGTCAAGATTACTGATTGGTATCGGGGCTATGCGAATGATTCGGACCTAGGGGCTGCAGAAGAACTTGCTTTGCAAATACTGCCTGTGTCATCAAGAGAATAATGTTTCTTCTTTGGACAAGGTATCTATACCATTATGTGAACGTCACCCTCACAGTGCGCTTGCCATGCAGAGCATACTGAGTTGATCAATGATGACATATTTTACCCCAAACGCAATATATGGGTGAATCACGACAACAGGGAGCTGCTAAATTTTTTCCCTGACAACTGCAGGGTGAAACAACGAGCACCCTTGGAGACACTAGTGCTGATGGCCTTACTACCAATCGTGATAGGGTTACACTACTACATCGTCGAGTTGAATACTTTTGAACTTTTCAAGTCTGTAAACTCCTCCGCCGAAATTTTGCAGAACTCGATCTGGCCATATTGTTTGCGACCACTGTGACAAAATCAAGGTTTCGATTCTTCGATTCGGAATACGTAGGACTGTCCCTTGCAGTGAGATAAGGCCATCTGATGACACCACGTCGATGCACGACGTGGATCGGTGCCGGCAATGAGAACGGATAATCCGAGAGAGCACCGTAAAGTCGCAGGGAAGCGAAGAGCGATAAGATTCTTGTTATAATCACGATTGCGAGTGCGCCCGTGCGTGTGCCGAACATAATTAATTGAGACCTGGGTATTGGAGGCATCCAAGATCTGAAGAAGTAGAAGGATACGTGAGGCTGCCCGAATCTGGAACGACAGGAAAAAGATAACCCGTCATATCCTTTTGTCCCTGCAATGCATGCTGATGCGGCGGCCCGCCTGGTGTCACTAGTGAAGTCACAGCTCGTTGGATCATGCAAAATCATTAGGCGAGCAAAGCGCAAGAAAGTTGTTGTCAGTGACATGGACAGTTGAACGTTGAACGTCGAACGCCCAGGAACACGTTATTATTGGTTGAATCACACGAAGTGAACCCTTCGCAGGGAAGCGTCGTCACTAAACAAGTGAGGCCACCGATTACTGAATGCCTACGCTGAACACTGTCAAGAAATGGCCATGAGTGCGGATCTTTTGTGTCATACCGACTCGGGTGGCGCTGACACTCCTAGGAATTACGTTGAGAATAGGAGCTCAATAAGCCTTTGGTTGACGACATCAATGAGCGGCTTGCATCCCGTGATGACATTCCTCGGTTCAAGGTAAACTACCGAGCAGAAGGAGTTATAGTTGAGCAGTTGCTTACGAGGAAAGATGCGTTTCATTGCTCGAAACTGTCGAGAAGTAATCATGGACATCACCGTTCATCTCAGGCATTGCGAGAGATTACAATTAAGCAGTTGCTTATGACGAAAGGTGAGTTTCTTTGCTTGAGATATCTTCAACCAGCTGATAAAGCTGAAGTTGAGAAGCAATCATGGACATCGCCGTTCATATTCGCATTACGAGGGATTGTCAGCAGATTGGCTTTCAGTCCATGCAAAGTTGGCTTCGACGCTATGTAAAGGGATGACCTCTCGTGGCATTATGATAATGGGAAGAACCGAAATGTTTACATACTGCAATTAAATAACGACATACAATGAGACACTGTTGAGATGAAAGCCTTGGGTGAGCTCACCTCAATTGATGAACGTCCAGGCCCTGAAGCATTTGGGGATGGAAAGACTAGACATAACTAGATGGGCCTGTCGGTCGAATGTCAGTTCCTGAGTCGTGATACGTCGACCATGATGGAGTTGAGAGAGTAAGCTGCTATGACAGCGCTGGAGCCTGAAAAACATGTTTTAGAGTTTTGCGAGCGCTGTTAGTGAAAGTTCAATCTGGCATGGATCGAACACGCGTTGTCATTTAGCAGGTGGGCCTCTCAGGCTCAATGGATAAAAAATTGTGTGATGCAAACGCCGTCCCGACTAAGATCATGATAACCTGCGAAGCTGCGATTATCATTGACCTTAGAGCAATAGAAAGAATCCGCGTTAATAACGCACCTAGTCCTAAACCACATATCGCCAGCTCGTGCTCGATTTTATGTTAACTGTGACTACATGGCAGGGTCTAGCCACTACTATTTTCCTTCCATGGTGGAAGACTGACTAATCAACTCGGAGATTCACGACGCCTGATCGATAATCAGCTGATCTATCAAACTCATGTCCCGCGGTCCCCGCCACCGCCGCAACGTTGTCCTCAAGCACACTCAAGCTGAAGCTATTGATATCTGACATCCAGAATAGCCTGTCCGTATCAACTCACAGAGTCAATGCGATGCCTCGCGAATAAAACGCCACCATGACCGACATCTAATTGAAGAGTGCTCAACAGCCGCCCATATCCCGAGTCAATGGTTTGTGCTATGTATACAATCCTCCGTTTAGGAACTTCATCATGGAACAAGTCCTAAGGACTCTTGGCAATGTTCGTAATTTCATTTCTATTCAAAATCCATTGGATTGGTTTCGGAGGAGTGCGATGATAGTACTTAGATGAAGTCACGCGTCGGTATTCGTCAGGTGCACCCACCTAAACAGTGAGCCCGGGTCACAAAAGTTTTACTGAAAGATGCTAGATTTGCATTTCCAACCCCATTTCTGTCTATCAGGGCTTCGCGACGGGTACAGTTCGCTATCTCATCAGGATATTGTGCTCACAAACCTTGTATGTCTCGGAGGGAACCTAGTCTCCTAGCTAGGATAAGGAAGACCGACATTCCTTCTTTATTACCTGTCCACAGTTTCTACTGATTCTCGCCTTGGTTCCAAACCAATCGGACAGCATGGTCAGCGTCAGATAACAGGGTTCAAGAAGTCGGCCTCATCATCTATTCAGCTTGAATGGGAACCACGTATGATGACGTTCCAAGGGTCCACCAGTTCGCGGCAAGGTCGGCGTCGGCTTCGATGCGCTCCTTCTCTATGTGACCTGCCGGTTGCTATTTTTCAGACTGACACTTCATGTGGAGGTCGACTTTGAGGGAAATGTGATGGACTCGTTAGAGATAGTAGCTGTCGCAACGTCGGAACCCTTCAGCTGTAGATCCGAAACTCGTAAGATTCTGAGTTCTCCGCGAGGCACCGTTTGGCAATCTACGTTCTGTGCCGTCTGCAACCAGGCCCATCAGTACCAACTCTTTCTTGAACCTCAAGCGAATTTCAGCAATCCGTTTACTTCGCGGGTAGAAGCCACACAAACAGAATTCCCGTCAAGGACTGCGTTATTTTGGTGTCCTTATCCCCGAGTGGAGTAAACAACAAGGTATACTGCGGCTGGTATCGGTGCCTCAGGCAACTTTTATATGTTTGTGATATGATTAGTACTTACATCAGGTAGGTCCGCGGCGGAATCGCATCTAACTCCAGGGTCCAGAATAGTCGCTGTGTGTGCTGGAGGAAGCTCTAGGCCTACATCGGCAGGCTGGTAACGTTTCAACTCACTGGTCAGTACTAGTCGCGGTGATGTTCGTGATTACATAGGACTTACACTTCAAGTCGTCCCGCGACTATCGCAGTGTCAATAAGCGAGAGCTATAACGTGACGAGCGCAACGGCAAATTGCTTACCCAGAGGGCCAGATCACTTGGTCCGCGGGTGTTCGGAGACCACGTGATAGATCCCGGGCGGTGAGTGGCACCACCCGAGATCGAAGAGTCCATCACTCTCTCCTCATCTCCGGCATAAGTACCCGAATACTAGTCTTAAAGGGTTCTAGCAGACGGCTGACGGCGCCACAACGTTTCAACTGACGCAACGTGCAAGCCGTGTGTGAGTTCATGAGCCGACATGTAGGAGGACTGAAATACATTGTAACCACGTAGTGGCATCTATCTAGTCACCACATGGATGTGCATTGTGCAAGAGCAGAGCAGAAGACCATTGAAATGTTAACCATCCCGATTACGGGACCCGAGTAGCATGTACATGTACTATGTACCCAATTCTATCTCGGCCAGGAAGAGTGGTTGTTGTTCGAGCTAGGCTCAAAGAATGTGACTACCTTGATGGGCCAAACTTTAGTGCTTGCCACTGTCGTGCAGAACTGCATATCTTTGTTGAATGCCCAAGCTGCGGTGCCTATTGGACGCCGCAAAAAGATCCGCGTCCCTGCCGAGTTGCGGAACATGCTTGGACGCAATAGCTGTGCTCTTTGCATTAAAGACACTTCATGTCCTGGCCAAACGTACGTTGTCAAAAGCAGCATGGAGCCTATCATGATCACGTTCTCAGTGATAATAAAACACTTGTCAATGTGGTTAGATATGCTTACTTTGACCGTTCGTGGTAGGCGGGAATGGAATCACGAAATGATCAGCAACCAGTTACGCTTCTCAGAGAGCCGTCCTGAGAGATTACTTGATAGTAATGATGGTCCCTTCCGAGTCGCGGAGCATGCTTGGTCGTAAGAGCCGTGCTCCTTGGATTAAAGACACATCATGTCTCTGCTAAGCGTTGTCAAAAGCAGTGTAGAGCCTATCACATAGACCTCATAATGAAATACTTGTCAGGGTAGTTAAATATGCTTACTTTGACCGTTCGCGGTAGGCGGGAATGGAATCACGGAATGATCAGCAACAAGTTACGCTTGAGATCAGTCCTGAGTGATTACTTCATAGTAATGATGGCATAAACTCACATGTCAACTTAAGCGGGCCTAAAAATTTGCGGGTTCGACTAGCAGCCGACACCTCGAAAATGTCGCTTCGGGATCACCTGGAATATTGGGCGCTCGCCTGTGGAAGGGCAATTTTGTTCTGCTGCTTAATTAAAGCTGCTGCATTCTGAATTTCTAGATTAAAATGCAATATGAATCTCTTGCAGACCTCTTGTTCATAATTATTGCCTTTGTAACGTACTGACCAGCGTATGCTGGCATAGAGAAGGGGGTTCCTTAGTGCCAATTGGTGGTGCCTCAATAAACAGACGGCCACTAAGGAGAGGAGAGACGGAGTTGAACGGACTGAACGCGTCGAAAACCCATTTAACTTGAGTTTGAAGCGCGAAACGGCGATCACGAGATAGCATTTCACTGGTAGCAAGTAAAGCGGGGTACTACTGCCACTTGTAGGGCAGACAACAATCGTGGACATATCAATGGATCATCAATGTTAACGTATGTTTTCCGCTAAAATCTGCACACGCTCACGGACCCGACCGAACGGCATCTTTGAAAGAGTGGAAGCGCGGCTTCTTTACGTGGATTTGTGGGTGAAGGGCTTGAAACTTTTCAAATGAGTTCTCAGGGCTTTCCGGGAGGTACTATCATTGGTGGAGAGGGACCGTTTGTCAAGCCCTTTGGTGTAGGACCCTGTGACACCCCGCAGTTGATCGTTGCGGGGACAGATTACAATGCAACTTGAGGCGCCGTAAGCATAAAAACTTTCGAGGTGCAAATAAGTTATGGAGGGTCGGTGACATGGAAGTCACCGCTGTTTACGAGGCCGAAACTATAGCTAGTCAGGGCAGGTCAGGGCGGATGTTGATTTGCACAGTGGAGCTTGGAGCTAATGTGACCGCGTGTCTATTAGAAGTCTAAGAAGGTGGAAGACTAAAGAAACAGACTTGAAAAAGGCACATGCGGCGACCTGAAAGCTGGGTTGAACGATCGTATACGTAGTATTGGAGTGAAACCCCGAGGCCGTGTGAGGTTGTGGTGTAGACTGTTGCCATTTGGCGTTGTCTGCATCAATTAAAATTGTTTGCTTATCGCACCCGACAACCGCTGACAGGCGCTTGTTGGTGGTCTGAATCTGGGATGGTGATACCCTCGGTGAAAGAAATTCTGCCTTAGCTCGTTTTTCATGGCAGGTTCTGTCGACTGTGACATGCCCTCGACGATGAAAGAATCAGTGGAATGGGACACGTTGCCTCGCGTCGTGTGGACTAAGAACCTTCTCTTCCAGGGATAGGTGCAGGGGCGCCAACGCACTGTACCCGAAGCTACCAGATGAATAAATTTGAGGGGTTCTGCTTATGTTAGCGACGGAACCCACGAACGGTAACGAACCAGTCGGAAGCTGAGAATCAAAAATGGAAAGTCTAGAAGCCAAAATGATATTGCAGCACCGTTACAGATCTGAAAAGATCGGAAGGCCAATCTTAGTTAACTCGTATTTTTTTGGAACGAAACTTTATGTGATTTTCCTAACGAAAAGGCCCTGCAAGTTGCCGCACCTCTAATAAAATGCACTCTCTCGGTTCTCCTTTTTTCATTTTCGTCCCCAGTCAAACATGGCTGCCAGTATGTCCGAAGACGACGTGGCTTACACTGCCCTCCTTCGTCAACTATTATCCGACAACTCAACTACACGCAACGCTCGCGTACACTCTTGGATAGAGCACCAGTATGATTTTGCTCTCTCAGAGTCAGATACCCAAGTCAACGAAGATGATAGTGCCTCTCTAGGCTGTTCCCGGGCCCCTTCTCCTTCACCATCCTCCTCATTGGGAGCCCACCGTACCTTCTGTTCTGACAGACCCGACTCTCCCCTCCTACCGCGCTCATCGGTAGAACGTTCTTCAACACCAGAGCCTTGTCCATCTTATGATGCTCTATTTTTTCCCATCTCTCCTTCTCCTCAGACTCTTGCTGAGGATGAGGCGAGGGAAGAGCGCGAACGGGAACGCGCACTTCGTTTCCTCGTGCAGGAAATGTCACACTGGAAAATGCAGTCCGGTTCCACTCCTCCGCGCAAGAATATGGACAAGGTATTTCTATTTCTCATCCGCTATTTATCGAGTTAAAATTCGTTCACTTAGCCCTTACCTTGTCCACCACCACCCTCGCCAGCGACGTCCACAACGCAGTCCACTTCGTCGCGTGTCATGCGTTCGCGTTCCTCATCAATGCGCATCTCACGACTGCCTTCATTCACAAGCACGTTGTCATCTGATCAGAGCCAACCACAAGATATATTTACACCGCCATTGCCTGTCTCCGTAATCGTTCACGGGGATGCTCAACATGAACTTATTTCAGACCTCAAACGTTCCGATTCGATTTTCCTCCGACGCATGGAATCATTAAATATGAAAGTTCAGGATGAACAAGAGCTTTCTCTGCTCTCACCGGTTCATGATGATCGTGACTCAGGATACCCATCCCCTACCCTCTCCAATTTTTCGTACACCCCTTCTCGCGAAACTGCGCTTACGAGTCCCTGCACCAGTTTTCCCGCGTCACCTGCAAGCGCGACTTTCACTCCATGCTCCCCGGAATATATTGCACTGCCAGCATCCCCTGATGCTGATTGCTTCCCCGAGGTGCCTCATTCCGAGGATCGCGGTCATGATTCATTTCCGAGACCTCCGTCCGACACGGCACTTGCCGTATCACCATCAACAACTGCGTTTTCAGTATCACCCTCATCAACTGCATTCCCGGTATCACCGAGCACCACTATATTTCCCACTTGCACGCCTGAACTTTCGTTTTCTACGGCACCTTTGACAGTGTGTCCCGCTACCCCTTCGGACTCGAAGAACTGTGTAGATGACAATACCGCACAATCCCAGCAGTTACGCTCGTCCACTAATAGCTCGGGAGACCTCCAAAGCAGGTGGTCAGTTGCAACGACGGCATCACTTACTCCTTCACCTTCCGATCCAACCCCGACACCCTCAGGGACATTCCTGAGGTCCAGAACTCCTTCGAGGGGCAAAAAGGACAGGGAGGGATCAAAAGAGGTGAAAACGCCGCGCAAGCGCGCCCGTCTTATGAGTTTCATCTCGAAACTCTCCCCGGGTCGTTCAGATAGCAATGTCACAGCCTCGACCGACTATGACTATGAGTCGGATACAGACGAGAAAGTCATCAAGTCTGCAAAGACAATTGGAAAGAAATCATCTTTAGCTAGTCTGCGCGCATCGTTTTCTTTATCCCGTGCCTCTTTTGCATCTCAGCGTCCACCTGTGTCGTCCTTGGCGGAGGTGCCTCCGCTCCCTCTGTCGCCTACTCGTACGTCATTCAGCGCATCGCGCATGTCTCTCGCAGCCGATGGTGCGATGGGCAACGGGGAGACAATACCACCGGTACCGACCATCTCGTTATCGAGAATTCCTTCCCGCGTCACCGCGGTTGACGACCCATTGCCGCCTATTCCCCAATCTGCTTCGACTATCACATCCTTCCGGAGTGCGTCTCTGATTTCTCTGCAGGCTTTTACCCCTCCTTCTGGCTCAGCATCACAGCTGTCCTTACTTGCGTCACCCACTGCAAGTCATAGTACATCGAGATTATCTCTACTGTTGGCATCTGCATCTTCCAGGAATTCGGTTGTGTCATCTGCCGTATTGGACGCGCCCATTTCTATTCATCCCATACCGAGTTCCACGCCCAGTAGAGCCAAGTCGATCTTCAAGCTATCTTCGCGACCAAAAACCCCCAAGGTTCGGGCCGTGGCAACTCCTTCAAAACTTCCTCTTCCTCGGACGGTGTCTGTTTCCTCTTCCAGTTACCCAAATGGGGCGAGCCCAACTGTGTCGAAGATCCCACCACCACCCACAAATTTCACCCCCCCATCAAAATTAGCATCGATGCTTGCTTCGCAGTCTTCATCATCGCGGCTTCCTCATCCGACGTCTTTCAACACGCCACCAACATCCATACTTCCACCTCCGCCGTCGAAGATAGCTCCACCGCCAAAAGCTATTTTGCCGACTTCTCGGACACCATATATTTCACAAGCTAGTCCTTCGACTATGGAACTAAAGTCAACTATGTCGATTGATGAACCAACTGCACTGGTTTCGAGGCTTCCATTGCCTTCGGCAATGAAGGCAACCCGCACTAGCACCGTGAGGGGCTTTTGGCGCAGGGCACAATAGGTGCTTTTTAGGTATGCGAGTTTAGTTCGGTCGTCTTCATGTACCCTAACATGGGTTTCACAGTTAAAAAAAATAGGGGACCATGGAAATCAGGACACGGAATTGGTCGCTTCTCTCTGCTCAACACGCCGGCGCACACTTTCGTCAATCTCATACTATTATCTATTGGCTATTCTCAGTCTACCACACTCGTTATTGAATTGTACATCTCGGTCATTACTCAACTATCCTGCTCGCTCACTGCTTTCCTTGGTCCGGTTTTTGTATGGTTCCTCTGGATTTCCGCTCGTTGGTGGTGGCTCTCATCCTCCATGCATCCATCTGCACTATCTGTTGTGGAATTATACATGTACTCACACTCTTTACCTTTCCTGGCGCATTCCAATCTATGTCTTCGAGCCGCTCTCGTCTCGCTGGTCCGTCTGCGTTATCGCCCTAATACCCTGGTACACAGCCTGTGTCTTGTTTATACGTCATTATTCTCGTGATCCTTATTCTTGTTGATATTTTAATCCCGCTCAACCCCAACATCACCATCTTTTTGCGCATAGATAGCAATTGTACTGAGGTCATACCGCCGCATCTTTCATACACGTACATTTACATTTACTTGCATATCACTTACTCATAGCTGCATCTGTAGAACCGGGGAAGGAAGGAAGAAGATGAAATATAACCAAAGTTCGAGTTCATTCATTTGGGATACAGTCAAAACGGGAGCGGGGGAAATTCCTGGGTTCAACTTGGTGCGCTGTAACTGCGGACAATAAGGTATTTCGTCATGGCTGAAATTTGAAGATGACTCATTTCATCTGGTCCACTATCATCATGAACCGTAAGCATATTTTCAAATTCATTATGGCTCACCGTCCCGGAATCACAGTGTGTCGGCGGAAATGCGATGCCATCCTTAACGGAATGTGTCCTGATATCAGGCGCCTCACATACCAATATTTTCGTCCGTCGTTCAAGAGAGTCGGCCGTAGCTATCAGGCACCCAGTCCATTCCACACGACAACAACCTCTCAGCACTTGCTCATGTCACCCCGAATTTCTTTTCGCAGCCCTGTCTTGAAGTTTGGACTGACTTTGACAGAACATGGAAAATTGGTGAGCTCTACACCAGTCATCTATATAGAATGAGCCTGTATATATCTGGACGCAGCGGCTTTCTAATATATGTGCGGACATTCATGAACCATCTCATGAATTTCCGACTTACACGATCAATTCCATAACATTACTGATCTTAAAAAATCAACATCAGACCATCCAATTGCGACATGCTTACGGCCGCAGAGTTGGACCTGGTATCACTGTTCGGAACGGACATATCACTTTCTTTTTCTTGGCAACCTTCCATGCGCAGTCAGGTAGGCGCTGGAATCCCCTGATGGGTTTGGTATGGCGCTTGCAATGTTCGTGACCGCCGCAGAGCAGAGCAGCACTGATTCTCAAGGCCAGTTTTTGCAGGCTCACTTCCGAAGATTCTGCCTAAGGAATTCTTGCCTAGCCCGACTATAGTTCAGGAGTCTTCTTCTTATCGCCCCCCGCTGAAGAAATACCCCCAACGATTTACTCACGCGCACAGACTAATACCCGCCCTATGGTTTCTCGTGCGGATGCTCGCGCGTATATTCTGCCAATCCTGGCTGGCTTAGATTGAATTAATGAAGGAGTGCTACATCTTGCTACGCTCGATGGGCTAGGCTATCGCATATCGATGGCGCTCAGTTCCACGGTACCTTAATGATGTACGCCCGCAGAATTACGTCACTGCTTATCGGTTGCCCGAGGACAAGGATCGCTGTACAACTTCAAATCTGCAAGTTGGAAATCCCCTTGCAGAACCTATTTCCGCCTGCTGATTAAGAACCTTATATCGTTGCGCGCGATCTTACAGCGCTTTTCTCAGTCTTGACCGGATAGCTAGTGTTGGCGCAATCCCGGTACATCTCTTGGCTTACGACTTGGACGACTGCAAATGGCAACGTCCTCCCAAGAAATTGCTTCCCGAAGAGCCTTATTTGCGCGCCGGGATATCCTCGTATAGCATTTTTTTCGTCGGGTATAGACGTCTCATAGATTTTTCGTACCGACAGAACTATGTGGAATGAAAGAGTATACTAATACTTGTTCGTCCCATTTTACCATCGTGCCTTCCCCTCATTTCCGCTCAGGCTGTGAGCGAAAACATATACTTTCCCATCAAACCTTCCGACCAGAAATTCCTGTATTTCAAATCGAACACCTTGCCAAGTAATTTCCTTCAAATTAAAGGCTTCACAAAGGGTCGAGACAAAACAACAATAGCTTTGCTCAACCTTGAACTGACAGTCTAGGTAAGAAGGGCATGCCGAGCCTTACTTTCGGGTTGTTATGAGTGGTATTGATCGACCTCCTGATCTCCGCAAGTACGATCTCACCGCGGTAACGGCTGAGGTCGAGCTCTTCCTCTTCGATATGTCATCCAGTGCCTGCTCCTACTGATTGAAAAATAGGTATCATGTGCCAGTTGATCGTTTGTCGTACTCTATATGCTTCGATCAACTCAATCTTTTAGCTGAAAATATCACCTTCACCAAAGTAGACACAGGCACTTGCGCCGACGGGATTTTCATCGGGTTGTTGTCCGCCTAACTCTTACTAAAAAGTTTAGCCAATCGCTCATCTCAGTGACATCTCAACGTCCTATCAAATGCCTAGAATTAATACCATGTCGATGTTTAACAACGTTATCGATTATCCCTGATTGTACACTGGTGAGCTAACAGCCTGGAGGTCGATCGACACATCGACGCTAGAACCAACTCGATACAACTGTAAGATATCTAGTAATCGATGCAGTCCTTTGATCCGTTACATTATTTAGGTATGTTTTCATCATTAACTCCAACGTATTACTCGAGTTATTATAATCACATATTATATCTAGTCTATTATAGTATGCTGAAATATGCTAAACCTGTCAAGTCTCTAGCAAGGAAGTTCGGGGATCAGCTCCACGAGAAGCACGAAGATTCACGACACCGCCGGCCACCGAACTATGTGCATGGGCATAGAAGTACGCTGCGTGAGCAAGGGTTGCCTGCTCAACCACACTGAGGACGTCGGTGAGCATCAGAGACCATCCAAAGGTTCGGCGATCGTCCGTCGTTAGCAGGTCCGAAATCAAAACGGCACCTTGATTACGCAGGTATGTGAGGTTCGTGAGATCGCGTTCGTCAGTGGCGATGTAGAATCTGAACAATTGTGGCATGATTTTTGTCCTTATCAAAAGTAAGCTAGATGTCTCACTGGTCATTATCTGCTGGAGGATCTAGAAGTAGAGGCGTGCGATCGGCTTGACCAAGAGGAACCTTGTACGTGTGGAGAGGCCCCCGATGCACAAAATGTAGGATATCGCGTCCGTCGCGTAGATGGCGCTTGATCCGGGCGAGATGAGCTTCGAAACTCGGTTCCATAGTCCATTTCAACGTCGCAACTGAATGACCTGTTGTGAGCATCGAGGTATTCAAGGAACATGAGAACAAACAATCCCCCCGTCGCATATGAGCTCCCATCCACATTCGTCCGCCAGCCTTCTCGACCATGCGGTTAGACAGTAGATCAGCCAGTTCGACCACATTGTCTGTGAGACGAAAGTCATAGAGGACTGTTTGCGTGTATCTTTCTCGACTTTCTAAGGTGCTGAACTTGAGAGCACCCTATTCACTAGGTGTGATCAAAGAGTCTTGTAGAGGAAGACAAAAGAAATTACCGGCTTCCGTCCCAAATGAACCTCGCCTTCGAGGAGAAGTACATCTTGCTCTATGAACCCAAAGTCTTCGTACAATCCACGCAGTGAGTTTCGCGGGGCTGCTTGTCGGATTGGAACTGCGACATCTTTCGCTGCTTCTGAGCTACAGCTAGGCAACCGAGCTTATTCTAGGAGCCTGCTAAACAAAACAAAAAGGACTCACGCGCCGCCGTAAGTGTAAAGCACTTCCCAGCCATTCTCTTCCAGTGTATTTGCGATACTGCTAGTCGATGATGACTCGGTTTCATTCTGGTCATGACGATCTCCCACAACTATGAGGACAGTGTCCCAATCGAGAACCGATGCTCTGGATGTCATTGCATCGTGCAACGCCTTTGATAGAAGGGTCTCTTCTGTGATATTCCAAGACCCGGCCTGTCCATGAGTGATGTTCCACCCCCCCCTCTCTCGCATAGCTTGTGGCAGTTGATCAACCCGAACGATACCGGCATCATACAACTCATTCTTGACAACGTAGAGGCTGGGTCCCACCCCACTATCAGAGAATATGTTGACGCCGCGGTGATATAAATCGGTATCCCAGCGTCCGTTGGTGGTTTCCACATCAGCCGAAATGTTGTGCAAGCGGAGGTATTCAGATATTGTGATGACTGCATGTGTCTCGCGCAGGTGGGTCAAGTTGAACATGAGAAACACGGGTATTCTCCAAGCCATTTGTTTTTCTAGGGGGAGTTGGCGCCATTCGTCCGTGCTGGTTGCGTCCCCCCTATTGACCATGGTAGCATATGCAGCGCATACGGAACTGGCAAAATATTATATTAAAATGTGGGGGTCGATACAAGAGTAGCACGTACTTGTCGAATTCACAGGCACGAGCGTACACGTAAGAGGGTATAATTGTAGTACGGTTTAGGATACGTCCGTGGAGGACCGCTGCCTCGATGATGTACCGCATCTATCGGGAGCTAGCCATGAATTGCGTAGTTCAGAGATTAATCTGGGACCCACATTATTCCAGCCTAACCAGAGGCTGTAGTCGCGTGCATAAAATCCTTTGGTTTGAGAAACTATATGGCGGAGAGCGTCGAGCTCAGGATCGACCTCTAGAGACCCGCCCTGTTCTGAGGTGATGTTGGAGGGAGACTGTGAGTCGTTTAATGCTGTGTGCACAAAGGGAACTGGATGCGAGGTGGTTCTCAGCATCTTCCGTGCTAAGCTCGCCAGGACGCTGAACACGATTAACGCGCCGATGAATGCCGGAACGGAAGGACATGGATGACTGTGTCGTTTCATTGTAGTAGGTTAAACAGTAGCTTTCGCGTGAATTAGAATGAACAGGAAAATAAAATAGGCTGTGGTGAATAGTGCTGAAGTTGCGATTGGCCCGCCGCCATCAGCGAGATTAAACATAGGAGATGTTCAAGTTTCGTCACTCACCTCATGATACATTTCCTTTCTGGTCATTGGTATTCAGTCAACTTGCCTTGAATCAAGTTTAAATAGGTTTGCAAGATTCCTCTCACAATGTCGCAACATTTCCTTAAGCTTGGTGTCCCCCACTTGTCCTCAGCTGTATGCTTAGCTGCGTATGAGCATCCTAGATGTATTAGTGTGCCTCGTTCAGATATAAATTTTGCAATTCTAATTTCATAGAGTATACCATATAGCAACCGTTGCTAGTCGTACAGCTGAAGTATCTGCAGGACTGTTACGACAAGAATCCGGTTAGTAGGAGTGTACTGAACAGGTTTTGTAAGATAAATTTGTGTAGGCACCTGTACGCTGAACAGCAAGGAAATGATAGACGGATTTCTACGTATGTAGTACGCAGTGACTGTTATATCACTTTCCGCGACCGTCGCAACAGGGCTTTTCCTGAAGGCTGGCGCTATATCTTATACTATGTTGGACAAAATTTGCCGCCCTCGAGAACGTCGTTCACTTGCAAGTTGCAACCGATAGCCAAGTGGTGTATACTCGTACAAGCCTTTGACAGACTGAGGGCAGCAGCACCGAAATCACCTGGGGAAGTACCACATAAGCATAAGTACTAGATGAGTCGGGAGTTTAACGATGAATGGACACTAGCCTTTGTTATAACGATAGTGCATCACATTGATGGTGGCATCTTGTGGCCTATCTGACAGTGACAGACTCATCGCCCCAAGTCCAGTGAACATTTTAAACTACATATTGACGAGAGGAACGGTAGAACTACATATTGACGAGAGGAAAAGAGGAAGAACTAGATATTGACGAGAGGAAGCGTGGTTAATGGCACCGACCTGTGCATAACATCTAAAACCCGAGAACGAAGCTTAGTCATTTATAGATGATACTATTTCTGGCCTACTCAACTTGAACTTAGGACCAACGCTCAGCGCTTATTACGCTGGGGCATGTTCGCCAAAATCAACAGAAAGGATCTGTTCAAGTCTCCACCAACTGTATTCACAGACAAGCTTATCTCCCAAGAGGCGCGTCGATCTAAGGTGAGTAAATGACACCCTTACCTCTTCATCTTTGTCTAAGAATGCGTGTTACTAGGCTTTGGAAGAACAGAAACGCGTGTGTGTGATCTCATTTGTGCATTTCTTTCGAATATCTAACATCGCCTTACAGAGACGAGCACAAAAGTTTGAGTCATCCCGGCAACTCGATGCTTTCGCCGATCTCAATCTTGGCAACTCTGATGATGACGGTGACCTCGATGATGAGCCAGAGATAATACGTGAAGGTGTATCCGGTTTTGTGCAGATGGTGTCACAACCTGTGGAGATCCAGTCTTTGTCCTCCGATGTGCACAATCACGAGACAGTGCAATCGGGGAAGCGACGAGGGAAATCCCGACGTAAACGTATCAAAGCCAAGCCGTCCAAATGGGCTGACAAATGCATGTACGCTGAGCTCCTGGAGATGAATGAAGAAGCCCACTTATGGGACAGTCAATCTGGTGATGTGATTGATGGGCTTCCACGCGATTTAGAAGCAGCCTGGGTAGCAGTGGCACCTGTTCCTACTGGGAAACGATGCTTAGCTGTTACTCATCAGTCGGCCGGAATAGTTGGCACATGTATGTAATAGCCTCTGGGACGAACCTTTTAGCTAACCATATCCTGATAGCGCCAAATACGACTCTTCGATCTCGTGTATTGGGCAAGATGCTCCTTCCTAGATTTCCGTCCTCCCTCCCACCTCTTACGGTGCTCGATTGTATTCTCGATGTCAACTGGAGAGACAACGGCATCATTCATGTCCTGGACGTGCTCAAGTGGAAGGGTCAAGATGTCGGTGACTGTGAGACCCCTTTCAGGTGGGCATACATTACATGCGAACGATCCACTTACTGACATCCTATGCGTAGGTTTTGGTGGAGAGATACCCGCTTAGCAGAACTTACAAAGCCCCCTCTGCCATCTGGAAATTTTTCATTTACAGCCCCTTCCACGACTGCGGACGCATCATCTCAAAATGCCGGGTCACTTTCAAATATACCTACTTCTGAGCGTGAGCGCTACCGCTTTCCGTATCCAACATCTTTTGTCCCAATACCATATCATACTGATACAACATTGACTTCCCTCTCTTCATTTGTCATCCCTATGGCGCGATCAACACGAGAAATTAGTGTTGATATCCCTGTGCATGTCTCACCACCAGAATTCACATCGCATGATATGGCTATCGATGGCGCTCACGATTCAATGGTCTCACGCTCTACTACGTCAGTTGTTGCGCGTGTGGACTCCGATGGGTTGTTGCTGTATGTGTCTCACGCAAGCTATGAAGAGGGAACCAGTCCCTTAAGCTGTTGGATACCCAACAAGGCGATCACAGGGCACCCGGAACTTCCTGGTATTTCTGAAGGTCACGACAGCCCGCTTGATGTGTTCCAACGGTGCGTGATGGTTATTCCATAGTGTTTTTGAACGCTGACAGCATATCAGTCTGGTCCAGCGGCACACTATGAAGAATCTTCATGTAGTACTCGGTTTACAAGAGTCTATGGACATATGAACAAACGTTTCATCACGAATCGTCTTGCATATCACACATTAGCCATTATTCAAATATTCATTCATCCTTCATGCATTTACACCTTCACTTTACCGCGCAAACCGGCGCTATTTTGTCACTCTTTTTTCAAGACACAAATATTTGTACTGCAGCAGCGGTTAGGATAGCAAGTCGCATGAATACAACATTAACTGGTCATGTTGATGTGAATTAGCACGATCCATGTTGTAAGTCTAGTTGGGAGTATTATGCTATAGGAACTCCATGCCAATACCAACTTGCAAGCCCCTTCGCACACCATCGCTCTTACTTGCAACAAGCGGTACCCCAAAGTTCACCTCTACTCTCACAGGATCGAAGCGGTATATAAGGCCAACTCCCGCGGATATTGAGGGTTTTCTTAGGCACCCTATTAAATTCTCGCTCAGTCCTTTCGCTGTTATAGGCGAAGAACAAAAGTGCAATCAGTATCTTTCTAAAGAGGTAAGGATTGGGTATTTACGCACTTCCGTCCATTGGATCCAACCTCCCAGCGTTCACAAATATGTGTGACTTAATGGGCCAATGCGGTTTCCGTGGGATATCGGACACCAAAGAAGCACCTGTCGACCAGTAAATGTCACCACCAAGTGAATCGACTAGTGCGGTCAGACTAAAAAAAGGCCCTTTCGACATGAAAATTAAGAAATACCTCGATCTCGAGGGCCCATGCTGTTCGCCTTAAACGACCTTAAGCTGAGAGGTCCGCCGAGCTGGAACCTATCGGAAAAATGGCTGGGGCCGGTAAGAGCCTTTAAGAGGCCACACCGTGCAGCCAACGAGAGGCTCTGCATATTCAACATGAAGTTAACCCTGATCCAATAGTAGCACGACTCTCACCATTCCTGGAACGGGGCGCCGGGAAATTTGACTTTCAACCTCGGCCTTGTAAAATGACACGTCCCCTGACAGTCCAGCTAGCTCTTGAAAAAGTTTGCAATAATAGCCACGTGACGCTGCGAGCTTGTCGTCTCTGGTATCTTTTGTCCATGAATGAGAGATCGATGACTTGATGGTTTGACCGGCATGTTCGCGAATGCTGGATAATCGTTCGATACAGGCTCAACGATAAAACACATTCATCCTCACCTGACTGATGCACTTGGTGCTAAGTTGTTGATGTGCCTCAAAATGGCCTGATATGCAACTTCGTGAACACCGTGTACTCCCCAGTTGCTCTTCAGAAGCGCATACTCAGTATGTTTGACATTTCACAGGAGAAGCAATAAATCTTACATTTATTGCAACCTTTAAGCCGTGTAAAATCTCCGAACAACTTGCAAAAGACGAGAGATCTCGCTCCTGACTGAACAACGAAAGTTGGCCCGTTGTGCGCAATGACGGTGAAAGAGGAAGGGAGAGAAGCCCCTGGAAAGAACGACGCGTTTTCGTGCCTGCTGAGTAGTGTCCTTCCAGGAACTCAGCTCCGCCAAATATGTTGCGCACTCTGCCCGTGACACTCTATGATGGTGAAGATGTGTGAATGTGTCATCTACTTACAAGCAAAAACACGATACTCACAACGCTGCCCTCATTATTACCGAATTCAGTGGCAGTTTTCAAGTAGAACCGGCCCTTTTCACGTGTAGTGACAACAATATCAACGTCCCCTTCCCCGGCAAGGTAATCCCGACTCCTCTGTATTTTTGCGTCGACAGAGTGAAACAGGTCCGTCTCTTGCAAAATGTGGCTTATGCCCCTTGCAGTATATAGCGCTCCCTGCAGATTGTTCGTCTTGCTTGCCCGGTCGTCTGTATGCCGCGCAAGCCATGGCTGAATTAGCCAGCCTAGAAAAGATTTCCTGGTATTTGTAGCACCATCTACACGGACTGAAGCGACTGATAGTGATGTCTCCAGATTTTGGTTGACCTGTCGTAAATCCGTTCGGAAATGATGCGAATGCGGACGAAGGCATCACTCACAAGCTCTGCAAGGTGAAAAACGGCAGATTCATACTCTCCTCGGAGTTTTCGTTCGAGGCGAGCTTCCTGCCATTTCTTGAATTTTTCAAGATCGTCTTCCTTGGGCTCATGAGGATGCGCAGTGTGCTGCAACGGAGGATGCAATCCTTCCGCCATTCGAGAAAGACACAACACACCACTTCTAAAATAGGTAGTTTAGATCACCATCGGACTTCGAACTAAACCTTCTCAGAGGCCGAAACTTGTCACTTAATTTTCTCAATTGCCAAGTCTTTGGGCCAATTCCTGTCTGCAGCCCTACACACTAGACGTATACAATAGAGCCACGAAGACATCCGAGAAATCAAAGAAATATCGGCTCACTCTGTGCAGAGAACGGTTAGTCACTGCTTACATCCGCACTCAACCAAGGTGTCATACTTAATTGTCTCGTGCGTTCAATTGCGTCTCATATGTGTTCTTCTGACCTATTTGATATAGTCGCAATGCCTCTGCCATATGACCTATGCGCTCGCGTCCAGAACGCCTTTCGAGCACGACACCACAAAATAGCAGTGGACCACACAACACAAAACCTTGGCATCCTCAGCATACTCCTGCGGACCGGCTTCATCTCCAACGTCACGCGCGGAACCATTGAGTCACCCTCTCCCACTGACTTCCTCCGCGTTGGCGAAGCCCAGCGCCGTATATGGGCCGAGCTTAAATACCGCGACGACCGGCCTGTCCTTTCGGACATGGAGCTCATCAGTAGACCTAGTAGACGCATTTTCATGGACATTGGGGAGCTGCGGCGGATTTGCTCCGGACGCCGTGCACAAACGATTAAACCTTTGGGCATGGGCGAAATTGCGGTGGTGCGGACAAAAAGCAAGGAGCATGAATGGTTGGAGGCACGAGAGGCTTTGCAATTAAATTTGGATGGGGAGGTGATCTGTCGAGCTCGTTGACCCCGTCGAGGGTCATTTGTTGGTGCGCAACAAGAGGTCATGGTTTGTTCATCTAAATTACTCTCTAGCTGTCCTACATATCAAACAGACTTATTCAAACGTTCACCTCTTCAATACCGTCTCGTGATTACAATTCCCATATTCGCTACCCGAACTCATGCCAGAGATCCTAGGAAATTCATTCTCGGGGCGCTTCGTGTTCAATCTTTCATTCTGATTTTTTTCGTTCAAAGGACCGCTTTTTGCGCTCAACATCCACATTGGATCGGTGCCACGATAGATTCGTTGCTTCGTCGAGGTGTTTGTTTATCTTCACGCGTTGCTTGGTGAGCGATCGAGCTCGGGGTCTGTATGACATCCAATAATTCTATGGTCAAGCCCCAATCTATCTATGCTGCAAAATCGATACTTCAATTGTGTTCATTAATACAACTGCGGGGGTCCATCCTTCGCCCGAACTCTGATATACAAGTTCTTCGGTTGTCACGCATTGACATTGATGGGTGAACAACTGAGATTGATCAGACCGTTCTGGAATAATGGTCAAGTCGGGTATACTTCGACAAGACAAATGTACTCACAGTATCGACTTCTTCGCAACACAAGGGTTCCTGATTCGCACTGCAGCCTTGGGAGGTGCCCACAACGCTAACCCCCGAGCACTCGTTATTTGCCCGACGCTGGACGATTCCCCCCTGTGCGAAATATTCTGTTGCCTCGGATGACTGTTGTGGGATGGAAGTGAGTAATCATTTTGGCAAGTAATATTTTTCTGATGTACCGTGGGTTTCAGGTCACAGCACATAATCGTTCCAGTGTCACATTGCGAGTCGCCGGCTATGACGAGGATTGTCAAGGATAAAAGAGCTACGATATGTGTCAACATCTTGTGTTGGGTGGACTGGTAATATCGGTATGTATGTACACAACGGGGTGAATTTGAAGCTAATTGATCTCCTTGCTGTCTGCCCATTTATGCATCCCCATTGTTTGATCTTGTGTTTGTAGGTTGTAGAAGTCTTTTATTTCTTCGCGAAGTCCAAGGTTTAAGTCAGCTACTACGGACCAGCGACGGTGCAACCGACCTAGCACCGACGTAGAACTAAGGCCGCAACTACGACAGTGCTCTCACGTCCTGGACTCATAAGTTGTAAGGGTTACTCACTTTTTTGACCGCTGCATCGTATGATTCGCCGTTTTGAAGGATAGTGCCTGTCCGTGTATAAATGCAGCGCGTAAACTTCCTCAAGCGCCTTTAGAATATTCTTTCAAGTGGAGCTTAAGCGCGCATTCAGGAGATTGTTTGCTTCATCTCCATGTACTTTATGTCCGTTATTCTCGCCTAACATCTGTCCATTGTTATGGGCCCTTAGGCTGGAGAATCAGCATGCAGATTGCCTACTATGCTGGATTCTTTGCGTCGTCTTTAACGATATCTCCATGTGTGATGTAGTACATACGTACGTACTATATGGTGCCTATTACAATTGAATGCAAATCCTCGTCAGCGGCCAGAAGGCATCAGCTCCTGGCAAGTTCCAATCCTTCTGAGATATGAGGTGTGGCTGGCCAAATCAGCAAGTTCGGCAATTATATCAAGTACTCAGAGAACATATCATCGAACATCCTCTGCAGAGTAGCGTCGACTGAGGCTATAATCTAGATGTCTCAAGACAGGGTTTTATTTGCATGTTCAACGAATGAGCCAGACAAAGGCTTTTAGTGATCAATTTTGTACTCCGATAAGAGAAAAGGAACGGTTGGCCCAACGCGAACTTGTTGCCGACACCAGCACTCCCTGATCAACATTTGTCGGAGAGGGAGAAATCACACAAGTCACATGGTCTTACCAGTTGTTGTGTACATTGTGTTGTCTCGTGTGATGATCATGCTCGTAGAATCCGTTGTCCCAGTAGTTGCACCTTCTGGAGTATCACCCAGCGCTCACTTGTCAGTTGATAATGTCTCTTTCAGCCTTGAAACGAGCTTCATGAGTTCTTCGGCAGGGGAAAAACTCTGGGAATTGCATTTCACAATTACAATGGTATGAAACAAGGACTCATGTTTTGTTTATACCACCTGTCTGCTACGCCGCAAGCGGTTGACAGTATTGGAACGGTCCAAATGGGATTTCAGCATCCGTAAGGTCTGCACAATCTCACCTGTCGCCGCCGTCAGTTCGGTAGGACAACAACAACTAATACCTCGACTCACCCGCAAGCTTCGGCGTATCTGCCTCAAAGTCGTAGCGCTTGCTCCCGCTGTCCCGTTGTACGATGATCTTGAACAGCGTGGACGACTTCGCGGACTGTTGACATTGAATGATGCTCTTGATATGGAATGACACTGTCTTTCCACTATCAAAGACTGCTTTGGCCTTGTTTGTGGATGGCATGATCTGGAGGAAGACTGTCATTTCCGATCTTTGGTGATGATGGAGAATCTTACATGGATATAAACACCATCGATAGCCAAAGTGCGTTCCTGGCGAGCTAGCATGGGCATTTTGCGGTAAATGGTGTATTTCTTTTATCGCAAATTAACACCGTGAGGAACACCTATCAGGAAGGATAGCGAACCTTGTATGCTGTCGCGTAGTCGGCCGCAGCGTTTAGCTGTATCTCTGGGACATCCGATATCCGTTTGGAAATAGAAGCTGGAGAAAGAAAAATACTGAGCAGCTATTCTGAGCTTAAGATGGTTATTAGTACCATTTGGGTCAGTGGTGCGTGCTGATCTGCTTTCGGGCTCGATGCCCAGTTGAGGCAGCGTAGATCTCTTGACCAGCGTCAGCTCGCGTCTACCTCCGAGACTAGCAACCGTGCGGTCGAGGTATGCTAGCATGTTGAGTTCGTTGACGATCAGAGCATAGTCCTTGAGGTTTGCCAGTTTGCGCTTCCGGCAAACCACTTCAAGCACCTCCTGCATGTACATACCCGCTGATCTGTATTCAGTGGTGAGTGGGCAGAGAGTAACATAGCCAAATGCAACTTACACAGGAATGGTGGTGGATATATGGACTGCATCAGCGGTGTCTGCAACGCGAATACGCAAAAACAACTGGGGACCATGGCTCGACGAAGGACCCAAAGAAGATGATAAGATTGGAGTTGTACCGAACACCGCGCTTGTAGGGCCGGAGACAGACGCCAACGCCAAGCCGCCTGGAGGTCCTGTATCCTGCTTCTTTGGCGCTGCCATAACTCTCGAGGGCCGTCGCTGTATGTTGCTTTCCAGTTGTTCATTTTGTTGTACTGAAGGGAACAATTAGCATTGATAAACGAAGAAAAGGGTGTCATACTTTGCAGCGGAGTAGCAGCTAGAATAGCGAATGCCTCGAAACCAAATTTCGAGATCTTGCCCATGCGGTCGGGTGCTATGATAGAAAAGGATGAATCTTCTGCGACGGCGAGCGACCAACTGGACGTACGCGGAAAATCCTCATCAACCTCGCCATCATCCTCTGCAATGCGCATGACCCAACCTATTGCAGAGAGCTTTGGGTCATCATCCTTAACACCTGCATTAAGTTCAGGCTGCCATCGCTCGTCCCAGTAAGTCCATAGAGCGAAACCGATGACTTCCTCGATTGTTGCGTCTTTCCGCACGTTCAGAGTCACACATTCACCACGAGGTTCTGTCGCATGCGGAAAGTAAACCTTGACGTCCACCGAGGCCGTCTCTCCCCGTCCAGATATAGCACCGTACAGCTCACTGAATGGGTTGGTGGGACCACCTGACGAAGCAAGGATAGCGGTGAGAGCGGATGTATGCGGGCTTGCCGGCGCGACAGGCTTGCGTGTGAATGTCATGTCGGACGGAGCGTCGATAACAGGTAGTGATATTGAGACGCCTCTTCTGCGAGTTTCATGTTTGGGAGGTGGCGGTTCAGATCGCTGATCAGGCTTTGGCACCGGACTGATCATCTCGAAGTAAGTCTCGGTAGGCTTGGAATGAAGGGTTGGAGGGCACCCTTCGTGAGTATTGTCCGTAGCACGATGTTCAGACACGGGGCTGAGTCGTGAGCGTGTTCGCGGGTAGGGAACGACGAACGGCGATGTTCCAAGGGTGGATATGTTAGACCCAGACAGTACTGAGGCAGTCCCAGAAAGAAGGGAAACCCCATCAGATGCACTGTCCGAATGCATGCCTCGGGTGGCAGCGAAGTCTCTGTACATGGGGCGGTGAGCTTTGCAACGGCGTAGATTAGAAACACCACCGTACGGATCAAATTCATCGACTTCGTCCATATTATCGTCTCCTGGGGCTACCAAATCATAGTCGTCATCGTTATCATCTTCTAACATGCCATCCTCATCGTCGGATGAAGAGATGTCAGGATTGAGGCTACGGGTCGCCACGGAGGGAATTTTTGGCATAGAAGCTGGAACGCCGCGGCGCGCCATCATTCGCACCCTGCGTCTGGCCTCCATTTCGGCCGCACCTTTGAATTTTGGCACAAATAGGACATCCTTTGGGAGTGGCTCAGGAGGGGTGTCGTCTTTCCGTGGTTGATGTTGCACAGGTAGAGGTTGAGAAATATCAGCCTGCTCTGAAGTCATGAGACACGGATCAACGTTACTAGCAGCAGTTATGAAGTTGACGCGCGGCAGGGCAGCGGGAGCATCAGCTCCTTCGTCATGCATTCCGGCCCTCTTTGCGATGAGAGAGGCTCGCTTTGAGGTAGAAGCGCGTCGACCTGATACTCTCAATCCAAACGCCCCAGATCTGTTGCCCATGATTGTTTGGTGGTGCTTAAGACCAGTAGCCCCAGGAAACCCCGATGAGGGCTTATCAGGAGCCTCCGAATCATCGTCTGATATAGGCGGACTGGAGGGATATTCGAGTTCTGGCCAACGATGAACATCTGCGAGTGAGGCTGCGAGGATATAAGGGTTTGATGCATAGGATGGGCTCAGGGAGATTATACGCGCGCCATAAGGGTCATCGACGTTGCGCAGGTAAGACAGCCTTAGACTGTGAACTAAATATCTATATATAAAAGGCGTGAGTGCACCATTGAAATCATTCAGACCTTACCAGGCGTACCCTGGGTCACTGATGAGAGACATGACGTCTTATTCTACTGGTTCGATCGTGCCCTGACGGAGTCCAAGTCGCTCGCGAGATATTTAGCAAATCACAGCCTCAATCGTCAGATATTTTAGTAAACAGTGAAGATAATAGTGCCTGAGCAAGTTTGAGCAGGTAACGCCCTACGTTTGGGAGTTCAAATTGTTCGTGATATCAATAGGTAGGTCCCCGACTCCTGCGTTAGTGGATGGTCTTTGTGGGGTATGATCCGTCTAATTTTCTATGCAACTCCGCCGGCGCTTTCCGTGTTGTCAAAATTAATATAAGCACTTACCAATTGCTGGAAATTGTATAATACATTATTTTGCGCATCGAGTCGCATTGTAATAAATACTTTATAATCTTCGTATCATCCCAGAAATCAGAAAGCCGAAGTCTGAAATCCGGGCTGGAACACATTAGAAATTAGTCTTCAGTGCCGCAGTTGAGAACCGAATGAGTTTATATCAATCATGTAAAGTCCTTCAAGGTACTGATACAGCATGTGGTCAGCAACAAGCAAGTTGTATTTACTTATTAAAGGTGAAAACGGCCAAACCAAGTGTCACGGTAAGCCGCGCCCAATATTATGTTCCTTGATGAAATGTCGTCTTTCGTAGTATCGATTTTGGCTTCCTAATCTCATTTCTGGCACGCGTTCTTGAGCAGTTTCGCATCTTCTTCCACGCCTCAAGTCCCGATATACTTGCACCCATCATTCTCATGGTACTAGCTCGTTATTATCATACACATGTTGTACTGTACGTACGCAATGAACCATGTTCCTTCCTATTGACCCAGGCCTCTCAACATTTAAAGTTTTAAACTGTGTGTGCAACCGAAGTCAAACGACTATCCAAAACTTCAACGCTGCGCAATCTTCAGTTTCTTCAATCCACTCGGAGAGGTGCCGAAGAACACGCACTTCTCTCCATTGGTCTCGCTTGATCGCATCTCTGATCACACTCATAGTCGTTCTATGCTCTCGAAAATCTGTCACTCAGTCACAACCTTTCTGACACGCATGTCGTTCGCTCCAACTACCCCAAGTCAAATAGAATGCTACGTATATAATAGAACTGTGCGCACCATATCGTACTCGACAAAAGTATCTCTGACACCTCTGGAAATCAATTCACTGGGACGAGACTATTGTAATGAAGAGCTATAAGGATCGGATTAATTAACTGCGAGGAACAGAAAACAATGGAGATTCACCCCTTGCGGCAGTGCTGCCAGCGTGTCCCATGTGCCATGCAGCTCAAATCAAGCTCAACACCTCTGGGTATCACAAATGCAGTCCGAGGATTATATCTGAATGCCTTTTGAGAAGCGGGTGGTACCCAGAATAAGAGCCGACGATTAGGTCCCGCCATCCATCCATCTTCCTCCAGAAAATTGAACGTCCACCTGCGGTCATTGTGTGGGGCGCCTGCGAGTAGCTCAGCAGTGTCACACAGTGCATGAGTCGGTTGTGATGAGTAGGAAATGAAGGCATCGTTCGCAGTGTTGGGTGTGGGGAAGGCTGGTGTTGGATGTAGGATGCAACTGCTGTGTGAGGATGATGATGAATGGTCTTCTTCGGCATGGTCCTGCGATGACTTTCCAATCGCTGCATACCACACCCGGACAGTTCCATCCGATGAAGAGGAAATGATGCGGGTCCCATCCCGCGAGAACGAGACTGAGTTGACATCATCAGTGTGCCCCCGCAAGGGCTCACCGACTGGCTGCCCTGTTGCAAGATCCCACAGCCGAACAGTTCGATCGCCCGAACCAGAAACGATGCGTGTCCCATCCGGAGAGAACGAGACTGAAATGACCCAGTGAGTGTGCCCCTCCAATATCTCTCCAACAGGCTTCCCCGTTACTGCATCCCACAGCCGGACTGTCCTATCGTCCGAACCAGAAACGATGCGAGTCCCGTCCGGAGAGAACGAGACCGAGTAAACCTGATCAGTGTGCCCGAGGAAAGGCTCACCCACCAACTGCCCCGTCCCTGCATCCCACAACCGGACAGTCTTATCCTTTGAACCAGACACGATGCGAGTTCCGTCCGGTGAGAATGAGACTGACCAAACCAAATCAGTGTGCCCCTCCAAGGGCTCACCAACAGGCTTCCCCGTTTCTGTACCCCATAGCAGGACTGTGTTATCGTCCGAACCAGAAACGATGCGAGTCCCGTCCGGAGAGAACGAGACTGAGTTAACCCCACCAGTGTGCCTGCAGAAAGGCTCACCCACTAACTGCCCCGTCCCTACGTCCCACAGCCGGACAGTCTTATCTGAAGAACCAGTTGCGATGCGAGTCCCATCCGGAGAGAACGAGACTGAACAGACATAGGCAGTGTGCCCCAACAAGGGCTCACCAACTGGACGACCTGTCGCTGCATCCAACAGCCGGACAGTGCCATCCAGAGAACCAGTGGCGAAGCGGGTCCCATCCGGCGATAGCGAGACTGAGGTAATGTGAGTGGAATTGGTGTGCCCACGCAAGGGCTCACCGGCTGGCTTCCCTGTAGATGCATCCCACAATCGGACAGTGTTGTCCCTAGAACCGGTCGCGATGCGAGTCCCATCCGGAGAGAACGAGACTGAGTTGACATAATTAGTGTGCCCCAGTAAGGGCTCACCCACTGGCTTCCCTGTTGCTGGATCCCACAACCGGACAGTACGATCGTCCGAACCTGTCACGATGCGACTTCCGTCTCGCGAGAACAAAACTGACATCACCCGATCAGTGTGCCCCTCCATGGGCTCACCGACAGGCTTCCCTGTCGCCACGTCCCACAGCTGGACAGTCTTATCGATCGAACCAGAGACGATGCGTGTCCCATCCGGAGAGAACGAGACTGACATAACCCCACCAGTGTGCCCCAGCAAAGGCTCACCGACGGGCTTCCCCGATCCTGCATCCCACAGCCGGACAGTTCGATCGATCGAACCAGAAACGATGTGTTTGCCGTCCAGAGAGAATGAGACTGATGTGACATAAGAAGTGTGCCCTTCCAAGGGCTCACCAACCGGCTGCTGCGTTGTTGCATCCCATAGCCGAAGAGTCTTATCATTTGAACCTGTGACGATGCGAGTTCCATTCGGCGAGAACACGACGGAGTTAACTGACGAAGTATGCCCTGATAATGGTTCACCGATGGCCTGCCACGTTGCTACATCCCACAACCGGACGGTCCTATCTTTCGAGCCAGACACGATACGCATCCCATCCGGCGAGAATGAAACTGAGCTGACTGACTCAGTGTGCCCCCGCAAGGGCTCGCCTACTGGCTGCCCCGTCGCTGCGTCCCACAACCGCACAGTGCGATCATACGATCCAGTTGCAATGTGACGCCCATCCGGCGAGAACGAGACTGAGTTAACACCATGAGTGTGTCCGCTGATCACAGTCTGAACGGCCGTCCAGTTGATATCACGTCCAGATGCTACACGAAGAGAGTTCGGAAACCGTGCAGAAAACGTTCTGGATAGTGCAGAGTTGAGGGGAGAGAATGGAAGTGCTGATACATAGAGATGAGGTGTGCTGTGCAAGATGATGCCGGCGAAGAGTTGAATGAATCTCTGCACGTCCATTGCAGCGGACGAGGCATCTTCGTATCCGGTGTGACCCTGTAATTGCGATTGTACGTTAGTGAGCATGTATGTTATCTGACGCTCGATAACCGTGTGCTCACCTTCAACCACTTGGCAATGAGCGGAAGGGCGGGGACTGCGCCGCTGAGCGCATTGATGAGGCAGAGTACTTCGAGCCAGAAGAACAGTCGCTCATGGTCGAAGAATGATTTTATTTCTGTGGCGAGTTCTGAATCGAGTTTAATGCTTTGTACGTGTGAAAGCCAGAATCGGCAGGCATAGGATAGATGTGGGGGGATGCACTTTTCAACTCGTTCTCGCAGACCGGGATCTTCGGAGTTGGGTAGATAGGATGACTTTAAATCGCAGATATTGAAGGAAAGTTCATCTCTCATCACTCCAAGTGATGCGAAAGCAAGGTTTCGTTGAGCCTTCGGCACGTCGACGAAGAACTCTCCGCTGTGTGATTGGTCTGTCAGGAAATCGCGAATGGATGCGTGAAGGGGTCGAATTGGGGTGGACGGGTCGGTGGTGCCACTGAGGAGGGATCCCATGTGTTCCACTATGACCTCCACTTTGTAATGCTCGCTTGGATCTGGAAAATGGCTTCGCATGGTATTCAGGGAATTCAATGGGAGGGGTTCGGCTGTGCCAAGAATCTGTCCCATCACGGAACGAAACACTGCTAGCTGTGTTTGCTGAGACTTGAAGCTTGTGTGTCTACCCTTTGGCATGATCTGCGTCAGAATTAAGTCATACATATCATACAACAGGTGCTCCCGTTCGACAGCATCGCGGGACACTATGACATCGAACGACTGATCGGCAGATACGCCAGGAGGTGGTGCTTCGATAGATTTGCAAGCAAGACGTGCCCACTCGAAAAGACCATCAGCTTTCTTGGCCAGTGCTGTGAACTCTTTGCGCCCAAAATGCGAATGCCCCTCCAACTTCTTCGACACGTAAGCGTAGATATCACGTTCCGCCACTTCTGATGGAATGTCGTCCATGGAGATCCTTCGAATATGTTGAGCGCCCGCAAACAAATTTTGAATGTCGCGAAGCGGGCGAGAGGTGACAATAAACCGGAAGTTCTTTGGGAGTTCTGTGATTCGGGAAACACCAGAGTCCTGAGATTTACCGGAAAGAATGCGAAGAAGGTCGCAGCGTGTCTCGGCCATGCCGCTCTCGTCCAGTGCGTCGATCACGATCACGACAGGGCCCACGGTTGAATCTGAGAGCTTCTGCATTGGTTCCATCAGAAGCTTCTCCCATTGCTGGATGATGTCAGCTGTAGTTTTGAGCGCACTGGCATTCTGGACTGTATCTGCCAAGGCTCGCCTCATCCCCCAATCACGATCGGCCAGGTCGCGCGCGATGGTAGAAAATACCTTCTCATGGCGACGGTCGGCTTCTCGATCTCGGTCGAAGCAATAACATGAACCAAGCCCTCCAGCATCGCTGAACCACTTAGCAATCGTGTGGGCGATGGCTGATTTGCCCTTGCCTGCAGGGCCAGATAGCCACAGCACCCGTGGAACGTCGTCTCCAGTGCTGTTCACCCAATCTGTGATCTGGGAGAGTACTTCCGTGCGCGTCCCTTGAAGGCATTGTTTCCTGGTATCTAGCCCTGCGTTCGCTGCATAAGTTATACCACTGAGGTCCAGTAGTTCGCCTGAAGAGAAATGTATAACTGTTGCATCAGGAACAGGTACGATACTCACCTGTACGGTGGGCGTAAATAGCTACGTCCCGAGCAACTCGGTCCCGGAAGTTTTGCATGAGGGCATCCAACGCATCGCTATACCGTTGAATTTCATTGTTTGTTTCGGTGAGAATGTCTTTCCTGAGTCTCTCCCCTGTTATAATAGTAGAAACCTGAGTATGTGGAACGTGCAACAGCTTGAAGACTCACAGAAGCTCTTGGTCTCTGAATAATCTCTGATAAAGCGAGCACATTCAAGGGTCTGCTGAGAGATCTGTCCAAGAATACCGCGCATTGATGAAATTTGGCTAAGCGTCTCGTCCTGGATCATGAAGTCAAAAACCTGATCCAACTTGTCGACAAGACGATGGACCGCTTGATCGCGGTCTGATTGGGCGATGACCATCTGCACCGATGACTCCTGAGCGCGTGATAGAGACAAGAGAGGAAGCAAAAATACTTTTGAAGCACAAGACAAGACGCCCAGTGCAATCTTTGCATATGGATGTACCTGCAGAACGAAGTTAGTTCGGTTCCAACTAACAGAAATGGGCCCATACATCTGCGAGCTTCCCGATAATATCGTCGAATATCCTGAGGGGTTGAAGATATGTGTCCTGGAAAATATAAGCATCCTCGAGATCCCCTGATGCGTTTTGGGCGGCGGATGCCCCAGATTCTACAGGCCCTGAAAGTTGATTCATGCCTTTGACAGCATTTTTGGCGTCTCGAAGTGCCGATTGGGGATCACCGCCTTGTTTCACGCCAGATGGAGCATTCTGAACCTGTGCGACCATCAGAAGCTGAGAGAGAAAGCAGAAACTGAAAGGTGACCTACCTCGGGCTCGATATTCGCAGTTGACAAGGCGCTTGTGTGATCAACATTCGGAAGAACAGGCTCACGACTGCGCAAATTCCTCATGTTCGAGCACTTTTGTATGATCTCAGTCTGATCCCATGCAATTCTGTTTCTCAACTTACAGAAATCTTCTTCGTTACACCATCCTTGACCTTCTTCAGAAACTGACAACATTTGTGTGGCGGTCGGGCCTGGACAAATGGGGCATCAGATTCAGTGTTCGAGAGTGTGATGGACAAGTGATGCATATGAGTGACGTACCGAGCTTCCTCGAGTGACTGATGTGGTGTCTGGAGGAACTGGGCTCGAGGCCCTTGATTGATTACTGTTGCTCATGGCGAATAGTTAAGGGTCAGTTGGGCGAAGTAGGCGTTGCGTTGAACAACAAGAGTGGGTAGAAACGTCGTTGAAATATGATACCCTCGAGGCAATACCAATACTTATTTGCTGTTGTGTTGACCTAAGCATTGCCAGCAGCCTGCTTGGGGCTGCCAGGCACTTTCATGATGTAAACTCCGGGAAACGCCAGGAAGTCGAAGGAACGACTCGGACTATCTTCATTCATTTACCATTTGTCTATGGACAGTCGAGTTAGTTACTTAGTAAGGACGTTCGAAGCTCGGAGGACATGTAAGAAATGGCTGGTCTGTGTTAAGTCTGCGCAGACTCCGCGCCAAACTCAGGCTCAAAGACTGTCCGACTCTGGGCAGAGTGTGGGGGACATGTCTGGGGGTGTTTTGTCGGCAAGTTCCGAGCTATCTGTTCTTACATCATCCCATCAGCCGCCGACCACTGCCGCCAGCCACCCCTGCCGCATCTACGTCAGTGGGCATGGCGGGCAACATAATAGTGTACATTGGTTAAGTTTGGAACGCTACGGCAAATATTGCAGCAGTCGCAGCAGTAGTGCTCCTTACCAAGGAAGGTTTTGTACATCTGATCTCTGCCCTGATACTCTAAAATGAGTCCTTGTCGGAATCTTGCGATGTACTACTAGGAGTGAAACTTAAGCTTCATCTCACAATCTTGATGAGTTCTGCATCCCCAGTGGAGAGCAGGATGGATGAGGGACCAACAGTACTGAAGCGAATCTACGTGCACACTACCAAAGGAATTCAAGATTTCACAGCATCGCCGTAGTCATGTTGACGTGTTTGAAAAGATATTTCCTGTCGTTTCGTTAGTGTTAGCCTGACTCCTTCTGATGTGGCGAGGCGCTCTTGGCTTCGTCAGGGGGGTCGTTCGTGATGCATTTCATCTGTCAAAGTGATTCATTCTATCAACGTTCTCCATCTCTTTCTTGGTGAAGACGGGTCGCTGGGTTGACTGAAAACCAAACTTGATATAGATAGCGCATCGAGGTGTCAAACTCTCACCGGAGAATGGATAAATTCACCTCTTAGATAAATTACCTTCGAAGGAGGAATTAAGTTCATCATCTTCGACTGTGGCACTGACAGTCGACTCATCAGCGCGTTGAAAGCGTACCTTCTGGTATTTATATGGGGCACGTACGAAGTCCCAATCAACCAGAGTGATTGTAGTAATCGATAAGTCTGTCGTGCACAAACGAGTAATCGGTCAAATCGCAGAGTCTTGCCGCTGTACCAAGTGGCACTAAAATATTGAGTAGACATTGGGAACCGAACGTTTGAAGTTGGCGCCGCGATATGTGCGGGAACAATGACGTTGAAACAACCTAGTGGCGCAAGGTTGGCGAAAGGTACATCATCGATAATAGACCAGGCACCAACTATACGTCTCGCAAGTAGAAATGCGCAAAAGATAAATATTGGAACGTCCCAGGTCAACGTTACGGTGTACACCAGTCGTTGCCAGTCTCCCCCAAACGCATGCAGGGGGTCAATATAAAAGAGAGGACAAACTGTAAGACGGTGTACGCACAAACAATAACGTACGTCCTGAGGTTCAACGTTCAGAGTACAGAATTGAGTAAGAAGGCTCAACGGACCCAAGTTGAAGTATTAACACGTTAGGAAATTCAACCCGCAGTTACTGCACATAAATGTGCGCCACGCATATTCCTTGGACTACCTGATTTTGACACGTACGTGGGCCAGCCTTTTTTTTTTTGCTTCAGAGTTGGTAGTGGGCCAGCCTTCCTGGTTCCTCCTGTAGCAGCGGATGTGAGAATCTTGCTTGGCAAATATATTTCGCCTTGGAGGTCCGATACGGAGCTCAGCCTATCAACCTGAGCCAATGCTTGTTGTTCGAATATGTACGTTGAAATTTGACCGCTGCTTCGGCGAGGTCGGCCTTATGGTCTAGAATGATCGAAGGAAGACGGTACTTGCTTCGTTCCTTCGTAGTAAGTATGTAAGCGCGGTATTCGAGTCTTGTGTCGTGGAGACCGCCCCTCGGGCTTCTTTCAATGCCGTGGAGCGGAGAGGGGGATGCCAAAACTGTCCCGAACCTAGATGCCTGTTGAGAACCATCAAAGAAGATATGCTAATGGCATGTATCGCAATAAGTAGAAGATGCTCCAGACGTCGCGGGCAGGAAATCGGCAATACGCTTAGTTTGAATTCAAGTCGCCGAGTCAAACAGTACAGTTGGTCTCCCTTGGTTGAACCTGTTGTAAAAAATATGGTATTAGTAGTCATTCACAAGCATGGTACTAGAATTTCTTTCCACAGCACTGGTGGGAACAACGGCATGTATCGGGGCTACTGGTCCCTCTCGGGTTTCTTCATAAGCGTAGAGCGGAGAGCTCGGGGAATTTCAAAACTGTTTGATGGAGTCGGAAAAAGAAGTCTGGCCGTCGGTATCACGTGATGGTCGACCAATGAGAAATGATTCACCAGGATTCCAACCGCAACATAGAAGACGCGCCTATGAATATACACCATCGGCATTGAGTGCAACTATATGATGCCGACATGGCGGGGCTCGGTGACTGCGATGAGTTCCCGAAGTCACAAGGGCTCTCCGCAGGTATAAAGTCTGGCGGGTTTACTCGATCATTCTTCAGTTCAAGTCGCCCCAAGCTCCTTGATCAACCAACTTCAACGCTCTTTCGAAAGAATCCCCAAACCAAACTTTAGTCTTACAAAAATGTTTGTTCGTATCCTGTCCATCACGTCCCTTGCTGTTCTGGCTATCGCCACGCCTCTCGCTCTACGTGACACCAGCGGCCAGTGCAACACCGGCAATATTCAATGTTGTCAGTCGACTCAGCCAGTGAGTTTCATATATATAGCGCACCGTCTCTGTAATCCATCTGAATTTCAACACTAGGTCGACGAGTACAACAAGAACCTGACGATGTCTGGGGGTATCCCCATCTTCGCTGACATCCTCGGTGAAGTTGGTCTCGGCTGCAGCCCAATCAGCGTGGTTGGTACTGGTGACGGTGCAAACTGTCTCCAGCAGCCCGTCTGCTGTAGTAACGAGTCATACGTACGTAACCAGCCTTCCTCGTCTATATCATACCTCTGAACGTTCTGTAGAACGGCCTCATCAACATCGGCTGCACGCCCATCAACCTCTTCCTCTGAGCTTCGAAGGCGGGGAAGCGCGCTTGTGATAGAGGGATGAGCTATAAGCGCTAGCTTTGGAGGCGGTCGCTATCAGTTTGTTATAGTTTTACTCGGGCTTCAGAGGTTCCCTATTAGCAATATGTCAATGCACGCTCTTTGTTTCTGATTGATTCGTCAGAGCGTCTGAAATAAAAGTAAATAGTCTAGTCAAATCCAGCTGTCCGCCTGTTTATCAACTTAACCTTTTGATTTTTGCTCGAGTCCCTAGGCTCTAGGCCTAGTCCTCAATGACAGATCTAAAATTCTAAATTAGCCAAGATCGCCCTTCCAGGGACTTGCCAGGGACACGTACGAAACAGGCTTTGGAGCCTTTTATTAGGTCGGGTGCTCCAGGATTCAAATATTCATTGCTTTAGGACAAGTTACCACGCTTTTCAACGTCGTCGTGACTTCTATCATGTGAGGTCATTAATGCATGCTTTGACGCGGCGTTCAGGTCTTCAAAGCTTCACTGCGGACTTGGGGGTAAATATACAATGGGCAACCCAGAAAGCTATCCTACGAGCGTGATAACACAACTCAGTCATAGTGCTTCAATCACCTGCCGGACTTCTCTTGCCCTCTCTGCGAATAATGATATTTGCTTCTTCCCGTCCTGCATGAGTTGATCATAGCTATTTTCGATCTCCCGTCTTATCCATTGTTCGACAGTAAGACATCGCTCTTCAGGAGTGAGCGTTTCTGGTCTGAGAGAAGGAATGGCTGCGAGTTCTGGCGATTGAGAAGGCGGAAGTGATGTCGGAGGGTGGGGTGGGCTGGAAATGGGTGGGTCGGATGGTTGTGGCGTCTCATCGACAACCATAGATGCGTCATTGTCATGAGGGGTCTCGGGTCGTGGAGGAGGACGAGGAGTGTTTCTGAGGTCGCCCGCTTCTACGTTGCTCGGGTATTGTTCGCTGTGAAGGTCGTCCTGAATACGTACTAGTTGTACGGGAGTATCATCCGTTCTCGCAGGCGTATCGACCTTTGCTTCCGATGGAATACTTTCTGGTTCCGATATGATAGGGTCCGTCTCAGATTCTGAGGCTACCACCTCAGCCTCGGGTGGGTTTACCAATGCTGACTTGGACGATCTCACCGGAGCCTTCTTGTTAGTCGATTTAGTCTTGGCCGGTGGCTTAGACGTAGAGACAGCGCGTCCCTTTCGCCTTGTCTTAGGTGCTTGCACCTCCTCGATAATCTCTGCCTTCGCGAGTTCATCACCCGAGTCAGACTGTTCAGGTTTTGGATCGGGTGGAACATCAACCGCCCCTTTCTTTGCCCGTGCTCGTGAAACAGTACGGGGTTTGTTACCCGATGCGTTGAAAAACGGGCATCGCGTCCCGGATTTGGTGTCGCGCTTCCTATGTTCCCCTCTGTCGTGGATGGGTCACCTTACGTCTCAAGGGGAGAACTTCATATACTCACATTGGATCATCATCAGCGTCCCAGCCACCCAGTGAGAGGTTGCAATACAAGCAGGTCACGGTATCATCACCCTTTGTTTGGGGGGTATACACGAACCCTCCCTGAGCCATCTAAAGATGACGAATAATATTCAAGTACGGCGTAAATGAGCGTGGGGACACACCTTCTTTGAGCTAGCGCCGTGGTCATCTTGCCCGTCATGAGGCCACAAGTCTTCGCCGAATGTCTGAAGACGTGCCTTCTCCATCGCCTTGCTCGTCGGAAGGCGTTTCTTGTTCAAGAATACAAAGCTAATGCTCTCATAAGCATGTCTTATGCTGAGAAGACGCGTGAACGCACCTTCCATCCTCTGCAATATCCTCACTGAGTCCGCACCGGACTATTGCCCATGCACAAGTGTTGCCACACTTCTGCCAATGAATCAGGAAAGGGTTATCATCCTCATCCCAGTCGCTCAGCTCTTTGTGACACAGAAAGCAAGCGACACTGTCTCTGTCCTCCCAGCTTGGTACCCAGTAGAAACCTGCTTCGGCAAGGGTGTGTGGGTTGGCGTTGAAAGATGAAGGATGAGGCCATTTCACAGTTGCGGAAGTAGAGTTCGGTTTTGAACTCCGTTTCACGCGCTTGGATTTAAGGAAGGAGTCGATGCGTGCTTGAAGGCCTTCCATCGCGGTTGAGGTGGTCTTGGAGAAAGATCAAGGTTTGAGAGGGTCACGTGCACGTGCAATATGCGCGCCGATGCACCCGGCCGGATTCCGACAAGAGCTCGCTGTCTACCACGGTCCACAACCATATCCATATTCTACCGACGATCACAGCAACGATGCAAAGGACTTACGGACGTAAGAACTCGCGCCGTGCACGACCAAACTCGCCAGGTGTGGAGGCTGTGCTTTCACCACCGCGGAAACGACCCAGAATCGAGGTTGAGATCGTGCAGCCACCGTCTAGTGCGTATTTATCACCACCTAAAGTAACCAGTCCCATCCGAAGAAGTACGACGATGCCTGATGTGGGCTCAATTTCGAGTACGCCGTCAAAAATTCGTACGCCGACTAAGCCAGCTCGGGATCTGAGCACGTTGTTCTCCGCTTCTCCGCATCGGACGCCGAACTCACCTGGAAAGTCGCTCGGAGTGGTGAAACGTATGCTGTCACGCTCGCGCACGGAGTCGTCCGTTGACCATAATACTGGTCATAATGTCTGCTCATTAACCCGTGTGTCTTGGTCACTTACTGAGTTTAGTGATGTTAATATTTTATCCCCTAGCATCGTCTAACACACTTCCTGTCCATTCTTCTCCACCGAAGATAGCCTCCTCGCGTTCACCTTCCCCAACACAGAATAAACCACTTCTGACAAAGCACACACGGACGTATGCTGGGGCATCACGGTCGTACCGTATTGCGCTTCCGGCAGCTGATCTCGCAGAGCCAGATGACACGCGTGAATCTTATGCTGACTTGCGGTCTCGGTGGGGCGTCGACAACTCCGAGGATGATCCACGTCCTTTCGACAATGATACTGGGACACTGAAGAGGATCTCTAGCGTGGGTTCGCGGGTGCTAGCGAATGGGATGATGAATGATCTCAAGAGTATCACGGAGTTGCGGAGCAAGGGCGAAAGCAGACGATTTCTTGACGAGGTAGGGTATCTATTTGAAAGCATAGAGAGTGGTTGTGCTATTGCACTCCGCAGAGCCAGGTGCGTGCTGGTGTGCTCCAGTAATGAACTCGTTGAAGCTCATCTTCACCATGATCAGTGTCTTGGAAATTGTCACTAAACTATGCGACCCCGAATTCAACCGCCGTGCGAAAACATCTGATTTTTATGCTCGCACTTGGGATATATTCCTCAAAGCCCGCGGAGACGGTCCAGACAAGGTGTGTTCATTCTTTTATTTCAAGCCTATTGACCCTTTTTCTACTCAACATTCCGTAGATTCTTGATGCCACCCTTTCCTTCTTTGCGTTCCTTTCCACCCGCGACTTCCAAACCCTTTCCGAACTTGCTCATAAACCTGAACTCGTCCCCACTCTCCTCGATATCCTGCGCTCCCTCACTCCCACCTCCGACATCAAGGGTGATGGGCTCAATCAGGGTATGTTATGTAAAATAACTTCTCCAACAGAATTTGTTGATATTCATCAACGTGACCGCTCGCTGACAACCCATTCAGGTCTGAAGAAAGATATCCTTGCACTCGCCCTGTCGGGGGTAGATGCAATGGGGCTGAGAGCATCGGGTATCATCAGGACAGACGTCGCGCCGGTGAGTAAGTTTCGTGGCGGCTGTCAAGAATGATGTAATAATTGGCCTTGTTCATTTTCTTGGGATTTTGTGACATCGAATTGACATTTATGTCATGTTGACTGCGCGGTAGCTCAAAGCACTTGCAGATGTGATCGCGAAATCAGGAGTGATGAAGGATACACATGGGGTACGTCATGCTGTCGCTCATTTTGATTCCCTCGTTCATTTCATTTATTCTCGACCCATGTTGTGCCTCTATTGCTACGAACGCTTGATCGTTCTTTTGGATTCGCATGGACATCATAGCTCTCCACCCGTACTCTGCTTAGCAATACACTATCATCCTTACCGGCTTCCCTCCTTCCGCCTGCATTGCAGACCCTCCCATCAATCCTCAATTCCCTCCGTGCAGAGCTTCTGCTTGTACCTCCACGCGTCAGTGCTTGGGAGAGGGGCCTGGAGCTGTTTCCCAGTTATACATGCTCGGATATAGGACTGGGGAAAAATGGGAATACAAAAAGAAATGGGAAAGGAAAAGAAACACATAAACCCTCAGATCCCCCGATAGAGATCGCCACTCCCTCCCTCGCTCACATCCACGCCTGTCTCAGCCTCGTAGACACCTACCTCTTGAAAGAGTGGATAGGCCACGTTCCATCACGTTCTAGTGTCGCAAGTGATGGTTCACATGGGACTAGAGAACAATCGGAAATATACCGTGCGCTGGCGGACCCGATACTTACAGACGAACTCGTGGAGCTGTGCGTGGCCACTGAAATTCTTGTACGAGATTGTGTACGGGATTCGGATACAATGAACAAGGAAGAGGATGTGGAGGAAAGTCAGGGTGAGCTTGGTATGTTTTTGGTACCCTTCCTCCATTCACTGCCTCCCTGCCGAACTCTCCAAACCATTATCCCAAATATTGCCCAGATACTTGCCCACCCTCCCGAATGAATATCAACAGGGATGAATGAGAAACTGATGCTCCTTTCAACAGCACGCAAAACCTTATTCTCGACTTTCCGTATTCTTACGCTTCTCCCGTCTTCCACATCCTCTTACTCCCGTCCTTCATCTCCATACTCTCGCTCGTCCCCGACATATTCTGATATTCATCATGATTCCTGGATGCCAAGCGACACAGCCCTATCCCTGATTACCCGTGTGGTGTTACGTGCACAAGCTGGATGGGTCGGGAGTCTTGGCGTTGATGGGGTTAAGGGCGAACGGGATGACGAGACGACGCAGGGGAATGAACAACATGCAGTAAAACTGGAGGAGCTGGAGGGTATAGATACTTCTTCCCCACCTTTACCCGGCTCCCGACGTGAATCTACACGTTCCCCTCGAAAACGGACACCGCTTCCTGTTTCTTCACCGTCCAAACTTGCACATAAACCTTCAATTACAACCAATGCGCCAAGTAAACTTGGCAGGCAGGGTATGTTGCATAGAAACGATACGCCAAGTAAAAGTACCGGCACACCGAGCGAAGGAAATGACACAGGTAAAGGGAAAAGCAAGGCCATATCAGTCCCGCCATATACCCTGACACGTGTTGAGTCTTTCGACTTGCTTTGCCTGGCGCTTGGGTTGCTTCTGAACTGGGCATCTGGGGGCATCGAAGGGGGAGGGGTGAGTGAGGGGATGGGACGTATCCGTAAGTATTTCTTTCTCCTGCTTCCAAATTTTTGCCGACGACGCTTTTCCTCGTATAGTTCTCAATCGCGCCTGCTCTGCCACCCGCGGCTGCTCGCATATCTGTTCATGCCCTCCGTCTTCACAGGTACCGCTGCTCTCGTGTTTAGTGTCTGTGTATCAGGCATTTGGCAGTTCCGTATTTGTATCAGCTGATTCTTCATCGCGGACACAAAAAATCGTGTCTGGCCACGAACGTAAACTGACCATGGGTGCCGGTCGGAAGCCGCCATCTGCATGTCAGCAAGATTCTCCCTCTGCAAGCCCTACCTGCCACTCCACTTCCTCTAGACGTAAAACTGCTTCCTCCCTACCCACATTGAACACGTCCAGCATGCCTCAATCTCCCGAACTCACTTTCCTGGCAGGGTACACCGCTGTTCTTCTCGGTCTCCTCTGCACACCCACAGCTCCGCATGAAATCCGGGTACTATCTACAAACCGATCACTGATATTTAGCGATGTCGTCATCGAGACGCTCATCAAAGACGTGCGAGACTTTTTGGCTCTTTATGACGATCTCGAGGGAGAACTCAGTGATGAGGGTGATATTGTGGATGTGGATATGAGTCCAGATGTGGATCGAGGGCGTAGCGGGGGACGAGGACAAGGTGGGGGAAAGGGGAGGGGTAAAGCGCTAGAGAAGAAGAGCGAAGATGTAGCGCGCGGGGTACTGAGAGCGTTAGAGGCGCTACGAGACGATGGACTATGAGATGGTCGTCGATACTTGCTTTCAACTGCGGTAGGTTTGAAGATCCTTTCTGTCAATGACGATGGTTGGTTATATTGTGGCATCATGTCCGATACGATTAGAAGGGACGTTTTTATTCCTTCTGTTATGGTCTAACTAAGGGAGATTGGTTGACGAGAGCCGACAAGGCGGGAAACGACACACAGTTCGCATCGTCACAGAAGGTATAGAGCAGACGAATGGTGAAGCGCAGGATCACATGCATCATGGGTTCAATCCGGTGACATCTCAAGGTGATTCAAATATGTAAACAACAACTCTGTCACAGTGGTGCAAGCCGCATATACGGCCGCGCCCGAACCTCACAATATATTGCATTACAGATCAGACGGTTGGTTGAAGACTTGACCTCCTGACCTTTCACCGCGTGCAGATATTGCACTTGAACAACAGGTCATCCCAATATGAATGCACTGACAAGTTCGCAAAGGAAGCCACTGAACGCAATGATGCACTCCGCTTAACCTACGCAAACGCACGCCCTTGCAAGGGAAGAAGTACTACGGTGGTGGACGGAGAGTTGGAACAGAGACATGGCAATGCAGGCCAGTACATACTTCCAGTGGGCGTTTTCGAGTTCTCGCAGATAGACCAATACGCATGGGCCGCAAACACTTCCGGGGAGGGGGGAGTTTATGGCCGAGCTATCTACATTTACGGATATCGATGGCTATGTATCTACAAGTCAAATTTCTCGCAGTATATTTAGCAGGAGCAGGATTGTATCTTTCTATAGTTCTCACGGCTACAATATCAAGGAATCATCAATTCACTGATGTTGAACTGAGCCTACTGTGGACAGCCATGCGTCAAATAGACTCGACGAATCGTGACCAGTCTGGACTATGTGAAATATTTGACGTATTAGTCAGCCTGGTCGATCTCGGAGAAATTTGGCAGGCGAAGCGAGGAGTTTGAAATTTGACAGATGCCGGTGATGCCGGAGGTGCTTATACAGTACTTACAAGTTATGTGTCTGCTCCTGTCTGCTCTCGCTCAGACTATAGTACGCCATGTTAAGTTTCAACGTTTCAACCATGTGCATGAGTCTCGTACGACATTTATCGCTCGCTGCTCGAGACGCGATTGAAAATCTCCCAATGGACTTTACTTTACAAGTGACACAACACCAGCAAGTTCTCGAGGCCTTCTCGCAACTCGATGTTCTTTCCCAAGGATCACAACATCCGAAATTGTTCCAGCTCAGACGCCTCATATCATTACTTTCTGCAAGACAAGTTTTACTTCGAGCTGCGACAGCCTCTGGAAAGACCCTCGCAATGATTCTGCCTCAAGGTCTGGGTACGGAGGAGATAGAGGCACTAGCGAAATGGTTGTCCCTACTACGACTAGATATAAATGTATAATTGTTGAGCTCTGTCGTAGTGCTATACCTGTAAGCCTATTCCAGTGGAAACATATGTAGCCGCCTGTGAAAGCAGTAAATGTCATTCTCCCGAATCCCTGATTAGTGGGTAGATTCGCCGCTCGTGTCCGAGCCACTCCGAACCGCTCGGCATCTCACGGTGTTTCCGCATAAATTTACCACACAACGCTCTTCCATCTTGCCTCAACGTCCTGCTCGACAACCACGACGTGCATCATGCTTGCCCACTCTGCAGTCCGTGCTTTATCCGCAAACTCCCGTGCCTTCTCTTCGTCCGTTGCAAGACAGACGAAAGTTGCCGTCCTTGGCGCTGGTGGAGGCATTGGACAACCATTGTCACTCCTTCTCAAGACTGACCCTCTCGTCACCTCTCTCAGTCTCTATGATATCCGTGGCGCACCCGGTGTTGCAGCTGATGTAAGCCATGTTGACGCTCACAGTGAGGTACGTCGTTACTTGCTACATACGTTAATCATGGGTTAGTTCAATCAACTTCCAAGGTCAATGGCTACCCTGCAGACAAGCTCGACGAAGCCCTTGACGGCGTCCAAGTTGTTGTTATCCCTGCTGGTGTCCCAAGAAAGGTGTGTTTCCTCTCCCTATACTCATGCCCTTGCAGAGTTCTGACCCTGCCTTTCAGCCTGGTGTAAGTCCTACAATCCATCTGTTGCTCCGCTCTAATACCTTTTATAGATGACCCGCGATGATCTATTTAATGTCAGTTATTCATGCCGTCCATTACATTAGTCACTGCTAATTCTATTTCGGAAGACCAACGCTTCCATTGTTCGCGACCTCGCAGCAGCAATTGGTCGCGTCGCCCCTACTGCCCACATTCTCGTCATTTCAAATCCTGTCAATTCCACTGTTCCTATTGTTGCCTCTACCCTTCAAAAAGCTGGCGTTTACAACCCCGCTCGCTTATTTGGTGTAACGACCCTTGATGTTGTTCGTGCTGCTCGCTTCACCGCTGGTATTGCAGGGGTTAAACCCGCAGATACTCCTATAACTGTTGTGGGTGGTCACAGTGGCGCGACCATTGTGCCTTTGCTCTCACAGAATGCACACGGAAAAGCTATCACAGGCGACATTTACAAGGCTCTTGTCCACCGCATACAGTTCGGTGGTGACGAGGTTGTGAAGGCTAAAGACGGTGCTGGTAGCGCTACCCTTTCGATGGCATATGCTGGTGCCAAATTCACCAACTCTCTGTTACGAGGTTTAAATGGCGAGAAAGGTGTCATCACGCCCACCTTCGTCGAGAGCCCTCTTTACAAGGACCAGGGTATTGACTTCTTCTCGTCCAATGTAGAACTTGGTGTAAGTAACGAAACAAGAGATCCTCTTCATTCGTGCTCAATACTCCGCAGGTCAATGGTGTCGAGAAAATTTACCCTCTTGGGCCTCTTTCTGCTGAAGAAGAGAAGCTGATGGAGGCCTGCTTGCCTGAACTCAAGAAGAACATTGAGAAAGGCAAGGCATTCGTTGAGAGCTCGTAGATTGATTCGTTTTAGATTTGTTGTCCCTCAAAATACTTTTGCCATATGCACGATTGTTCAACGTTCAAAGCTTGCGCATACACGAGCATGTCTTAGCAGGTGTAAAGCCTCCTTACCAGGTACTGAGGCTGTGAAGTTAGTGTGCACAGGGTGTAGCGAGCTGCCACAGATGATTGAATTTGACGATTACTTTACACAAACACAGAACTTTCATAAGTGGACTGCCATGATTCGAGATTGGTACGGTATCGTCACGCGATATGCCGACGGCCCTGAGTATAAGGCCCGTGGCGCGTGTGATACTGTTCTATCCTGCTTACAAAAACAAGGTGCCTTTTGGTCAAAGACTTTTGACCCTTGCTTGGCTCAATTGATTGACATGTTACTTTATCATGGTGCCGTTGCAACCTGATGAGTCACGGATCAGAATATTCTGCTATATATGCTGCCTACCATGCTCGGGGATACTAGCGCCTCTATCCTCTTTCTGAAGCATGGATTTACAAACTTCCATTGACCTATCAACCAGCATCCAGTACCAGGATGTAAGTGATTGATATTTGTTGACATTTTCGCTTCACTCATCTATAATCCTGGCACTGACAGTATTTTTTCGGTGCTATCATTTCGACTATAATAGTCTCTCATAGCTAACAGGGTCCATACTAGTGTCACTAGTGGTTTTTTGGGTGCGCATTCTTGCCATTTGCTCAGTCGTCATCCACAAACATCTAGTCATAGGCCTACGATTGTTTCCTGACCTTAGACCGGGAGGTAATTTCATCTTTGCGAGATATAGCCTGTCAATCGATAGGTTATTAACTGTCGCATATAGATATCTTCGATTCATTCGTCACCGTGGAAGATAGGAAGTATTCTTTATGTCATGACGAGATACATGCCAGCCTTCGTGCTCTGTATACACTTATGCAGTGAGTTCAAATAGTAGGCTATATCGTCAACTTGCAGCTAACCAGGATACGGAAGTGAACTATCTCCCAAATGAAAAAATTGTGGTGAGCATCTGTCGGAAATAATATCACCGTCCTGAGGATTCGCCGATGTAGACTTGCAAACTTCTACATTCAATATGGTTTGGTAAGTATTGTAATAATGCAATTGGTTCCGCTCCAAGTTCTTTCTTCAGTTGCTGCTGCATTGTGCATAGCTGGTGCAGAAGGTATTACGAGGATTATAGTGTATTCACGCAGAACACTCACAGGATCTCCAGGTATCTTCGTCCTTCGCACCTATGCATTATGGGGAAACAAGAAATCCATTCTGGGCATCATGTTGTCAACGGTACTTGTGCGCATACAGTTGCGTTCCCGCATTCCGTACTCTGACACACCTCACTTCAGTGCTTTGCGATTTTGGACGTGATAATGACAATGACGATTTCCAGACGCTTGGAACGTGAGTGTCTTTCAATAGCCGCATGTAAATCGCTCAGTGTGGGTCGACGACAGTCCAACTATCAGACATAGGTGGCGGTTGTTACTCACTATCTCGCGACACGGTATCTGCATATCCTTGGACACTTCTGGTAGCGTTCGAGCTTGGTGAGATCACGAAGCTATACAATGTAGTCGAGTGCTCACTTTTTGCTTCAGAGATCATAGCACTCACCATGATTCGTGTATATTGGGCATACCGCGAAAGAGGGTGTCTACTGCTTGAAATCCTTCTACAACATAACATTTTTTACTTCGGAACTGGGATAGGCAAGTAGTGCTTTTATGGCTGTCAAAAAGGAATTAATCATTCAATCCTAGCACTATCAGTGGTCAATATTGTAGTTATTGAATGCTTGTCGGTGCGCACAATCTGAACTCAACTCAATGTCGGCTGAGGGTCCTAATGATATTTTACGCAGTACACCTCTTCAAATATGTTCGGATCATTTCAAATCGTTATGCATACGATCCTCGTTACTCGGATGCACCTACAGTTTTGTAGCACCAATGAGGTTCACGACTCATCTGAGTCCGGAACCACGCCATTCTCTCGATTGACACATGTTGAACTTCAGACGTGTTCGCACTCGAATGTATGATAATTCAATGAAACTTTCATTTTCATTCAGACATTTTCCTGTTGTGTTGCCACGAGTCTAAGCTGTTTTGGGCCATCAGGAAAAGTGACAACCTGGTGCTAGGCTAACGAGTTAGAGGTCCACAGAATTCCTGGAGTTTATTCTCAGTCGAAAATGTGTGATCGTGATTCGACCTCCGACATAGATCACAGCATCTGCAAAACACCCAACTTCTTGCTTAAGTTGCTTAAGGTGTCAAAGAAGTTTGATGGGTTATGACCTGCACCCTGAAGTATGTGATTGGTGGAGATGCCTTATAGGTGAGGCCTGGGGTCGTGCCGAGAGATTAGGGATCTGCACGGGTATGGGTAACCTGTGCAGGTCACGGGTACGGGTATGGGTCGGGATTCTAAGACCCGCGCTCTTACCCGTACCCCAGCTATACCCATGCCTTCCATAAATGGTAGCACCTCCTGCATCAGTAATAGCGGACGCCATACTTCCCGCGTGCACGCTACAACCGGCACCACCACCAACACTGGCACCTAACACGCCTTCCCAAGTCCACCAATATGCTGCTGAATCTGCACAAATATTATTTGTGCCCCCCCGGAAACTGAATTTGTGCGACACCCAAAAAAGGAAAGTGTGTCGCCTCGAAAACTGCAACATGTGTCGCCCCAAAATTATATCATGCCGCCCCGAAAACAAAAGTGTGATGCCAAAAAAAAAAGTATGAAAATTTTAGAATAGTATTTTATTGAAGGCAAACTTGAGTGACAATTGTAGACTAGTATGTATACTACTGGAAGACTACATGAATACAATCCATAATTTCACTTTTCTGCCTCTAAGATAGACCTCATCCAAATGCAACGACATCACATGATGTGACATTGTTGTGACCTTTTGTGATGTTTCGTGACACCATCGTCACCTGGGATGCTTCCCCAACTCCCAAAGAAGGGTTTTGTAGGTTAGAAACATACCCGTCTCTGTCAAAAAGTTTGTGGGTTTTTAATGCCTTATTGAGTGGTTTGTGGTTGCCATCGTATCGTTGTGTGTTTTCCACTCCTTTATCTTGTCTCACTTGTTTTTTGGCATTAAATTCAGTACAACTGAAGTTCTGAGCTGAGTAGTTAAGAAGAGACGAGACATTACTGATACAGCTGGGCGGAGTTGGGGACTGGTGGTTAACCGCCGTTACAATTATTAATAAGCCTTATCATACTTGGCAGTTACATGCCTCGCCAACTATAATTAGGCTCAATTCCGTTAAATCTCTACACCAGCATTAAATAGTGCCCCAGCTCTCCAAAATACCTTTAGAAATAATATACTACCTCCACCAATACCCTACTATGGTAGGGGTGGGCCTATGGGCCCTAATTGGTAAGCACCCCACCCCACATCATCTGCTTATCTTAACCTGGCACCCTCTGCAATGCCCAACAGGCTTCTCACGGGTCTTATTTCTCCTCGTTGTGCTCATTGTCCCCGCTGTTCCCCTCCCTTGTGCTTTCATTGTCTCTCTCCCTTGTGCCTTTGTCGTCCTCCTCCCTCACTGGTGCCTTTGTTGTCTCTCTCCCTTGTGCCTTTGGCATCCTCCTCCCTCACTGGTGCCTTTGTTGTCCTCCCTCACTGGTGGTACATGTCATGTTATTTGGTATTACAGTACTAAAATCGCACTAGAGATGTCATCAGAGAAGTGAAGCCAGAACGTAGAGATGAGAAAGCTGATGAACACGTGAATGTATTGATATAATCAAGTAAGGCGGCCGATAGAAATGCGTGCGCCGAGATATGCCTGAATTTTACTGACTTTGAGTGCGGATGTTTATTTTGTGTGCAGAGTGGTGATAGATTTCGAGTGAGGGAAAAGAAGATACATGAAATTCGTAAGTATGGGATATATATGTATGTGCACCTAAGCGCTATTCAGAACCAAGTAGATAGCAATAAGTATGTAAGTAGGGTCCATGACACATGTAATGAGAATATAAATGATATAGCTTTGGAAATAATGTCAGTCTAATACTAATTCAGTAAGGTATGCACCAATGAACCAACAGAGGATATGGATAGGATGGATGGAGGACACACTGTAGGACACGAGCTGGCGCTGGGCTCGTATCGAGCTATTTCACAGTACACGTCAAATACCCGTCACATGCTAATCACTTCCCGATGTTATCCGACGCTAACCCGCTAACCCGCTAACCCGATGTTTAGGCCGCATCGGCCGATGCAAATTCCCGCGCACTCATCCTTCCCGTGTCTTGTCCTGTCTTGCTAGCCCCACTAGGTGCGTAGTTTATTATTTTGCACATTACTCACATCGTAGCAAGTGCTATTACATGTTTTCCCATAGTCTGCAGCGCCTCATGTTTATTTACATGTACTTCGGATCCGAAATCATCGGCCGCTACCTTCGCCTATGGGTTCCGCATTTCTACATACTTACATATATATTGGACTGACCTTGAGCATTATTCATTATCCAAGTAGAGGGGAGCAGTTCCCCGACGCTTAGTGGTCAAACCCGATATTTCATAGTTCTTAGTTGATATTGCGAATATCATCGCTCTTTCATTATCCATATCAAGAATCATTATCATCATGCATACCACTCGCTTTTCCGACGCTCGCATAACGCGTCACTATTAGTTTCCGCATACCCGACCCAAATCCGACTACCCGACCCGACAAACCCGACGCTTTTGCATCGGACATCGTAAATATACCTTCGGACATTGTTTCCCACGCTCGGACTATTGATATCACATCACTCACTTACCCCCAAGACTATTCCCAGACCGCAGACCCCTGGGTCGAACGCACTTGTCAGGCAAGTATAGCAGACTAGGCAGTGCAAAGACCACAACACAAATATATCAGTTTGGAGCCATCTTCGTATAGCCCCACTCGTATTGTTGTTTCTACATCGGGGTATATGAGGTGGAATAAAGAAGACTGGCCACTAAGGGTGCTTGCATGCGATACCCATGATTGAGGGTGGAGGTGGTGTCATACAGAAACCTGAGAATATCAAGGTCAGGAAAAACAACACTGAATGAGACATTAACGACGTACATGAGCATGATCTGGTAAGTCGTCAAAAAACCTTGGGGTATCAGGCGCTGGGGAACGATGATCGGGTGACGGACTGGACGCCGTGTAGCATCAACCTACAAATGTTCATATGATTGATGAAATCTAATTATAAGTGTCACGTATAGTGAGGACTGATTTGCCGTAAGTTCCTCAAGGCCAGTTTCTTTGGCTATCGCAGAAATGTTCCGAATGTACCCAACGGCTTTTGTTCACCATGACGCAGCTAGTAACTAGTAGTTTATTTATTATCAGGCAGCGTTGCATCTACTCACAACTCTCAAGTCAATCGCCAGTGAGACAAGATCATCTCTACCAAAACTTTCTCAAGTTTAACAAGGCAAGTCAAAGTCAGTCATCAGATCTACTACAGTAATAAGGAAAACAAGAAGGTAAAGTGCTTGCTACGATCTACTACGCAAATAAGCTAATTAGGGGGGTCGACACTTCATGGCTGGAAAAGAAGTTCGTTAGCGGAAGAAACATCTTGATATAGTGAATGACTGTTCCAAACTCTGTCAGAATTTGCCTCAAACTTTCAGTGACTAAGCGGGTATTTCCGGCTGGGTTTGAATATATTGCCATTCACTATATGAGCACACCAACCCATTATCATGATCTCTTTTTCGAACTGTGAGAATATGACACGATGACCCAGATTTCCATTGTGATTATGTAGAGTAGTGTGCGGTGATTCGGATGATTGGAGCTTTGGCTGGCGATAGCACACATCTGGCTATGACTTGGACAAATATTATATTGCATACAACCACTGGTACTAGTACTTACTGATATCAACCAGGATGGAATTTTTTGCACATTCTATATCATTCACCCTAGATTTTGGAGCTATATACACTATGTACTGTTGGTCTAGTATATACTATAATAGGGCCGGGACTTAGCAATTGAGTCCACACGATTCCGAGTCCCCAGCGCCGGTCCACACTTGAAGCCAACAAAAGAAAGTTCTCAGTGGCCATAACTGAAATTTGATACCCTAGTAATCGCCTCAAAATTAGTCATTCACTATAAATACTGATCACGTGCATTTGCAGGTCTTCTTTCTACTCCAACTACTTTGATACATACATACAGTACTGCTACATACAACGTAGGATAGACTGCTGAAGAGATCAACACAGTAAGAATACCAGTATACTTTATAAGACGGAATTAACGTGAAGACTGCAGACTCATAATGACAAAACACGCGGCACCCAAGAGTGATCCCGTCGATGTTGAACGCCCCTCGAAGCGCATCAGGAGTAATGATGGTGAGTTATGATAGTATTACCGTCATTATAGTTGCTCATGAATATGATACAGGAAATTGCACGCCATCTGCACTAAATGATGCAGGTGCATGGCGTTTTCTAGAACGGTACCTCCAGTCCGATCTGGGCTACGCACAGATGGAAGACAGATTGATATCGTACCTTGGCGAATGATACTGTGTGGATGACTGGGCAGAAGCCAGGCTCGCACTATTTTCCAGTGATGGCGACGACGCCGAAGCAACAAAAAACTTGGCCGCCCTGAAAAATAAATACATAGTACCCGAGACCTCTTCATCAAGTTCGGTGCCCGCAGCTACATTCAGATCAAAGCGACGACGAGTAAGTGTAAGATTCACTCCTGTAAATATATACTAAAGAAACATAGTTGAAACATTGTATCTTCGTCGACAGTGAAGCAGGAGAAGGTGAGGAGGAAGAGGAAGAGGAAGAGGAAGAGGAAGAGGAAGAGGAAGAGGAAGAGGAAGAGGAAGAGGAAGAGGAAGAGGAAGAGGAAGAGGAAGAGGAAGAGGAAGAGGAAGAGGAAGAGGAAGAGGAAGAGGAAGAGGAAGAGGAAGAGGAAGAGGAAGAGGAAGAGGAAGAGTAAGAGTACGGCCCCCCTGCGCATCCTCAGAATGTTACATGCCAGGACCGTCGGCTAAACATACACTGTCCACGAAGATCGACGAAATCTTCAAGTCATACGAAGCTCGCACTTCCAAACCGTCAGGAAGACATATTCCTTACAGGGCTGCCTGGTCTCCCGACACGATTGATAGCAGAATGTACCTACTCAATCTTCACAGTAAGTCCATTTTCAGTCAAGTAGCATGTTATTCATTAGTTTGCAGGAAGCATTACGGACTACATTGCAGAATATCTTCAAAACAAAGGGTTCCCTGTTATCATGTCGCCCTGGGTACCGGGCCAGCTTTATGTGGTCTCAGAGAGTCCCTGGGCTATTAGTTCATCACTTCCGACCTCACACCAATTCTCTGTGGAAGAATATTTTCTCATCTCGGATGAAGAACGTGCGGTTGTTGAACACTCACGATTCCAACTGCCCAGCCCAGGGTGGGCAAGAATAAAACATGGCAAGTACAAGAATGCTATAGGCTATGTCACCAGCTTGAAATTGAAGGACGGACAATCTGGACCTTTTGTCTCGCTCTTAGTTGCTTTACAGGACTTTCCCTATGACATGCCCAAGGGATCTGTGGCGCTGCTAGACCGATCTCGCCTTCCAGCTGGCAAGGAGTTATCTGACATCATTATCGATCAAAAAGTCATAGGATGCTCGTACAAAGGAGAACAGTATTACATGGGGCTGTTGCTAAAAAAATTTCACCGCGATCTCTTAGACTTCGTAACCACGCCTCACCCCGACGAAATCCGACTACACATTCAGTCAGGATGGGACACACCTTTCGTGAAGATTACTCAGCAGGCATTTTCGATGGGGTTCCTGCGCACAGGCAACGCAGCCAGGGTCATTACTGGAGAACTTGGTGCCGAGATTGGTGAAGTCGTCTTGACAGACCACAACTCCGTGCGTTTGGAATTCAACATCGATGGACACAAAACGCAATGGGAAGTTTGGCTCCAGGACGTAGACCATGTGTTTCGGGTCGGCGATACCGTTCGAGTCGTAGCGGGTATATACTTGGGTCTAGAAGGTTACATTGTTAGAATGTCAGATGATGTATTTCATATCTGTCAAGCCTCTACCAATGAAGAGGTAGGTCTCTGGCATACATAGAAATTTTGCAAAACTAACTTCCAGCGCATAGGTCGAGGTTCCAAAGTACTACGTGAATCGTTGTCCTTTGAAACACACACTCCACGCACAGCTGCCAACACAGCAATTTTTTGAACCTCCCCCTGACATTGATACCATTTAAATCGGAGATAATATAAAAGTACTTACGGGAGAGCACTTTGGGAAATGTGGTGTCGTGGAGTGGTTTCCTTCAGGAGGGACTATGCTGTGGTTCCAGTGTATGGACACTGTGTTGACCGATGGCGACATACTCCGACCCCGGAGTATTCAAGTTCCAGTGGCAATGGTCCAGCGGACGCATCTCCTGCCAACAATAAAATTCACGAAAGACAGGGGCTATGATGTTAAGCCTGGAGATTTAGTGAGAGTTGTTCGTGGGCCGGAGTATCAGACAACAGGGGTCATACAGAGTGTCAACATTCCAAACACTCGCTTGACAATACTATCGGACAGCGATCATACACTCGTAAGTTCAATGCACCTCGATTTGAACACCTCTAACTTGTCACAGATTGATGTACCAATCGGATTCGTGTTGAAGTTATGCAACACAAGCGTGGACAAATTCAAACATGTAATTAATAAAGAAGTATTCATTATTGGAGGTAGCCTGAAGGGCTATCGAGCTACTCTGTGCGATATTGGGCAGGGGAATTGCACCGTTGCTATACACGGGCAGAAGCGTACAGTACTCAAACGTCCTGATGTTGTCACCAGGTGAGTGAAGCGCCTATTTTCGTGCTGATTCAATTGCTTACTGCGATTCAGTTATGGAATGAGACTAAACAGTTTGATACTCGAAGAGCACGATCTACTTACATTCTGTGACATCCGAACAAAATCGTATGTGAAGGCGCCATCTCGAGGCGTCACACCCCCACCCGAAAAAATAGTTCCCTTGAGCTCGAACACTGATGCTATTCCGTCGTCTTCTAACATCTTATCCCACTGGACCTCCAGGCCCGAGGATATCGACATAGCACTCAATCAGTCACCAAACATCAATCCTAGTTCAGCATCTGACCCTTGGACTACCCACGAGGATGACATCCAGGACAGTATTGAGGCCCAAGCAGAGAAGCTTTGAGACAACGGTGAGTCCTCAATGATGGTGTCATACTATTAAACTTACTTTATTCTGATAGGCCCACTTCCCTGGTTGATGAAGAAGGAGTTTTCTTCGGTGTTACTCAAGCACCATGCATTGTTCAAAGTCTCTCTGAGCTTTGATTATGGCAGATTATCGAAACGATTCATATCAACTGCATGTCCTGACCCCTTCTACGGTGCTAATGGACCTGCACCCGAGGGTTGTGTTGCAGCATTCTGCACATCCAATGGTGCAGGCGCTCAGATTATCCACTATCACATTCCCGCCAGTGATCTCAGTCCGGCTCATCCACGCAAAAAGAACCAACTTTGCCTTATTTTGGACGGGGAGTATCGCGGACTTGTCCTACCTGTGGCGAAGTGTAACAAGAATCTCAAGACTGTTGAGATTTTGATGATGGCTTCAAGTACGATTACATTCACTCTGCATTTCAATCAGATATGTCTCGTGGAACCTAGTGTGCAATACCAGTAGACAATATCATTGCAGTAATTTGATCATTCCATCTCTTACTACAACTACCTATAGGATTCCGGAGTACATTGCTAATGCATGTCTTCTCATGTGGTCGTGAGTTCGAACCTCTTGAATGACAGTTTCTTTTTTCTGGGTTTATCTATTCTTTGTCTCAGCCATTGCTTGAGCTTGAGGGTTCGAATCCCCTTGGTATTTTGTTTTTTGTTTTATTTCACACTAGTGTCTGACTCAACAGACGGCTTGGCCCGGTTACCCAAGAGGGCGCAAGGAGGTAGAAAATCCTATGCGCATTATCGACCTTGCATAGCAAGCCAAGCTTGATATCATTCTGTGAGTCACGTACCAAAATTTTCGATTGTTCATCTGCGATTTGATGCACAGGATCTGCATGCAGAACCCACACTCCCTCGGCACTGGCAATGCATCCTTGTACGGCTGGAAAGTGCATCAGCTACACTGGAAGGCATTCGTGGGCTTTTAACTCGCACTTGCAGTGTTCCTCTCGATCCAAACCCTAGAGTCTCGTCAACAAGCTGTGGATGACTTGGAAGAGTGCGCAAGGATGTTATTGGACCAGCCACACAGGACCATTGAAGAGCTAGACGAATTCTTTGAGACAGATTCTACCATTCTATTGATCTCACAATCTATGACCAGCTGATGTCTGCGCGCAGCAAAGCGAAGGATTTCAAGAAATACGTTGTAGAAACAACAATACAGAGAGGAACTAATGAAGATGGCTCCAAACTGATATATTTGTGTTGTGGTCTTTGCACTGCCTAGTCTGCTATACTTGCCTGACAAGTGCGTTCGACCCAGGGGTCTGCGGTCTGGGAATAGTCTTGGGGGTAAGTGAGTGATGTGCGATCAATAGTCCGAGCGTGGGAAACAATGTCCGAAGGTATAATTACGATGTCCGATGCAAAAGCGTCGGGTTTGTCGGGTCGGGTAGTCGGATTTGGGTCGGGTATGCGGAAACTAATAGTGACGCGTTATGCGAACATCGGAAAAGCGAGCGGTATGCGTGATGACTGATGATTGATATGGATAATGAAAGAGCGATGATATTCGCAATATCAACTAAGAACTATGAAATATCGGGTTTGACCACTAAGCGTCGGGGAACTGCTCCCCTCTACTTGGATAATGAATAATGCTCAAGGTCAGTCCAATATATATGTAAGTACGTAGAAATGTGGAACCCGTAGGCGAAAGTAGCGGCGGAGTATTTCGGATCCGAAGTACATGTAAATAAACATGAGGCGCTGCGGACTATGGGAAAACATGTAATAGCGCTGGCTACGACGTGAGTAATGTGCGAAATAATGAACTACACACCTAGTGGGGCTAGCAAGATGGAACGGGACACAGATAGGACAAGTGCGCGGGAAAACATCGGGTCCGATGCGGCCTAAACGTCGGGTTGGCGGGTTAGCGTCGGATAACATCGGGAAGTGATTAGCATGTGACGGGTATTTGACATGTACTGTAAAATAGCTCGATACGAGCCCAGCACCAGCTCGTGTCCTACAACGTAAAGGCTTGAATATCCCTTGATGGTCAAGGACTCAAATTCAAGATTTCGGAAGTCAGGCATTTTGTTGCTTGCACTGAATAAGATTTCAGTATTCCTGCTATCAGAGATTGGAAGCAAACTGCCGAGTTTGCTTTGGATCTTGAGAATCGATATGAATCAATCCTTCAGCATCGTTATCAGCACCGAGAAGACCCAGACATTTTTGGGATGATCCAGAAGTGGAGATCCTACGCCCGGGACTATCTCACCATGTTCTCACTTCGCCTTTTCAAGAAGCTGGACGATTGGCTCACTTGCCATTAAGAATGGTTAGAAGGTCTATCGTGGTCCCGTCCGCAGCACAAATGCGCACATGGTCTAGACATCCTGAATGATGTTGAGGAGTCAAAAAGACAAGAAAGTTTGCTGTGTCTCCAAGTCACGAAGTCTTGTATGGTCTTGACCTTACTGTTCTGTATTGCATCCTCACTGGTCAACCTCTAGCTGTTCGGGTCAAGAAGAGGTAAAGACCAATACTCTTGGCCAGGACATTGACAAGGATTGGCTGGATGGTACACGCTCGCTGTTAAGACCGTGCACAAAGGGTAGGACTGATTCCGAGGGGCTTGGCTTCAGCTCGTGCGCTGCGCCCCTTACCCGAGTATGTGCCCTTAATTTCAGAATGATGTCCGGAGGAAGTCCGAAGATGTCCGAAGGACATCCGAAGCGCGGGAAACTTCGGACGGACGTTCCGGACGAGTGCAAGTAACTTCCGGATGAGTGCGGGAAAGTTCCAGAGGAACTTCCGGAAATTACAACGAGGTTTCGTCCTGATACGGATATGTATAATGGCTACTCAGGACATGTCCTGAGTAGAAGCAAACAGAGGAAAGGCTGCAAGGACAAAGTCCGAAGCAGAATAGGTCCGGAGGACCGCGGGAAAGTTTCGGACGAACGTCCGGAAACTTCGGAGGATCGGATGAGCGGATAAGTGGAGCTCTGGCCTAGGGAATTTCTCCCTAGGCCCGAGATGGATATTGACTAAGTCAATAGACTAGAACTGATATGAGGACTTAGAGTGAGATCTAGTGCGAGGACTAATATGATATTCAGACTGAGGAACTACAGGACATATACAAGAGTTTATATACTAAGGAAATAACGGAAAGATCAGTAAGCAAGCGTCCGAGGCTATGTATGAAGCATAAGCAAAGTTATCAAGTGCGAGTCGGAAATGAAGCATAGGTTAACGGATCAGTAAGCATACAGGTAGTAAGTATAACCGAGATACCGAGGACAAGGAATACTGAATAGAGGAATAGGCTGTGTCAACGTTATATACACAGGAATTGAATTAGGAAGCTTATCGTATATCGGATCAGATCGGACCAGACCAGACCGGATGTCCGGACAAGAAGCGTGGATATACGGAATATGATATTAGGGCAATAGGACAAAGGATGAATGATGCAGGCTAGCTGCGGAGGTATGGAGGTCCGATGTACGGAGGTAAAGGGATCTGGACATGGATGCGCGGATGTGGATGTGCAGAGGTGCAGGGATCCGGATGGGTAGAGGACTGGAGACATGGTTAGGGCGTCCGAAGGTCCGGATGAGGCGTGGGAATATTGTCGGATGTAGGTCCGGAATACGGGATATGACACTCGCACACCATACCTCCTCAACTATCCAGCCATCAAATGAGAAGCTTGCAGAAGGTGTTACCACTCTGGCTGCGCCTTCTGTCCTATAGAGGCCAACATCAGTGGCAATAATTGATTTGTGTGCCCACTGTGCTGTTTGCGTAGGAGCCAACCATACATATATTCAGAAGTCCGCGTTAAGCACGTTGGTTAGTAAAATTTGTTGAATGTATTGCTCACACTAATGGATGAGCAGATAAGCAAGATCCAGACACGTATGTCAACATCAATGCGATGCTGGATACCTTCAGCAAAGAAATTGTTTGTATGAAGATGTTACCCCCATCCTACATGCAAACATTATTCATGGAACTCATACGATTTTTGCCCAGTCAGCTTGATCTCAATAACGGCAATGCACCAGCTTCCCGGAGCGTTCCAGTGCATCCATGCCTCACAGTACTGGACCTAGCTCTTCTACGCACCACCGACATTCGCATATTCACAGCACTTCCATGCCGCTTCCTACACCACTAACACCTGTTTATGAGCTTGCAAGGCAGGCATCAGCGAACCAACATCACGTCCCACCTCACCTTGGCAATCCCATCTACAGTTACCACATTTGAACAAGAGGCGTGACACTCCGCAAAACAACCAGGAGACGAGATCACCTAAGCAGCGGGGTCTTCCTCAAACCCCTGTTCTCCCGCATGCGAGCACAGCGGCTCGTATGATGCAGCAGACGCTTTTGCCTTCGCTGGCCATGATCGTACCACCAGTTAACACCGAGCCTTACCCTCCCCCATCTCTCAACACAATGAATGGGGAATGTCAGTAAAGTTGTTGGTTGGAAATCACAAGTAGAGTATTCGTTCATGCGTCATTTTCAAATTTAGTGACCGTGTTACAATATGTCCTCTCTACCCCTAAGAGAGACACTGAGCCAATGATCGGGCACCTGTGGAGCTCTGGAGCCACGCATATGACAGTCACATGAATTGCTTCCATGGGATCAAGTGACTTATGTGACTTTCCCATTTTGGAGGCTGCCGGCGGAGTACGAATCTCAAAGTTGTTCACTATATAAACCCTACTCGCTTCCACTTGTTCTTCTTTTCCGTTTTTCATCATCCCAAACACAACCAGTATGTTAGGCGCGTAGTAGGGTTGTGACAGAGTGCACCGGCCCTTATGACTGTAGTTGAATATATTTGAGCCTAATAATAATACTGTAGTAGTTGGGTACACAGCGCATTAGAATGATTGTGAGATACTCCCATCCCTCATGACTCCGTCTCACATGATTGATGAAAGGTCTAGAACAATGATTGTTGTGATCGACATCAATCATATGGTGGAACTGCGTTGAGCGGTTAATCAGATCTAAAGATATGAGCACATGAAGACGATCAATTGTGAACACATACCTCCGAGGATAATACACAGCCGGTACGCAAGCTCTCCCGAAAAACTTCTCAATATTTACTAATCAAGAGATCAGAAATGTCCACCCTCCAGGAACTTTGGCTCACACATGTAGCCACAGGTGCTGGTTGCACATTCGGCGACGTACTGTCCCTCACATACACCTCTATTACGTCGAAATATTGCTACTTCGACGTACCTGCCCCCACTTGTGCACATGCAACATGGGTAGCGAAAAGCATGTGCCTCGCGATAATCCACAAATTGTGAAGGATGGATTTTGTGTCCATATTTGGTGGACGGCCTTGAATACAGATGTGAGGGTAGGCGAAGCCACACTTCTCAGAATAATGAACTCACCACTGAAAGGTTGTTAGTTCTCTCGTTTGGCCATGGAAATGCAGAATTCCGTGACGTGCAGTCAAGATATTCACTAGCATGCTAACCACCTTCGGGTCGGCTTTGAATTCTGGGGGCTCAACACTGGAGGACCTGGAAGATGTTGCAGACATGTCAGCACAGATACAAATTAGCTGGAAAGTGTATTGGAAGATATATAGTTCCCCCTGCACCTCATCGTCCTAGTGCCATCGCGTGCCTGGTCAAATTAGCAAATATTATTTTCCCTTGGTCATGAGGTCGCCATCGTCCCACATGTTTTGGGTTACCTCCTTGGGTCAGAAACATCCTCACATCATTCCTTCATGTCGGCGTCTGGCTATACATGCATTTGCAAGCGCTCTTTTGCGGCGCAGAATTACTTTAGCCAACACCAGCGCTCATGCTCGCAAACCAAGAAGCGTCTTTCATCAGCGATATCTTCTTTGAAAGAGTTTGTAAGCTGCAGGAAAAGGTCACATATCTCGAATGATGAACCTGTGGTCGATGCCTCATCCAATGGTGTTGATCCGCCTGCTTACCCCCCTACCGGTGTGGCCGATGCTTCACCAGCGCATCAAGATTCCGTTGGAGATGGAGGAGTGGACATGGACGACGACGGGGACATGAGTTTGGCGCAGCGCAGACCGAGGCATCTGAACCGACAGCTGCCTATGAGATTCAGGGACGTGCTACCTCAGCCCCCGCCAACTGTCCCCCCAGAAGTTCGTGGAATTCTTCAGGAACCCGTTGGCCGTGTTAGCGCAGTAGAACACCCAGTCTTACCGGTGCACATGGTGAAATTTTGCACCCGCCCCAATGTATTCAGGTTAGTACATCAATACTTCTCCTCGACACCGCCATCACACGACCCAGAAGAATATATTACGATCGCAGACCTCTCAATCATGCCTACCACCGTTAAAGTCGACCAATTACCCTATGAAACTCCTGCTTTGAGCAGCGATTCTCAATACCATCCCTATCCCAATCATTCATCTTTCCAGCTTGGGGATTGGTACTGGAATCAGGGCGTCCAGAAGTCGCAAGGCGACTATATGAAGCTGATGGACATATTGCGATTCAGGTCCTTCAGCACTGACGACGTGAGCTCTACCAACTGGAAGGAGATAAATTCCAAGCTTGGTGTGAACGAGTATGACAAGGGAGATGGGGAGGAATGGGAGGACGAAGACGCTGGATGGAAGAGAACACCGGTCTCCATTGAGGTGCCTTTTCCCCGCACTACCGAAGTTCCAGGTCCTCGCACGTACCAAGCTGCCGATTTATATCATTGATCCATTGTAGCTGTTGTGCGAGAGAAACTTGCCAATGCCCGAGACGACAAGCTCTTTCATTACGAGCCGTATGAGTTGCGTTGGAACCCTCCTCACCTGGACACAGAGGTCTCCATATATGGTGACCTGTACACTTCCAGGGCTTTTCATGAAGCCCACAGTGAAGTCCAAGACTTGACCCCAGAACCTGGTTGTAATTTGCCCCGCATAGTCGCTGGCCTCATGTTTTGGTCCGACACCACACAGCTCACTTTGTTTGGCAATGCTAAACTCTGGCCTACATACATGTACTTTGGTAATGAGTCCAAGTATTGCAGGTGCAAGCCGTCATGCAACCTAAGCAATCACATCGCTTACTTTGAGACAGTATGTTTCCCTCAATTCTAACTTCACAGCTTATCTAACGTCAACTGCCAGCTCCCAGACTCTTTTAAGGATTTCGTAGGCGGGAAAGGGATCAACAACGAGTGTGCTATGCACTGCCGTAGAGAACTCTTCCACGAGCAGTGGAAAATCTTACTGGACGACGAGTTCTTGGAGGCGTATGAGCACAGGATCGTGATATCATGCTGCGACGGTATTACACATAGATTTTATCTTAGGATATTTACATACTCAGCAGATTATCCTGAAAAGTAAGTGATGTCATTAGCAAGTTGAAAAACACTGATTGCAATTTGATCAGGGTGCTGATAGCCACAGTCCAAAACTTAGGAGGTTGTCTGTGTCCCCGCTGCCTTATACCGAAAGATCAGATCCATAATATGGGATGGCCGAGGGATAGGCAACAATGTGAAACCCTTAAACGCAACGATAATAACAGGGGACTCTTAGTAAGTGATGCGCGCAAGTTGATTTATGAAAAGGACTTCGCAGTTGGGAGTGCACCAGTTGAACGCATACTGAAACCACAGTTGTGGGTACCAACTCTGGTGAGGCTGAATTTTTTGCATTCTTGATCATGCCTAACACGCACCTCAGAATTCATTCTCAGAACACCTCGGGCCAAACGGTTTTAATATTTTCCGCGCTCTTGTCGTCGATCTCCTACATGAGTTTGAGCTCGGCGTGTGGAAGATGCTATTTGTGCACCTCTTACGAATTGTTGCAGCCCAAAACAAGGGACTTATACATGAATTGGATCACAGGTACGTTACTACACCACACGTTACCTACTCCGCTGACCCCCCATGCCCAGATACAGGCAAATTCCAACATTCGGCCAAGCTACCATTCGAAAGTTTTCAGCTAACTCTTCAGAGATGAAACAGATGGCAGCTCACAATTTTGAAGACCTCCTTCAGGTATGATTCCACCCCCTGGCATGGCTAAATTGGCCCTCACGCAATGTACAGTGTTCCATCCCTGTGTTCAATCGTCTCCTACCTGAACCTCATAACGCGACCATTCTTGAGTTACTATTCACCATGGCGCACTGGCATGGATTGGCTAAATTAAGAATGCATTCCAATTTGACCCTAAATGCCATGGATCTAGTAACTTCGGCACTGGGCCATCAGTTCTGCACTTTCAAAGCTAAAGTTTGTTCTGCGTATGATACTCATGAACTTCGTCATGAGGTTGAAGCTCGCCGCTGACGCCATGCAAAGCAAGTAGCAAAACACAAGGCAACCAAGAAAGGCAAGGAAAAGCAAAGGGAGGCGGTTGGGTCAGAAGATGCTGCAAACAATATGCAGCGAGCAAAGGTATTTAACTTTCAAACTTATAAATTTCATGCCTTGGGAGACTACGTGTCAACAATCTGCCAGTATGGCACAGCCGATTCCTATAGCAGTGAACCTGTACGTCCTCTGACGTTTATATCTGAACTTCACTGACTTCTCTAGGGTGAACTTGAACACCGTTCACCCAAGGCCAGATATCGCCATACGGATCGGAAGTCCTTTATAAAACAGCTGACTCGGATCGAACACCGGCAAGCTCACATTCGCTGTATAGGCGACAAAATCGTTCATCGCCCCCATATCGAAATTGCCGAGTTAGCAACTGACCCTCACGTCCACCACCACATTGGCCTAACACAGAAGTACCCTGTACATATAGGCTCATACTTGCACAGTCATGATGGCGATCCAGCCATCAAGGTATGTTAAATTGTACTCCTAAATGCGAATTTTCACAGATCCCTGCAGAACTTTGTGCCAAAACTCAAGGCACATTTATTTGGTCGAATCAACTTGTCAAGACCCGAGTCGAGAGAGCATCTTAACACCGATGCACTTATCCTCAAGGACGATCGAATTTACCACCACAACATTGCCAGGATTAACTACACTACATACGATGTTCGCCGAGCGCAAGATGTCATCAATCCCTGCACTTCCTGTTGTAACATTATGGTGCTGCGCCCTGACAACAATGTGGGGTACCTAGGTCACAGATTTGCCTACAGTAAAGTACTGGGTATCTACCATGTCAATGTAATTATCATTGGAGTTGGTATGGTCGACTACACTCCGCTCCAGATGGAGTTCCTATGGATTCGTTGGTACGAACCGATAGACCAGGTCTCCACCTGGGACACCTCAAGCCTAGATCGACTTAGGTTTCTGCCCATGGCAGATGAATGTTCATTTGACTTTCTAGATCCAGCGGACGTCCTCAGGGGCTGCCACATCATACCTGCTTTTTCCAGCCTCCAGAGATACCAAAATGGAGTGGGTGTGTCAGCATGTGTGGGTGACAAAGATGATTGGCAGGAATACTATGTCAATCGGTGAGTGAAAATCCATTTCATATATAACGTATATTGAGATCATCATTCCAGGTTTGTCGACCGTGATATGCTGATGCACTTTCACTTTGGTCTTGGAATTGGGCATGTATACTCTCACCATCATGTCTCGCAGGCTGAGCCTCCACATAGAGGCGTCGCAGAACAAGATGACGGGGAAGTTGAAGACGATTATGAAGAGGATGAGGAAGATGATTGTGCATTTGAAGGGGAAGATGGAGAGCTATGGGTGCAAGGTGTTGTGCTGCTGTTTGGCTTTAGTAATGATTCACTTGTATCTCAATTTGATGAGATGTATGGCAGTGAAGTAGAATTAGATTACGAGAATTGAAGTTCCAAAATAATGTTCCAATGGTTCACGTAATAGGATCCAGACCTATTATAAAAAACAGGTGTTTGCATACCGCCACTATGGTGCACGTAATAAGGTCTCCTCCTTCTGAACGTCTCCGCGATTCTTATTCTGATATCGAAAATACAGCTCAAACAGGTACGCAAATGTAATATTCCATTGCAACAATGCTTAATATTCAATATATAGTTTCAACGTATGTAATACTACACCGATACAGCTCAAACAGGTACGCAAATGTGATATTCCGCTGCAATGATGCTTAATATTCAATATATAGTTTCAATATATGTAATACTACACCGATGGTGCTGCGATGGCACGAAATTTTAAACACAACATGTACATGTAATACGCCAACACTGATGTGACACCCTAGGCCCCATGACTTCCCAGTCAATGGTGCTGCAATGATAAGTTGGAACCCTTAGTAATATCAATACGGTCTAATTCAGAAACTCGATATGCTTTAAATAAGCATCGCATCACCTTTCCTTCCCTCAGCTGCAATGTCTATCCCAGTAAAATCTAACAATGGGATTGATGGCAATGCATGTGTCTTCCAACTTGACCCTCCTGCACTGTGCTCTTTCTTTGTAGGTTGTTTTCTTGCCTGGAAACACTTGATCACAGTTCTTTAAGGACACTCCCGACATCAGTGTAGAATTCATAGGGTACTTGTTGCTCGGCACTCAGCCCACACTTTACCCTCTTTATGTGAGTATTTGGATGTCTTGACTATGGACTCAGCATGTCTGATGATCAGCACAGTGTCCGCCTGCTGGTTTGATTGACATACGAGGTTTTCTTTTATCGGTGACATAATCTACTGACCTCTCCTCCCAGCTTCAGCCAGAGCTCACCTTGGTCACTTATCTCTCAACCCTGATGATACATAGTCCGGTGTATGAGTCGCTGGACCTCGAGGTTCCAGTGTATGTCCTAGTAGTAAGTGTAATCTGGACTGTTCCACTTCTTTCTACTGATGAGTCGTACAGCTGCGTACAACTCCCACGCCATTCCTTAACCTGCCTTGGATACGGGGCAGAACTGGTTCCGACGACATGGTGCACGGTGTTTATGATCATGTATGTTCATTTTACCCTTGTATCTTTCCACGTGCTAAAATACTATAGGCTGGCGTGGCTCACGTAGACGAGCCCGAGACTATCATTCATCTTGCACAGCATCCTTCTGGATACTACATTCCTGACGTTGAGAATTCAGTCAGCAGCTCATCAATCCTGCCACCGACGTCCCAGTTCGGCTCATCCGTTATCGCTTCAACCACTGGAACTGAAACTGGAACTGGCACTGGAACCGCAATGCTTGGACGTCCCAAGAAGGTTCAAGCAGAGCATAGTCTCCACCAAATTATGGAAACATGTCTCAACTGGCATAGGGCACTTGCGTACCTACGTGTCCAGTTGAGGATTGCCATTTGTTGTGGGCACTCCGACAACCCCCATGTCCTTGTCAGCATTGACTATGCTGAGCGTAGACTCGAGCTAATTCGCAGTTGTTGGCCTGATTGCCTTGTTCGTGCCAACGTCGCACCTGAAGCTTTGGAAACGGGTCAGGAGCTTAATCTTAGTGGTACCCACAATATGCTGAATTTTTTTCAGTTTTTAGGAAAGATTCCAAGGTTCCAATGACGCATGCTGAGGTTTTGGTGCTCATACGTGTTTTTTTATGTTTTTGTTCATTTGTCTTATTCCAGGATAGGCTTCTCCCTGGATAACCCAATTTCTATATGATAACCATCGGATTGTCGCCTACTCTATGGACGACCCTCGCATCTTCGGCTTAGGCAACTTCTTTGGGTTGGCCCAAAGGCACAGCATTATGATCCTACTTCAAATGTTCACACGACCCAGCGCCCACTTACTTCCAATCAAGGTGAGTTGTTTAAATTCTTTCTCACAAGTATTACACCCCTAATTTTTCCTGCAGACCAACGGGTTTGCCACCTTCATAACCCACCAAATAGCAGAAGAGATGCTTTATCACATAGTATTCAGGACCACGACTACAAGTCGCATTCGTCTTACCATCGCTGACTTAGAGCCAGCGATCTTTAGGCATGCTTCCAGTCCTCCAGCGGACACTTTGGCCTTAGCGGGGTCCTGCGTAAGTGTATTGTGCTCTCTGGGTGTTTTAATTCACCTCTAACATTGCATCTAGTGCTATCAAGCATTACTGGTGAGACTGATAAGCATGTGGGGAATAGCCGATGTCATGCCAGATTATCCAACTGCAGTTCAAGTACACACTGAGCTTCGCGAGACAGCTATGATGCTGTTCCAGGCAGAGGATGACCCGGACATTGTATCGTTCAAGGCTGAACTAAGAACGCTATGCACAATCACGTAAGTTATCTTTACTAGAGATCACATCTATGCTATTGCTGATGGGACTACTATGTGTAGTGAGACGGATGTGTTCCGCATTGGCCGGCCAACCCGAGCTGGCAAGCGAAAGGGAACTGGCCAAGTCCTGAATTTGGTTGAGCCTTAGATATATGTACTACACACAACTGCATTCACGACTCGTTGAGCCTGTCTTTGAAATGTAATATGTACTTCGTCAGCCTGTAACATTTTGTGATGGTCATTCACAGCACCCGAAACAAGACCTCTCGGTGGGGGTATTTAATTTTTTGGCATGTGACGTGCCTTTTTAAGGACTTCGAGATTTATTTGATGGCTCCATTGGGCCACAAGAATGCTGTTGCGCCATTGGTACAATTTCACAACCATAGATATTCCTCCCAATTAGTTGTTCGCTATATATACTAATTATGCGCATTAGCAGGTTTTCTTTCTGCTACCACAACCTCTGAGTAGACTTTCAGATGTAGCGTATATTGGGGGTTCACTAGCAAATGCAATTGCTCAAAATAGGAGTGGATAAGGGGGAGCGGTACTTGTAGTTGTATTTGCACATGCTTGTGATTTGTCCTGCAGGGCTGCGGTATGTACGACATATACCATTGCAATGACATTTTCATTCATTTCCGCCATTATGTTCCAGCGAGTCATCACACCCGTTTTATAGTACCTAAACAACTCATCACCGTCAGTCATAAATTACTTGTTGAGTATCTCACAAATTTTGTACTTGATTTATTACGTTTAATCATTTTTTTCTTTAGAGTTTGATCGCCATCGCCTCATTTGATCGCCATCACCTCGTTTGATCACCATCATCTCATAACTTGGTCATCGCTTCCTAGCCTACACTATAGGTTGTGTAAGCATTTCACAATCGTGAGAGCATCTCTCGAGTCTTCCTCTTTTCACCCTCTAATCCACCATGTTGAATTCTAGTTCCCCTTGTCTTCCTACATGTGAAATATGTTCCAGTGCTCATTTTCTTGGGACTGATCAGACCGAAACCGCCCTTACATCTTGGCTTCAGCAACAGGGGCATGACACTGTGAGCGTGCTCACATGTTTCTTATACTTTTTCTAATATTCAGCTTCCAGCTTTCAGACCCACTATTTATTACAGCTTCCGTACTATTTGGATGGGTCGACTCCCATGATCTTATGGCTCTCCTTGACATGAGCCTTAAGGAGGGCGTGATGCAGATGCAACTCCAACAAGAAGAGGAGAGAAAGTGCGCGGCCTTTCGTTCCCGAGGGGGATGTTTGATGGAGCATAGAATGTATTGAGCTCAAATGGAAGTGTCATTGTTTAGTAATGCTATTGCACACTTATGCGAAGTGCTTGACGGTAAAAGTCACTCGAGTGAGCCATGCTGTTCCAAGGACTAATATTGACACTCAAAATTGTTTGTAGTTGGCCAAAAGAAGCTGCTTGTAGTGAATGATACCATGTATGTTGCAGCATGCCCAGCACCCAGCTCAATCAATTTTGATTGCTTCTGACGTACAAACGACACTACACACACTGGAGAGAAATGCCATGCATGGCTTCGGACATTATTGCCTTCTGAAGACACTCTAGAGGTTGAATCTCACGCAAACCGAACACTTTTTGGTTTTTCACAAACTTTAGAGGTTCCTGACCATCACGAATATTTTCAAGGGGTGAGTGCTGTTAATACTACATGAACACCCAACATTCTGATGCTATGCAGCCCGATGATGTATTGATATCTTTGCCTCGTTTGTTGAAGACTTGGGTGGATCCTGTCACATATCGTGCATACATGAGCGCATCATTTGCGGAAAACAAGCCCAAACACATCGACAATAGTGACGGATTCACACCGAAAGAGAACAAGACTCTAGACGTCCTCAAATCCGACATACATATTTTGGGCCTGAAGAAGCAACGGGCACAGGCCGAAGTCGACATGTTTTCCGAAGCCCTAGCACAGGTTGCTGAGTTCGAGGGTACTGATGATGGTGGGCATGTATGTTATGCTTCCGGTTTCTAACACTGATATGACTTGTAGGCACATGTTCTGGAAGTACTGTGACATTTGCTTCTCTTCCATCTGACACCCTTGCCGATGATTGGCTTGATGATTGCTTTTCAACTTCATACACCTCTTTGAATGCTTCTGTACTCCTGTGATACACTTGTATGTACTTGTACGATAACTTGGTACGATAACTTGGTTGTAAATTGGATTTGATCTATGTTATTTGAGAATGCGAGCAAGTTGTTGCGCTGATAGCCGAAGGATCTGAGACATGAGCTCGAGCGCAATAGAACGGAATGTTCCAAGATGCCCATCAAGGTGGTATTTCTCTGGTATAGTCTTATCTTGTTTCATCTATGTGTGACACCATGACAAAAATATGTGAGGCCAAACCATGACGTGTTTTGATTACCAATTTTTACAAGTCTACTGAAATATGATTATCTGCAGACATTGAATTACATTGTGTGGACAGGCTAGTGATCATAGTGTTGTCTGCTTCCAAAGCACACATCAAGCTGATATTTCTCTTGTCAAGTCTTATCTTATTTCATCAATGTGTGACACCATGACAAAAATGTGTAGGGCCAAACTATAATGTGTTTTGATTGCCAATTTTTATAAGTCTACTGAAATATGATTATCTGTAGACATTGAATTACAGCACATGGACAGCCCAGTGATCACACTGTTGTCTGCTGCCAAGATGCACATCAAGGTGGTATTTTTGTGGTATAGTCATATCATATCTCATCTATGTGTGACACTGTGATAAAGATATCCAAGACTAAAACATAGTGTATAATAATGTGTTTTGATTACCAATTATATCTGGTTATATCAATTTCGGGTTGATTTCCTAATGACAGCAGAAGCTCCGTGGTGCCCCCAATTTGAAAGAAGTGATCAGAGATGGCGGGATAGCCATGTTGAGACCACACCTCATTACAGTGTGATAAGAATTTCTATTTTGTGAGGGGCACAAGAGTCCCAGATGGGCCTTGGTAGGCAAAAAGGTGCGAGCATGGGAGGAGGCAGTTGACTGACAAATGATTGTCAAGTGAGGCAATCGGGTCAGAGGGTGCATGTTGGCAACCCAGGAATACATCCTCACCATGCTCACATGCAATTTGGACCAAGGGAGGAAGAGCATGTGAGAGCGACCAGTGGTGGATATTGGATGCAGGTTTGCCACTGTAGGGAAGTGGCAAGGCAAGAACTTGGCCTGAGAAACAGGCAGAAACTCGCCTAGGTGAGCTTGGCCCCAGGTAGACTGTAGTGCAGTCTGCCGCTGCTAGATAAGCAGCATTGAGAGGGTTGGAGGGTGAGAGGTGGGAGTGCAGAAGGATGAGCATGTCAATGGTGACAGGAAGACAGGCAGGCCGTTTTGAGTCTGAAGGGGTGGCCCGGTGGGCACCACGGATAGTATAGGCAAGGCGGATGCCCTCTTGGTAAGGGACCCCATTGAGGATGTGCCAGGCCCGGATACCAGACATGTTGTTGGCAATGGCACTGCTAGAGCGTGAGCCAGCCTTGAAGGCGGCAAAGGCACAGAGAAGGAATTTATTGGCAGGGAGAGTGAAGAAGCTGTGGATGTTATTGGCCGAGCAGAAAGCCAGAAAACAGTTCACACCGAGTTGGTAAACTGTGAGGGTGGAGTCCTTCCAAGAGTTGGCAACAACTGAGTGTTATAGTAACATGCCACCTTTACTTTATGTTCCTTCTTCACAACTTACTGACACGGCAGAACACCACCAAAAGCCTAGAGCGGCCTGGATGCCATCAGATACCTAGAGCAGCCTGGGCTGCTATGACATCACCCATGGCCTGGAAGGCCCCCCAATCCCATCATGATGGCTGTCCACCTCATGTAGAACTAGACTGATGCATGCCGCCTCATGTGTTGATGGACTCAGAGGCCAGAGCACCTCATGTACTTATCTTGACACAGAAGACCTGCTTCATAGCATCTTATCTCTGACTCAGATAGATCCATAGATACAGACTCCTCCTGAACCTTATAGGATAGACCTATATAGCTTAGACACATATCATTGTATCCCTTACTTTGATATACTTGGTATTTCCTAGAACTAGTACAATCCCAGTACTTGGTTTTCTATCAGAACTCATTTCAGTGTGACCCCCAGTCCCACTGTCTTGACCGCACTTCTAAGGCAAACCGACCCTACCTTAGCCGTACATCTGTTAGCCCTATAGCTTGACAAGCTGCCGCACTTACCAAGCTTGTTGGAGGATACCTTGGGCTTCATCTGAGCTTAGAACCCGTCCTTCTATCTATGTGTGACCACTAGACGATTAGCCATTCGGCTAGAGAAGGCTTGACCTATCCAAGTCATAACACTGAGTCAATAGGGCTGCGAAGTGGGGGAATGAAACTGCAGAAATGGAAGGAGGGAGCTGAGGGCGGATGGATGCCATGGCCTTGGAAACAATGGCCTCTAGGTCGGGGTCAGTGAGTGGCATGGGTGGAATCAGCTGCAAGAAGGCCAGAGATGCATGCATGTGATGTCACATGAAACCGGCAATGTTCAATTACTAAGCAGTAGATACACCAAGAGCTATCAAGAATGGCAGCGAGACAAAGAAGTACATACTGGCTATACAACTGACATGAAGGGACAAAGGGCAATGGGGATGTAAGCAATATGCGTGAATTTAGGAGCATTTGGGAATATGCCCCATGAGGGGCCATCAACAAGATTGTCTTTTGAGGGCACCCAGATGGTGGTGAACCAAAGAGAGTGCTCAAGGAGGAGAGATATGATTCTATGGAGTACCCTATTCTGCTGAGTGTTGCATGTAGGGTTCCGCATGGGTAACACTGCAGGTCGGAAACTCAACACCATACCCATACCCGCCAACACTGCACCCACCACAGGTATGAGTACACACCGACATGTAAGCACCGTAGGTACATTAGCAAGAAGAGTGTATTAACAACTCAGACAATAAAATAAGTATTGCTATTTTTCCTCGTCATCCTTCTCAGCCTTGACTTCACTTCACTTCCATTTCTGACTCTTTACAGAGGCTAGAAGGTCCTCCATTGCTAGAAGATCACTTCTGCCCCAGGCTCCAAGGTAGAGAAAGGTGCAAATTGTTGATGGTGCAAGTCGGTTGCGAGTAAAGTGAAGGAGCTGCTGAGCCTGTGAGAAGACACGTTTGACTGCAATTGATGTTGCTGAGCAAGCTAATAAGTACTCATTGGTTGAGAGACGATTCAAGTGTGGCATACCTGGGACAGAGAGATAGTCTAGTGCCATCTGATGTAGTATCGGATAAGTATGGCAGTTGTCTTGCCACCATGCAAGTGGGTCCTTGGTCTTCACAGTTGGTAATCAAAGGAACTCCTCCAGTTCGCTACTAGTAGTGCGAGACATGGAGCCAAGTGAGTAGTCACCGAAGTCATCATTATTCTGTATAGTTGTTAGTATCAGTGTATGATTAAATGTTGCATATGGACCACATCTGCTGTAGTGTCATTGGTAGTCTCAAAATATTTCTCATATTTATCAGTAAACTCTTCACGAACAAGCTTCTCAGCAGTATCGATTTACTCCTTCTGCTAGGAATGCTCACGGAAGTACTCTAGCTTCAGGCCAGGATGTAGGACTTTATTACGATGATTAGCCAATGATGTCAATGAACATTTGAAAGGCTGACCCATGGCAATGCGGTATACATTGGAGAGATCTGTAATCTTCCAGTAGCAATCTATCTTGTTCTTCGCAAGGTGCATAGCTGATATAACTGCAGGGTGATATGGCTCCTTTGTCTGTTGATTGAGCTTGCTATTGAGTTTGTCCATTGCTGGTATCACAGCTGTGATAGTTGCTGAGTCCTGAGAGAAGAACAAGGTAGCCTTCTTGTATTGCTAATCAATCGAAATAAGTGAGACAAAGAAGTATGAAGTATGATGAGCAAGACTTACAGAGAGGACCACAATGAGGTCAGCAACAATTTTCCACTCATTGTCATCCAATTCATATCTTTTAGCCTGCTTGAGGCTTTTATCACTCGTTATGCGATCAATGGGTTCCTGATACTCTAATGTGAAAACCAGCATCTCGTACATGGAGTTCCAATGTGTTGCAACATCACGTGGCATGAGCTTTCCTTCAAGTGTGATGCCCCACATGCCCGTCGCCAAGCCGGGAGCAAGAAAGTTGTTGAGCGAATCACAGCAAAAGACAGACTACGAATCTGCAATATCAAAATTAGCTAGTATTAGATGGGGATCTGATTTGAGACACTGACCTTTACAATAGTGTCTTTGACAGTGGCAGTGGCATCTAATATCTTCTCGCAATTGGCCTGCAAGAGCATTTCCAACTTATCAATGTTGTCATCAGCGTGTCATATCCCGTATTCCGGACCTACATCCGATAATATTCCCATGCCTCATCCGGACCTTCGGACGCCCTAACCATGTCTCCAGTCCTCTACCCATCCGGATCCCTGCACCTCTGCACATCCACATCCGCACATCCACATCCAGATCCCTATACCTCCGTACATCGGACCTCCATACCTCCACAGCTAGCCTGCATCAGTCATCCTTTGTCCCATCACCCTAATGTCATATCCCATATATCCACGTGTCTCATCCGGACGTCCGGTCCGGTCCGATCCGATCCGATCCGATATACGATAAGCTTCCTAATTCATTTCCTGTGCATATAACGTTAACACAGCCTATTCCACTATTCAGTATTCCTTGTCCTCGGTATCTCGGTTATACTTACTACCGGTACACTTACTGATCCGTTAACCTATGCTTCATTTCCGACTCGCACTTGATAACTTTGCTTATGCTTCATACATAGCCTCGGACGCTTGCTTACTGATCTTTCCGTTATTTCCTTAGTATATAAACTCTTGTATATGTCCTGTAGTTCCTCAGTCTGAATATCATATTAGTCCTCGCACTAGATCTCACTCTAAGTCCTCATATCAGTTCTAGTCTATTGACTTAGTCAATATCCATCTCGGGCCTAGGGAGAAATTCCCTAGGCCAGAGCTCCGCTTATCCGCTCATCCGATCCTCCGAAGTTTCCGGACGTTCGTCCGAAACTTTCCCGCGGTCCTCCGGACCTATTCTGCTTCAGACTTTGTCCTTGCAGCCTTTCCTCTGTTTGCTTCTACTTAGGACTTGTCCTAAGTAGCCATTACACGTATCCGTATCAGGACGAAACCTCATCGTAATTTCCGGAAGTTCCTCTGGAACTTTCCCGCACTCGTCCGGAAGTTACTTGCACTCGTCCGGAAAGTCCTTCCGAACTTTCCCGCGCTTCGGACGTCCTTTGGACATCATTCTGAAATTAAGGGCACATACTCGGGTAAGGGGTGCAGCGCACGAGCTGAAGCCAAGCCCCTCGGAATCAGTCCTACCCTTTGTGCATGGTCTTAACACAGCGTCATTGAGCTCAGATATTAAGTCAACTTCCTCTACTTTTGAATCATCATCTAGAATAAGCAGTAGCTCATCCAGACCCTTCAGTCATTTTGTACGTAGAACCAAGGCCCTGGACGTGAAAAAAGGTCATAGAATTGATGCTAGCCAGTGTGTGGCCATTCTATGTAGATCTAAGGCTAGTCATTCCTTTTGGATAGCTGTACCAGTCTGTGGTTTGTCCATGTAGAGCTAAGGCTAGCTGATCTATGTAGAATTGATGCTAGCCAGTCTTCGGCCATTCTGTGTAGATCAAGGGCTGGCCATTCCTCCTGAATGGCTGCAGTAGAATGTAGGCTAGCCAGTCTGTGGTTTGTCTATGTAGACCTTGGGCTGGCCGGTGCTATAAAATCAATGTCCAAGCCTACATAGTTCCATTAGCACAACAGCTAACTAGTATTATAAATTCACTGTATTGTCAAGGTAACATAGCTGATCCACATAGAACTAGGGCTGGCTGGTGCTATCAAATCTGACACTACCCACCCTGGCCAGCCTGACATCCACAGACCTAGTCTGTATAGCACTAGGGTTGGCTAGTCTGATGGGATCTGACACTAGCCCAGCCAGCCTAGTATTCACAGAGTGTAACCTTTGGCTGGCCATTCTGAAAGGTACAAGTGGGCTGGCTATCCATTACATATACTCTACTCATTTCTATAGTGATCTGCTGACACTAGCCTGGCCAGCCTGGATTCTATAGCACTGGTACATGTAGCACTAGGGCTGGCCAGTCTAATGGAATCTGACACTAGCCCGGCCAGCCTAGTGTCTATGGGGTGTAAAACCTTAGCTGGCCATTCTGAAAGGCACAAGTGGGCTGGTCATCTATTATATCTTACTCTACCCATTTCTATAGTGATCTGCTGACACTGCCCTGGCCAGCCTAACATCTATGGACCTAGTCCATGTAGTACTAGGGCTAGCCGGTCTGTAGAACCTGACACTAGCCTGGCCAGCCTCATGTCTATGGAGTGTAAACCCTAGCTGGCCATTCCGAAATTGCTTATCTGCCTAGCCAGCCTGGCCTCTACATAAGATACAAGTGGGCTAGCCATTGTTTGGCCAGCTTGTCTAGTACAGTGGGTGTTACTTGAATGATTTAATTGATAATGAGATAAAAAGGCAAAGTCTATTGTAGAAGGCTACCTCTGCATCACCTTCTTGGAGGGTTGCCTAGTTCTAGTTAACCTACACATAGGCTCCTCCTCGATCCTCATCTTTTTTGCCTGTCTTGAGGATAATTGAGCTCTAGTCCTCTTCTTCTCTTTCTGTTCAGCCTCTGATTTACAGCTATCATTCTTCTGCACCTCCTGCATCTGTATATCCACATCTCCCTCTGCATCTTGTAGCTCATCCCCTGACTGCTCTCCTGATCACCAACCTTGTCACTCACCCCCTCTTTCTTGTCACCTTCCTTCTTGTCCTTCTCATTCTCCTTGTCCTCTTTGTTCTCCCCATCCTTCTTGTTGTCCCCATCCTCCTTGTCCTCACTATCCTTCTCGACAACATTCTTGACCTCTTCATCCTCTGCATTATTATCAAAGCTGGCCTGCATTGCTGCCTCAATGAGACTGATAATGGTACATTTTAGATCAGCATGAGCACCATCCAATTTAATCATACAATCAAGATCCAAGAATGAGTTGGCCAAGTAGGAAGGGGTATCAGGCAGGGCTTCGTCTTCTTCATACTTGATAACACATTTACAATCTCTTAAAATTAATCCAAGGCCCAAGACCGCAAGTATGGCTGAATATGCAGTCACCATAGGGGCATTACCTAGCATCTTCAAGCAGCCCATTAATACATCCTTTGACTTGTGGACATACTTTGGAAGATATGACTCTTGTCACGACCAACTTGCCCAAGGAGGCAATTGAACCTCCTCAGGTAACTTCAGCTAGTAGTCGAAGATGTTAGAATCAATTCGAAATTCAAGACTAGTCAACACTTACTAAATTTTCCATCGCTGCAGATAAATCTTTGACTGCATCAACAAGCTTGAGATAGTTCTGATCGAAGCTGAGAGCATCTAAAAAATCAAAGTGCTGTTGACATGGGATATTGGCCGGTACAGCTGTAGCCAGTGTAGTAACCAAGCTGTCCACTGGACGTGGTTCCTCTTCTTCATCAGTAGTAACCTTGTAACGGAGTTACTATTAACTGACTTCCATCCTCGTGATTCTAACTTTCCATGCCTTTGTTCAAGTGGTTTGGCAATCATTTATTCCTATAGCTACGATTACTTTACAGGAGGCCTTCGGCCGACTTTCTAGCCATCTGTGTTCTCCCCTTTGTGTCTACATATCTGTTTCCCTCCGAGAGCCTTAGTATAAATACTGCGTAGTTAGTAGTATTAGAGCAGCATTTTTTGGAATAAGAAATAGCAGACTTTGAAACTGTCATCCTACTGAATACTCTCTTCTCCTGTGCCGTTGTCTTTGAGCTGTGTCAGCACACTGCTAAAACCGTCAATGTCACATCTTTTTTGACATCACAAAGCCTCTTTTAAAAAACAAAACCTTCACTTCCCGACCTCGTCACCCGGATCCACTCAGTTAGGCCCACTGAATGATACCAAAAGATGATGTCACCCCATTACAACCTATGATCAATATGATCAGCAATCCCCAGTACCGAACGATCTATCCCAGGATCATTAGTTGAGTCTCCTTTAACTGAACCATCGACTCACAAGATGTCTACACCCTCATCGGCTGAGAGCCCTGGCTCTCAGGCTGATGAGACCGTTCTCAAACCTGGGCGCTCGTACAGCGACGTGGTATGAACGAGGTCCGAAACGACCCAGCCTAGCGCTGGGGTACGTTCAGCAAGCGCAAGTAGCGCGATGGCTAGTCCCTGTGAACGAACGCCCCTGGCGGACATCACCAGCCAGAAGGTGGAGGAAAACCCCTTCATGAGTACAGACAAGTTGTCTAGTGAATCTAATAATGAAAACATACCTTGGACGACGGTTGATCACCATCATCAAAAACTGGATAAAGCTCAGAGAAAATCTAAGAGGCAGTCCGAAATTAGGAAGGACTTAGTGAGGGAGGCTGAAAAGCTACTCACAAAGGAAGAAAAGCAGCGCATCCACAACAGGAAGCATGCTGAGGAACAAGCTCAGTCGCTTGAGCCGCATCCGACTACATTGGGTGAAAGACCGTCCAAAGGGAAAAATGTGGACCCCTGTAACTGGGATACCGTGGACCTCGACGAATCAGAGTTAGACGTCGAGGCGCAGAGGGAGGCGCTGAAAACCTGGGCTTGATCACGTGATTGGGCAGGGGAAGCCCCTGCCCGGAACAGAGACTCAGACAAAGAATCTGAGACAATAACTCCAGACCCCACTCAGGAGGCTGTGAGGCGGGCTGTCGAAGCCGTCACCCACCAATACGAGGAACATATTAATCAGCTAAACAAAAGGCTGAAGAAAAAGAACGACCTACCAGACAGCCAAGTCCCTGCCAAGGGAAGGAAGGCCAGGAAGGACCCCGACCATGTCAAGGACATGATAGAGGGAGTGGTTCATAAAACAAACCGACGACAAAAGGTTTGGGCAACTCCCCCAGCGGTGGACACAGCCGCCCAGATAGCTCGCGAGAGTTATCTGGGCCAAGCCTTCAATAAGATGAAGGGTAAGAAGGGGAGACGCACGGTGAACCTGATAACTGACTCACCCAGCGACTCATCTAGTACGGACGATTCCAGTGAATCATTGTCATTGTCATTGTCGTCCTCATCCTCCTCGAGCGAGTCCACGTTGAGCGAGTCCGAGTCATCCTCTGGTGACTCGGACCAGAACCTTGTTAAGGCAAGGCGGGTGTCTAAGAAATGTAGCAAGGGTAAGAAAACACAGTCATCTGTGAAGAAAAAGACTACCTTGAAACCGGTACCTCCCACGGAATATGACAGGGCTGCAGACTCACATGCATTCCACCATTTCATGACAGAGGGCAAGGCGTATCTAGAGGATGGCTACATGCCTAAGGCTAGCCAGGTGCGAGTCCTGGCTAGACACCTGAAGGGCAAAGCCCACAATTTCTATACTAGACAAGTATCAGATAGACCCAAGGACTGGAAATTAAGCCGATTTCTTACCGAACTTTTCAATTATTGTTTCCCATTGGACTACCTATCTAAGCAGCATAAGAAGCTATACAGATGCTATCAGGGCAACAAACAAGTGAGAGATTACCTGTCTGAGCTCAACGAGCTCTGGATGATGATTGGGAACGTCCCAGAAAGGGAAAAGGTCGTAAAATTCTGGTTCAGCCTAAATCCGAAAATACAGAACGAGCTATATAAAATGCACCTTAACCCAGAGGTCTCGTCACTATGAAAAGTGCAACATACCACGGAGATCATCGAATTGGCGCACTCTGCGTCCGGTGAAGGGCATAAGCGCGAAGATGACATGAGACCTAAGAAGGCCAACAAGGATGGGAAGGGGGACGGCCAAGCTAGGACTAGCAACAAGTCATCCAGTGCCCAACACCGGAATGAGCGCAAGGGCAATGGCCCTGGCCGAACATCTGGTAAACCATCCCAAGGGCAGGATAGCCATCAGCCTAGAAACAAAAATCGGCACATATTACAGTGACCTATCTCCGTATAATATGAGGGAACGGACATGCATAATATCCCGTATGATACGGGCCAGCGGACCATGGGCCCATGATAAAAATATCCTCGACTATGACGGATGGGCCGGGAGGCAAATTATTCCCGATGGAGGCGGGTGGGCCCATGCAGGGAATATATAGAGTAGATGAGTGGGCCGATGTACATGAATATTAGGTGGACGGTGAAGGTGAGGAATCTTGACTGTGGGTGAAAACACTAAAAGAAAGGGGGCTCTACAGCAAGACCTGGATACGAGAATACAACTCGACCCAAAGGACAGCTACTGAGAGAAGTTCCTCGCGAATAAGGTGGAGGGAAACTATGTCAACTAGACGGGCGCTGGTAGACGCGGGAAAGTAACGCGCGCGAAGGCGCGCGTAGGCGATGCGAAGGCGCGCGAGATGCGCGCGTGAGCGAGAGATGCGGAGGGTACGCGCGTAAGCGGGCGCGCACTTGAACGATGAAGGAGAGGAGTCCTTAAGAGAGTAGCAAGGGCACAGGTGTCAACAGTGGAGGAGTATAATCAGATTTCTAGTATTGGAGGGAGAACTCTACACTTTGCAGTATATCAAGATAAGGGGAAAGTAAGTACCAGAACCGAAGGAATCCTCCCTCTATTTAAGAAGGGAGATTACGCTATGCGGCGCGCTTCCGAGCGCGCTCCCGAACCGAGTAACCATATCAACTTCTAAATATATTCTAAGTTTAAATAGGCTCTCTGTATGTAAGCACGGAGGTCGGACCGAAGGTTCGTTAATTCAATGAGAGAGATAAAAATAACGCACCAGTGAATCAGCAAGGACAAAGGACAGAGGGACGGACGGTAGGAGCGCGAAGGCCTATGGAGCGCGCACGCGAAGGGCGCGCGTGCGTGTGCGATGTGCGAGTGAGGCGCGTACGTAGGGCGCGCGCGCGAGAGCGCGAATGACTGGTCCTTAGGATGTGAGCTGATACAGATAGGGAATTAAATGGGTAAGAAGGCCGCATATCCGGCATCGAGAGGCGCGAGTCTCTACAACGGGTGGGCCGAGGTAGTTGGATATTATGCAGATGGGTGTATTAAGGTAGATGTGTATGAGATAGATGGGTAGGTACTTGTTATCACATTCACGGGTGGGCCCAGACACATATTAAATTAGACGGGTGGGCCGAGGGTATTATAAAATATTGTATTAGACGGGTAGGCCCAGACGCATATTAATTAGACGGGTGGGCCAAGGGTGTTGTATGAGATGTTGTATTAGATGGGTGGGCCGAGGGTGGTATAAAATATAGATGGGTGGGCCCATGTGTATCATAATTGTAGACATGATGAAGCTGAGGTAGTTGTACATCAACCAAATCAGAGGAGGTAATAAATCAAAGTTACCAAGTTCCCGGAGCAGCAGGTGATCTCCTGACATGGCCTTTGATGGTGCACAGGTTGTCTTGCAAAATTTGGAATCCGGGGTGCGAAGCTTGTGTTGCCCTACGAGACGCCAAGTTCCGACCACCCAAATTTGGGTCAACTGTACCGACTTCCGAGTTCCAGGACACGGGAGTCGACAAATGAATATCTGATAACCAGCACACTTCCAATCAGGTAGTATTTCATTGAGCAATGGATCATCCAAGGGGTCCCTTATCGGACTCGGTAGTCAATATAGGCAAATGATAATGAAAACATGAAAGTTGTTATTATGCTATTTTTCAAACCCAAGACCCTGAAACCCATTGTTCAACATGTCCATTTTTCACTCACTGCACAAATCATCGAGTTTCGAGTGCCGAAACCCAAAACTCGAAACCCGGTGTGCAACACGTCGATTGTTCATTTACATTACACAGATCATCGAGTTCCGAGTGTTGAGTGCCGAAACCCGAAGCCCGAGACCTGAAAATATGTACACAACATGTCCATTTCCTACTCATTGCACATATCACCGAGTTTCGAGTGCCGAAACCTGAAACTCGAAACCCAGTGTGCATCATGTCCATTGTTCAATTATATTACACAAGTCATCGAGTTCCGAGTTCCGAGGGCCGAGGGCCGGAATCTGAACCCCGGACCCCGAAAATATGTGCGCAACATGTCCATTTTTCACTCACTGCACAAATCACCGAGTTTCGAGTGCCAAAGCATGAAACTTGAAACCCAGT